AGACCTTAAAGGGACTGTGCTTGAGTAAGGAGGGACAGAGAGATCCAGAAAAGAAGGAATCACCAGAGGGCGACTGTGACATGCCCCTCGCGTGTCTCCAGATTATTTCACTAGCCTGAGGCCCATGACACATTCTCTCCTTTACACTGCCACCAATTGACCTCTGTCAACACCCTTTAATTAGAAAGATTGAGTTCCATGTGAGTATAAAGTTGAACAAAACAGAATTATTGGTTACAGTTCGCTTAAACAGGTTCTTCACAGACTTTAAAGTATTCATTAGATTAGTAATAACTTGTTTCACTCTTAGCTCTCTACAAATTCCACACTCTTAACTGCCTACCTTAACTCCTCACTATATCACACTCTCTAATTCCCCCAGACCTACTTCAGACTCTAATCTCTGACTCAAACTGGCTAACTGACTCACTCACTCCCAAAACTCCTCTTCTCTGCCTCACCCCTCCCTTCTGGTTTCTCTGGCTCCGCCTGCCAATAGCTCCCATTGGTATGTGCAAATAATCTCCTACATGAGATCTCCAAAGCAGGGTGATTGCCACAGGGACATTTCAGTGGGGAAATGGAGAGGGAATAAAAGGGAGAGGAGGGGATAGGAGGGGTCAGTTGGAGTTGGGTGAGGCAGAAGCTTGTTGGGTGAAAGAGGAAGAAGGTAAACAGGAGAAAGGTTGGGTAGAAATAGTGCAAGAAGTTTTGTGGACTGGAGAACAGACCGAGTTTAAAGTGCAGAGAAGGAGTGGAAAAGGAAAGCATATTGCAAACTACATTACTGGGGTGAAACTGAGGAAAGAGAGCAATGGAAGAAATTCAGAGAGTGGCAGAAAAGTGAGGCCCAGAGACATGAGAGTAGGTCATGGTCCAAAAGTCCTGGGAAACCCTGTGGGGCAAGTCCCTTCCAACCCAGATTACAGCCAAACCCCAGCAAGAAGGTTTGGGAGCTGTGGGTGGGATCGATTTTTCACCCTCTCCAGTGAGGTTAAGCATTACTTTAACCGAAGAGTCAGGATAATAAAGAGTTCATTTTGACGCTTCTACCTGTTAAGAAGGATTTGTTGTGGTTTGATGATAAAGCAGCTGACCAGATATTTTTTTATTTTTTTATTTATTATATTTATGTACCACCTGCCTAGAACATGTCTACTATGCCTTTTGCTTCAGATACCTCTGAAGCAAAAGGCAGAGTCTGTTACCAATGTTAAATATAAGAAGTTGTCAAAAATAAAAGAACCTTTGTTAGAAACGAGCAGTGCCCGTGAATCATCTATGGAGAACAAACCCAGAAAGGGAAAGAAGGGAACTGGACACGATCACAGGTACCTAAAGATTTCAAATGTTGTTTGTTGGTTGAGAATAATTTCAAAATAAAATAGCCTCAGAGTTCATTAAAATTAGATTGTGTTAATCTCTTTCCTGAGCACTGTTAACACTTGTATTTCACTGACCAGATAGGCAGGGTATAAATCAAATAACTAAATAACTAAATAACTAAATAACTAAATAACTAAATAAATAAATAAATAAATTACATTTGTGGATAAATAAAATAAATAATACAGTATATCTTTGGCTGGACATATTTTATCAGGTGACAAAATTTCCTACAATACAGTACTTTATCTACCCAGAAGTATGCCTCCTCTGTGTACAGCAGGATTTATTCCCAGGTCTTGTCTACGAGATTACAGACTTTGCGATTTATTTTTTAAAACTACCTAGTTCTTTAGCGTGCGGTAGAATTATAGCCTTAAGCTACATTACGCTTTGGGAATGGACCATTTACTATGGAGACTAGAAGTGTTGTGGAAGCAATGTGCTCTCTTGCCGAAGGCAATGGATTTCAAAGACAGAGCTCTGGAGAGAGCTGAATTCAGCTAGCCTAAGCAGAAAACATTTGTCTTACTGAGATTGAAGTATGTGCAGAAATAATCATAGGACTGCTGAGGAGAAAGAAACTAATTGCAACTTTGTTCTGGTGCACTGACCTTCTGACAGTGCTTAGACCTGCATAGTGCTTTATAGTTTAAAGACATGGGGAGCCTGGGACACATTACACAAGGGGTCAAGAGTCTCTCTGCACTGGCCTGTACAGCATTAAGGATATAACCCCAGCTGCCTGTAGCAACTTGAGCTGAACTTTGTTCTCTTATGCCAGATCAGTGGCCACGATCCTAATACACAATGACATGTGTGCAGCTCGAGGTTGTGCCTTTGGTAGTTGTGCTAGTTCCAAGGTAGAAGTGCTGTCCCTGAAGCACTTCTGCCAGCACATTGCACAATGAGTTGTGCTAGGGATGCACGGCTGATTGTGCAATTGCTTAGAAAAATTCCTTGTTGCCAGGCGTAATACCCAGCATAATTTTATATTACACCGACATGAACTGGCCATTGTGTTCTGGTTGACACTTCTGTTTTGCTATCTGTAGTAGCTATGAACAGTCCTTAGCCTCCTTGATTGTCCATGAAGCCCCCCAGGGTTGGAGATGTCCAGATGGGCTGAAGAGAATGGGTGTTACAAGCATGGCTGGGGATAAAAAGAGTTACAAAGGATAATATCTGGAGACCACTTGTTTAGGGCCAGCTAATGTAAAGAGTGAGCCCTGAGTGCTCACTGGAAGGACAGATCCTGAAGCTGAGGCTCCAGTACTTTGCCATCTCATGAGAAGAGAAGACTCCCTGGAAAAGACCCTGATGCTGGGAAAGTGTGAAGGCAAGAGAAGGAGGGGACGACAGAGGACGAGATGGTTGGACAGTATCACCGAAGCTACCAACATGAGTTTGACCCAACTCCGGGAGGCAGTGGAAGACAGGAGGGCCTGGCGTGCTCTGGTCCATGGGGTCACGAAGAGTCGACTAAACAACAACAAATGTAAAGAAACTGTTTACAAGTTTACAGATATGCCTAACAGTGACTTCTGCTCTTGTGCTTGTCATGCAGTCATTACGTTGTTGCCCTTGTAAAATGTGAAAACATGTAAGCTTATTCTGAAGCATATAAAATGTTTTAGACCAGCAACTTGTACGATATAGGGGATACTAGGGGGTTGATAGGCTGGTTGCTCCTAATAGTAAAGAAGCAGTTTCAAACTGGAAAAAAAGGAAGATATCAGTAGAAAATATTATCACAGCATCTAGAGTTAAGTACCGTATTTTACAAATTTTGGAAGTGAGGCAGAGGCTTAAGGACTGGAGCATTGGCAGCTGGGCTCATGGGCAGATGCAGCAGCTATCAGTGATTGAACCAACTACACATGTTGTTTGCTAGTTAATCTTATCTTTTGCTTGGTCTAAGTGCACACTGTGTCCCCATAATTCTGTTGACAGGGCTATATTAGGTGGTGGATTAGCCCCATCTGACTAAACAGTCGGACAATACAAGCCAGAATAATACGAATAATATTACTGTCGTCTCCATGAGGAAAAGTAATAGAATGAAATTTAAGTTTTCTGGTTTCCAGTGTCCATAGATAGGAAGCTGAAAATGTAAGAACATAGATAACATGAAGAAACAGAAAAAGAAGAATAGGTATTCCATGACTTCTAACTTGACGGGAAGGACACTACTGTCAAGAAAATCAGAATCTGAAGTTTCAAAAGATGTGAAGAAAGAGATAATGTTAGTTTTCAGTTTTGGAAAACTTCTGTTTGAAGGAAAGCCAAGATTTGAGGGAATGGGCATATATCCCTTGAGGCATGGAGAGACTTTTGAAAAGTTAGCAAAGACTAGGAAGAGAAGACCATCCGTAAACTAGAGTTGTAAACTGTCAGGGTAAAGGCGGTACTGGACGGAGGCCAAATTAGAACATGATGAAGTACACAGTATTGCTCTTTCAGAAACTCCTATGGAAAGATTAAAAGGTTGAATCACAATGAAATAATACTCAAGAGACATTAATTTTAAAAAAATGTTGTAATCAAATAAATGTAGGCAAAACAAGTCACTGAACCCAATATCCATCTTGTGTTTGTTCCCTGCGTCCCTTTACCACTTTTGTAAATGCAAGTATTTTATGTATATTTAACAAGAATAATTAACATTTAATGATGACAATGCATGTCAATTAAAACCATGCTAGATGCCAAAATGAAATGACTAAAATAATGCATGCCACCATTCTTGTGATGGCCAAGACCTATAAATATATCATTAGGATGCCTTCTTTGCTGTATGCCATAAGCAAAGATTTAGATGCGAACTGACAATATTTAATTTTTAAACATCTTTTGGAAATATTCCTCAGGAGGTGGTTCTGCACTTTGTATCTACACCTCCCCTTTCGAATCAACACCTCAGAAAGACCCTCTAGAATTGAGGGAGGGGTTTTCCTGAGCATGATGCTTTGTGTTGTGTGGAGATGCAGTGGAAGGGGGAGACTAGCTGAAATCAGGCAACCATACTTGAGATCCCGTGTGTGTATTTCTGGTTTGTATTTTAAAAAAATAGAAAAGAGTAATTACATTTCCATTGCATCGTTTATATGTACCTCATTTCAATCTGGGCAAGCCCTATTTTCTAAATGGCAGAATGGCCATTTATTTAATTGATGAATGGGGACAGGCATATACATAAGAAGAGACTTTAAAGATTCATTTTAAATGTTTGTCATGTATAATGTTAGCACCCTGTGATATGCTTGCATTGCCAGTTTTTGGTTTTTGTACAGAAGCAAAATGTGAATGGAAGTTAGGATTGTGTGTCCAGCTTTAGACAAGATCACAAGTACTTGGCTTTTATGTTTTCAGATACTCTAAACTGAATCTCCTCTACCAAAATATATTCTGATGTTCAGGTTGAATCTTAAACTTCCCTGTTCCCTCTGAGTTACTGAGTAGGTATGCAATGTTGAGGACTCATGTAAATCTATAGTTAAAATTTTAATGTGTAAATGGACAACTAAATAAAAAGGAGAGGAATTTATTCAGGGTTTCAGGTAATAATGAATTAACAGAACAAAATATAGGTTTTCTTCAAATTGTATTTTCCTGTCTGTGGTCTTCTTCTTTTTTTAAGAAAATGTCTGGAGAAAAAAAGATCAAGGTTCAGGTTATTTTAAAAATAGTACAGTGTTGTTTTATACAGTGAATTCAATGGGGCACAATCCCAGGTAAATCTTAAATATGATTGTAGCCTAAATCAATGAATAAATATAAAGGTAAATGCTTTGAACACATACCCAAGAAACATATGCTGAAGTCCAAAGTACTGTAGTCTGACTGATAAAGTGTGATTTGCCTGGATTTAAAATCAGTCCTATGTAGTTGTTTAAGTTGGCTTGTTCAATGGGACTAACTCCTAAATAATTATGTGTAGGATTGCAGCTTTCTGGTGCAAACCTACAGAGGGCTTTTCAGAAGTAGGTCTTACTGCATTCCATGGGATTTCCTCCCAGGTACAAAGATGTCAGGCTTAGCAAGGCTCACTCAAAATGTTTTGCTGCCTAAGGAAAAGCAACAAATTATGCCATCCACCCAAATCTAAAGCCAGCCAAGCTATTTTGACACATAAGACAGAAAATCCCTCATGTACCGCTCCTCATCTCAAACAGTAAATATTTAATAATAATGAACTGAATAACTAACAATGTCCTCTCATTCAAAATCTACCACTTTCTACCAAATGGAAGGGCAGACCTTGATCTTCAGCCGCTTACTCTACAACAGTGGTTCTTAACCTTTGTTACTCGGATGCTTTTGAACTGCAACTCCCAGAAACCCCAATCAGGACAGCTGGTGGTGAAGGCTTCTGGGAGTTGCAGTCCAAAACTCCTGAGTAACCCAAGGTTAAGAACCAGTGCTCTACAACATCCTCAAAGCCCGAGATAAGAGGGCTATGTTCAATATATGGTTCAGAATGCTGCATTCAATATTGACCTCAAATGCATTTATCTGTAAATAAGATTGAATTAAAACTTAGAGGCTTATTTATGTGTAATGTGAGTACAATACATTCTGGTGAAAGCTTACTCAGAAATACGGACCACATGAATAGACGTTGATTACATATATTATTGGAAAACTAGCAACAGGGTGTTCTACATTTGCTATCCTTCTGCTTGTGGGAGGGAGTTCCAAAGTCTGGGAGCAGCAACAGAGAAGGTTCCCTCCTGTGTCCCCATCAGACACACCTGTGAAAGTAGCGGACCAAGAGAAAGACCTCTCCTGATGATCTTAACACCTGAGCCAGCTCATAATGGGAGATACAATCTTTGAGATAGCTTGGACCCAGGCCATTTATGGCTTAAAAACAGCACTTTGAATTATGCCCAGAAACAGATTTGCAGCCAGTGGAGCTGCTGTAATAGGGGAGCTACACCTTCCCCATATCCAGCCCCAGTGAAACTGCTCTAATGGGGGGGGGGGTGTTATGTGATGCCTGAAACTAGTCCCAGTCAGCATTCTGGCTGCTGCATTTTGGACCCACTGACGTTTCTTGACACTGTCCATTGGCAGCCCCACATAGAGTGCATTACAGTAATCCAGCCAGGAAATAACTAGGGCATGTATTACAGTGGCCAGATCAGATCAGATTTAGCCCTTACATACTCAGAGATATATAAATCCACTATATGCAGCCATAAATAAATATACATATAGTTTAATTGGCCAATGAGTGAAGCCATTCACAGTCTGACAGGATGTCATCAATGTGTAAAGTAACAGCTCTTTCTCTAATGTACAGGGTGACTAATCTCAGAGGGCTGAGAGACAATGTTCATTTTGGCTAGCAACTCAGAAGCCACTCTTCCTCCATCTCAAAAGCTGACAGACATTAGTGGCACAGCTTTCTGGCCATTTTCCCAGGTTTGAGAAAGCAATTTCATGTTTATTTTAACTTATTTTAAGTTACTTTGTAAGTAAATGTTGTTTATTGATTTTGTCGTTTAAAATGGTAGGTTTGTTTCTTTGTTTCTTTCCAACTTCTGATTTGTCCCTCTGTTTAATGTGTCCAGAAAAATATTTGTCTCTCGCTTCTTTAGGCAGATATTGGTTAGTTTTTGAAATTTTATCATTAATTTTTATGCATTTATTTACAACTGGTTACCAGCATTAAAGTGGAGGGCAAAGAGATATTTGCTAAACAAGTTTCATGTTGGGAAGTTGTGTTTAACCAAAAGAGTTCATGCCAAAACAGTATACACCGAGTACTGATTTGCTGTCATACTCTGGGTAAAGTCATCTTGTCCAAGCCACACTAATTATGACAAATTATCTCCTTCCAGAGTGTTTTTAAAGCCTGTTCATGCAGAAATGCTCATATCTTAAATGATATAATCATATCCAGTAGAGTTGTAGTGTTCGTCACTAAATGGATTATTTTAAAATTATCCCCGAGGTTTTTCTCTTTTGAGCAGTCGACCTAAATTTTATTTGCAAGAGACCAACATTCTGGAAAGTAAAGGCATTTTCATTTAAATATTATACATTTCCCACAAACCTCCCTTTGTTGTGGTAGCTAAATACAATTTCAACATCACCAAAAAGGATATGTTCATCATCTTTAAAAGGACATTTAGATGCTTACAGCTGAAAATGAGAAGTGACATACAAAAGCATAATTGTAAGTGATTTTGTTCATGATTTTAACATATTTATAGTAGATCTCAGCTGAGCAGAGAAGACAGTGATCAGGTGACCTATATCTGCTGAGTCTGCTCCATAGGTGCTCACTGTGGATATTCCTGATCTCCCTATTTATGATTCTTTATCTTTAAGTGATATGTAAACTGGACAGATATTTGAACAGAGGACTATTTCGGAAAGAGAACTACCTTTCGGCAATCCTTAAAATAGAGGGCATTTCTCCACAAAAGAAAACATAAGCTTCCTAGTGGTACCAGAGCAAGAGAGACGGGTGGAGAAGAATTGGGTAATACTGCTTTTGATTAACGTTTTGTTGAATTTGAGAGGTAAAGATTACCAGAAAATGTATGTGTTCAACTCTCCTCTGCTTAGACATTTATTCTGAACATGTCTACACACTTATCTCAGTGTTATAAATCCCAGCAAGCTGTACCTGCTGCGTGCCTACAGGCACAGTCCAAACATTCATTTCATTTTTTTATCTCTCTTGAATTGATGTCACCAGGATCAGAAGAGTTCTGCAATATCCAATCTATCTTTTGACAGCAGCTCTGTTCACTACCACTCTGCTGTGAAATATTCTCCATCTCTGGTGCATGCTTGGCTGATATCCTGTGAAAAGAATCCAGCTATACTGAAGCTTTACATTTCAAAAGAGGATCATCCATACCCAGTGGCTGCTGTCTCTCCTGGTAGGTATGATGGTCCAGATGTCTTTTGCAATCACAAGTGATCTCAGCTCAAAGCCATAGTCACTGGTGGCATTGCTTTCATCTCAAATAATTTTATCACAGACAAAGTGCCAGAGGCATGGAGGCATGTCAAAGCTGATAACATCCTGTCATGATTATTTCATTCATAACCAAGCTATCGATTGCAGCTTCTGTTATGAAATTGCTCTTTCAGGCTGATGGCCATGTATTTACTGTATACTGTGTTTGTTAGTAAACTATGCCTCGCCAATTCATTTATTTGTGGAAATACAAGAATTCTGCATGCTGCAGCAGCAACATAAAAAGAGCGCTCCAGGCAGTAGCTACATTACTTGAATTATTGGTGGTGGGGAGCGCAGGAGGAAAGAGTTTTCATCTCTGGGCCAGATCAAATGTTAGGGCAAACATGTATTGGCGCTTCTTAATGGCATTATTCCCCCAGGCGGGCAAATCTTTCAGTCTTACTTTCCTGAGACATCAAGAGAGAGAGAGAGAGAGAGATGGGGGGGGGTTTTCCTGTTAACAGAGGACTCTCCAGGGCTACCGAAAAAGCCACATTGTTTCTGGTTCGGCAAGCCCCAGGTACAGGATGGCCATAAAATAAGACCTAAACTTAAAAACAGCCGGGACTCTTCCTCCTTTTATCTCGACCCTTTGTCTCAAGATGGCAGCTGAGCTTGTCCAAGGATTTTTATATGCACCGGCAGGGTGTTGCGCAGCTTTCAAACGAAAACGTTTTACATATCCACGGTTGCAGGTTCTTCCGACGGCGGTGGGATTTTTTTTTTAATCGCTCCGGAAGGCTTTCTGACTTGAATAGTGACCCGTAGGGAGGTGGAGGGTGGTGTTGCTAGGAGACGGAGGGACGCGGAAGCGCGGCGGGCTTCGAGATGTTCTTGGGATGGCCCAGAACGTTGGGTGGACCTCGTGACCCGGCCAGAGGGCAACCTCCCTGGGACTGACGTCGAGGGACGGACCGAGACGGCAGAGGGCAGAGGGCAACCTCCCTGGGACTGACGTCGGGGAACGGACCGAGACGGCAGAGGGTGTGTGTGTGTGTGTGTGTGTGGCTGTCGTGGTGTGTTTGTGAGTGAGTGTGTGAGTGTGAGTGTGAGAGGATGGCTGTCGTGGTGTGTCCAGGAAAGCTTGGGACGATATACAAAAATAGCGGGTGCTGTGTTCTCTGGAGGCTTGGCAGCCTGCACTTACCCCGTTTTAATATAACTTTTGTCTGAGGTTCAGTCCTGTGTCAAAAAGGGTACGCACGATTCGCAGGGTAATATAATTATTATTTTATACATACATACATATATATACACACACACACATATACACATACATACATACATATACATATACATATACATATACTGTACACACACACACACACACACACACACACATTCGTGCTGTCCTTGGGAAGTAGGAGTCCTTGACTATTCACATTTTATGAGATTTTATTTATTTTAAACGGAAGTATGTGTGATCTGGAGCTTATCTGAGCTTGAGTTGCCATAGAAATGGCTGAACCGAGGTTGCGTTTTAATCGCTGCATGTTTTCAGGCAAAAAAAAAATCTGGATTTTTGTCAGTGGGTTTAGTCATGAGTCAGTATGTAATGTCGTTCTAGCCATGATGCAGACAAGATGCTCAGAACTAGGTGTGTTCCCCCAGGAGCAGGCTTCCATTTAAGCACTGATAAGAGTGAGCCCTGGCCACAGGTTGTATTGTGTTCCATTATAGAATGATCCTGCAAAAGGGGTGAAAGTGTGGTGTATGATAGAGCGTATGAAACAGGCAACTGTAATATAATAAAAAGTAGTGTTGATTAGTTTTAAATGTTTTTATTTAGGGGAAGTAATGAAATGAATCGAGTATTTATTATTTATTTTATTCCTTTATATGCTTCCTTTTTCCCCATAGGTGACCCAAGGTGGCTCGCAACAATTAAAATCATACATCAATAACAAGTTAAAAAATGCCATATAAAGCTATATATTAAAAAAATCTCTCAGAATTAAAAAAACATTTTGAAATTACTTTTACAATGTTTAAAGTATAATTATGAAAGTTTAAAGTGTTCCCTAGACACATATCACTTAAAAGCCTGACTGAAAAAGAAGGTATTTGCCTTTCTTCTCAGGCAGGACATGGAGGAAGGGGCCATTCTGGCTTTTTGGGGGCAGTGCCTTCCAAAGCCTGGAAGTGCCCACTGAGAAGGTCCTCAGTGAATAAATATTTGCATGTCTCATTTATTATTTTATTACCAGCAGGTTCTAAACAGCTCTACTACTAAGAAATCATGGAGCTACTAATCAGGCAGCAACTGTCAGATGCTGAGAGACACCAAGGTGAATGGCTATGCAAACTGTTACAATCTGTCTCACTCTTTCTCTATAAATATAGGCAATTATGTGTGACCCCCAGTGTGAAAATAGATTTTAACTATCCACCCCCACCCCAGCAATATACAATAGTGTCCAAAATATGTTTATTTGAGTCCCCTTATCAGGTGAAAGGCAACCTATAAATAAGACAAGTAAATTAATACAAACAAGATTTTTATGTTCAGTCAAACATAATTCTGTGCGAATGTGCATAGGATTACAGCTTTCTTCACTAAATAAATGGCACATATTATGTGCCACCCTCCCCTATATTAAAGGAACACGAGAGTGTTCCTTTAGTGAAAGTTTCGCATGCATGCACACATGTTGCATTATAAAGCAAGGAAGAAGTCCTCCATTTAAGCCTCAGAAGTCAGTTGTTTATATAAATGATACATTTTGGCCTACTGAAACTTTGTAGCAGTGACATATTTGCTGAACTCTACCTTTGTGTCAAAATGCAGGTTGATCCAAATTGCTAGAGACAGAGCAATTTAAAAATGTGCTGAACAGGTCACACTTACCCTTCTCCCATCCATTTTCCAAATAGGATAGTGAAGGGATTAAATTTTCTGCTTGTAAGGCTTATGCTCTGCTGCTATACTTTCTCACCTTGATGGCCTCTGTGGAATGGCTCAGAAAACTGATTTTTCATATATATCTGAGTATTTACTTCAAAAGTGGGGAACACGCTACCTACAGGCTGCATACGCCTTCACCTGTTTTTTGTGGTTCCAGGAAGCCCTCGCCATTATTAAACTAAAAGAAGAAAAACTGAAGTCCAACAAGTTTGATTCTCTTTTAAAACAGGGCACGTGGCCCCCACATGACTTGGTTGGTGCCAAGGCTCCCCAGGCAGTTATGGTTTTATCTAGGGTTTGTTTTTAAGGAAACTGGCATTGACTCCTGTTCATTTCCAGTTTCAGTTTTTGTTTGTTTTGGACACTTGCAGGAGTGGAGGTGGAACCTATGGTTGGGCCTAAGGTGGGACGTTGGTTAATTGTCTGACTATGATGTATTTAATGGGGTGGGGGGGGGAAGCAGCTTACTGAAATGCTTATTTTCAATATAAATGGTTCCAAAATATTGTTTTCAATATTGTTTGAATGTCCTTTTTGAGATGTTGAGGTTTTGAAGAATACTTACAAGTTGATAAAATCAGCTGATGAAGGAAAATCAGCCCTTGATTCCTCGGAGATTTTCTCTTCTGATTTGTATGTCCTGTGTGCAGAACAAGCACATAAGGTAAGATTGCCCTCATTTTATTGGCATTATTTCCTCTGAAATTTCAAACCACTTTATTAAAAATTCAAATATATTTAACTTCAGATGGGTTTTCCGGAAATGAGCAAGGACTGTCTACAAATGTATTTTAAAGGGAAACCTCCTGTTAACCAATTTTTGGGTAGAGCGTATTTGTGCCAGAGCCAGCTACATACCCCCGTATCTACTGATAACATGGTGAGTTTTTCCCATTTTTAATTTTAAGACCACTCTTCTGTAATAAAAGGACCAGTTAGGTATTGTATAGTGCACACTGTGTTTGGATCATTAAACAAGTTAATATGAGGAAGTTTATGGGGGGGGGGAGTGTTTTCTCCACCCCCTGTTCCTCCTGCCCCAGAGGCACCCATCCCCTCCAGAAGTGTCCCTGGATGAATGGGAGGGTTGTCTTGAATGTGTGGGATGAATCACAGAGAGCTCTAGGAATGAACTGTCATGTTGTAAACTTGTTTTAAAAATACAGTTTTATTCATGTCTACTCAGAAATTAGATGTAATTATTTCAATGAGACTTACTTCCAAGCCCATCTATTCAGCTGTTTTGTCTGAACGCAAGTAGGGCTTGAAGCATGGCAGTGACCTGCCCTCTTTATTTCTGCTCCACACAGAAATCAAGGCAGATTTTCATGAATTCACAAGGGCCACAAAACTCTACTGAACACCCAGTGTTTCCATGACTGAGAGATGTGATGAGGCAGTGTTTCCCACTCATGGAACCATAACATAGTAAGCATATTCAGCAGAGCACACAAGACCCACTGCAGGCTGATGTGAATACATGAAGTCTGCCTGATGGATTGGGGACAAGGGAGTAGGAATTATATGCATTTCTCTGTCCCATCACACATCAAGCCATATCTGTTTTCCAGTTGTATTACCTGCTCAAGACTAGTTTGTATAAAATCACAGCCTAACTGAAGTTATTTTAAGTCCCAAACCAAAATTCCCAAACTCATGTTTGTCATATAAATCTGAAGTACGATAGAATTTTTAAAGAGGAAATTGGCATATTGGCACATCTGCAAAACTATTTCTGCACTACAGATTAGTACAGCATATCCCACTCACATTTTCTTTCTCCGTTTTTACTAAATGAATCCCTTGTCTAGCAGAAACCAGAAAAACTACTTGAGGAAAGTTGCAAAGGGTGATCTGCATTATCAGGAAGACATGTGTTTCAGAACTTATTTTCCAGTGCCATGTATAGTTCCACTCCCACCAACAACCATCTGTCAGATGTACTTTGATTTGTATTCCTGCATTGAGCAGGTTAATGGTCTAGATGGCTTTATACACCCCTTCCAACACCATTATTCTATGATTCTAAGTTAACATTAATGATTGCTCTTAATGTTTTTTTCCACATTTGAAAAATAGTTATTTTAATGACAGAATTGATTAATTTTAAAACAATACTTTTCCAATCTGTGCATGTATCAATGTGTGTGCATACGGAATCTGCTTTCTACATAAGCAAGGATGCATATATATCAGCTCCTCTCATTTGAATGAGAAAGAAATTGGTTTAGGGCAGGAATGTTGGCTGGGTTCATTGGAACTCCTTCAGCACAAGTTTTGTTGGCCCTACACTGTCCGGCACTATGGTCTACATCTTCATATGCGAAATTAAGATAATGTAGCATGGTGGCAGAAGGGCAAGATACATATACAATATTATGTATATTATATTGTGAATAGATGTAATATACGGTAAGTGAAATAATAAAATATTTTGACTTATTTATTATTATTATTATCATTATTTTAGGAACAGTTTGAAAAGTTCATTATAAACTTGCTCAAAGCAATAGACTTTGCATTAGGTGATACAAGGTAAGTTTTTTAAACAACTTATTCCCAGTTTAGCCCCTTTAAAAGGTCAACTCTGGCACTCCATTCTGCAGAAACTGAAACTATTGAGTTTGAGTGAAACAATTAAAATAATGACAGAGAATGGAAATGGATGATCATTTTCTCAAGAGTTCCTGTGTAGACAGCCAAATTTGATATTATGTTAGCTGTTGCTTCTGAACAGTGTAGATGTGATGTAACAAAACAACCAAGAACATGTATTTGAAAGTGTGGGGCACATGTAATATTCCAGGGGCTGCATGGTCACCGAAATTATGAAAAAAAGGAAGTGGAACTGGCCGAAAGCCCATATCTGGGGAGTGTGTGTGAATATTTTTGTGACTGAATATTTTGCAGTTTTAAACACTGCAGGGAGGGAGCCTTTGTGACCTATTTAAAAAGTGAGTCACTGTTACCAAACTTTTTTTAAATCCAGGGTAGTGGGAAGAGGAGTGGGAGTCTAATGTGACTGGAGGCTGTAGAAAGTCTTTTGGGGAGGGGTGCTACCTGCAGGCCCAGAGCTAAATGGTGTCCCTCCCCCCCACCTCTTTATTAGCTATACTTGTTTCCACTAACACAGTGACACCACTGGGGGCAAGCCTAAATTATGTATATAAATGGGTAAAAAATATTTAATTTTTTGCTTATGTGTAAGTCAGAACGATTGTGGTTATAGGAAAACCAAGTAATTCAGTAGAAGCTAACCTTTTGGGGATGTTAAGTCCCAAATGTGAGAGAGTACCATTTTACATAGGCAACCCTAACCTGGTTTTGTCTCTGGTCAGGTATAGCATGGAGTAAGCACCCATATAGTACAGGAAACAAAGGAGGAATGCAGACCTAACTTAAATCATCAGGCACCTTGTTCCTTTCAAGTTTCTGTTACGCCACCGACAATCTTGCTTGTGTTTCTTATGGCTCCTGTGCCTTTGCTTGGTTTCATCTGAAACAGACTGCTGTAAAGTTCAGGGGAAAGACTTGATAAAATGAATGCCTTGTCTGCTTCGGTTTCCACATAATGATATCTTAATATGTTCTCTTTTTTTATTCCAGATACTATTTTTTGATATATAATGCTTCAGTTATTTATTGGAAGATCATCAGGCCCTTCTTTAAACCTGGGCTCCGCCACTTTCTTATCCCAAGCCTCATTCAGATTGTGCCTGCGTTGAAGCATCCAGTTGAGGAAGACAAGGACTGGACAGCAGAACTCATGATGTAAGCTAAGTTACTGTTGAAGGGAAGGCTCATTTTGATGTTGTGTTGGCCATTTCTTCCATCCTGGGCAGCAGTGCTTCTGTGCTATTCATCAATAGAAAAACTGACTCTACCAATTCGTTGCGGAAGTACATATAAATAAAATGCCTAGTGGAGCTTAGTAAACACAATGCATTTGCACATATTTAGAAAGCTCTTGTACCTTTATTGACAATTTCTCTGTTCCTATGAAACAAAATAGTTAGACACTAGCAAATGCACCTAGGTTTGTCCATGTTAGAGACACATTAGTCACACACATACCTCAATGGTTGTCTCTTTTCTTCTACCAGTCAGATTTTTTTTTGTTCATGCTGTTCATTTTCCCCTCTCTGTTCCAGTAGTAGGCCCCATACTCAAGATCAGAGACAGAAAGGTAACTACTTGGCAGTAAAATTCCCAGAATGTTTCAGCTAGTGTAGTCAACCGCTGGCTTACATAAGCTACCTAGTTATATTAGTTGGCACATGAGTAATATCCATGCAAAATGGCATGTTTCTAGCTTGATATAGTTCTTCTATTGAAATCATGTTTCTCTTCCATTTTCATTTGAAGAGCAGCTTCCAAACTCTACCAAACATCTTGCATTAGGTATGGAACTTTTGTTTCCAAATGGAAGATTCAAAACATGAAAGAGGCACTTTTTCACATAATTAGTGTTCTTTACTTGACTGCTAAAAAAATAAAATCTATAAAACATGAATGATTTGTGCTTAGGAAGGAGAGATGTACAAAAGTTTCATATTTTTTCATGTCCCTTCTTTTCTGTAACCTGGTGCCCTTTCACCTTTTGTCTGTCAAACGGCAGGATTTTTTTCCATTCAATTGTACCACAAAGAATGTAAGCACAGCAGCCAGTCAGAACATGGGGGGGGGGGGAAGGGGGGGGAATTTTGAATCTGTAAAAGGGCCTGGAACCAAGAGAGAAATGTTATTTGCTTCAATTGTTTCTTGTGGGATTACTGTGTGTTGAGATCCCGAAGCCTTCCATCTTGAATTTGCCTGCCAGTCTATCTCCCTGCCTGTTTACTGTGCCTCCATCTTGGCTCTATTTATTTTTTAAAATAGTTGGAGGGGGATTCTTCTCTCTATTTCTTTGAATTATTTCTGCTGCTGTCAGGCAGCCTGCCTGTGCTAGTTTGCCTCCTTGTAATTATTTTTTTTATCATGTATTCCAATTTGTTTGGTGATTTCCTCCGCTTTGGTTTGTTTGCCTGCCCATCTGTTTGCTTGTTTGCTTGGTGGATGGGTCTGTTTTCTTTGCTTCTTTGGGAATGTGTGGGCCTGGAGGATGGACTTAGTGACTGTGCCAGTGTACCACTGGATTGTTTATGTGATTGCAAATGATTTTCTTTCTCATGTACTTTTGCCTGATTTTGGAGTAGATTGATTCTCTCTTGCCTTGCTTATGCATTTTTGAAGTAGTTTTAAGTGTTCTTTATGGTTTGAGGAGTGCTCGAAAATGTGAATGGAAAACCTGAAATAGGTTTATGTAAAATGAAAGGATTGATACATGAAAAAATGAAAATAGAAGTCCCCTCACCCACTGAAAAGACTGAAATGAAAGAAACTTTTCATCATGCACATCCTTATCACATCCTACTTTTAAAAATGCTTTCATTTTTGAAAGTGGTGTGCTTTGCAGGATATTTTTGGATTGAGGAATGAAGGGCCTAAATTTAAATGGGGCATTCACTGGTGAATTTGCTTCCTTCGATGGAACTGAGTGGAGCAATCTCCCCTCCCCAGTGGAGGCCCAAAATATTCCCCGGAGGGCTGAAAACCCTCTGGAGCTCATTTTCAGGCAGACCCAAGGGCTATAGGACCTTATGGTTTGGCTTCTGGGCTATGGAAAGTTTTGTTCTGGTGCTGGAAGGCAGCAAATCATTGGTTTTAGCCTTATGATTTGATGGGCACATGGATTCAGTTGCATGGTTTTCTGGATTGTGGTTATAAAGGGAATAGGAGATGTGTACACAGTCATTAGTGTTACACAGGAAATTGACTACTTTACTTTTAATTGCTTGGTCATTCAGAGAGATATAAAACTGAAATTGGCAGCATGATGTTAGAGATAGTTATGTTAAACTACTTTTATGCATTTTAATTTTGTTTGCCCAAGAATTACAAACTGAAATGTTTTATGATTTACTGATTTGGAAGCTATCAAACTTGGGCTAAATTAGACCCTTCCCCTTCCCCGTTAATTTTCCTATTTTTGTTTAGGCATCCTAACAATCCCTTTTATTGCGAATGATCATAAATCACTAAATATTTTCAAACTGGAGAGATGATGTCTGGCTGCTTTCCTTCTCCTCCATATGCGTAATCATAGCTTTGCTTCCTTTCCCTCTTAATATACACCTGCTCTGGGCTGGCCGTGATGCCAAGCGCACACAGCATACTTTGCCCTTGTCAGTTTCCATTGAATTAAACCAATGAGACATTTTGCTCTTCTTTTGCCAATAGGATTACTAGCTCTTTCAAATAAAGCTACTTGAGGACATGATGTTGACAGGGAAATCAAGATGATGATATTTTCTTCTGTGATATTAATGAGTGCTCTTCATGGGATAACACCATTTCCTCTGGGGGAAGTAAAGGAGAACAGAAGTGAAACTGGCAGAGATTTCTACCAATCTGATGGTTGTTCTCATTTTTTAGACTTAATTTTGTCCTATTCATTCAGTCTTCAGCCTTACTGTCAATACTCCTAGAACAACTTTTAGAATTTACAGTTATTAATTCTGTGTTTTGCTAAAATAGCTGGATGATTTAGAGGCTTGAAAGCAGGATGAAATCTTGAGAGAATTTGATGTGACCAGAAGAGTGCATCAGATCTTCTTGTTAGCTTCCTTTCGAACAGTTTTCTTGAATGATTTTAACCAGTGATTTGATGGTTTGAGTGAAAACCTATTAAAGAAAGGACACAGATGCTTTGATTATTTTGTTTTGATCTTCAGAATAATTATACATGTTGGTGCAGATCTAGCCAGGATTTTGGGAAAAACATCATACACAATTTGTCTGAGATTTCAGCCTTTTGAGGGTAAATGGGTGCATTTCAAAATGTTGGGAAACTGTCACAGACATCAGCACAAAATGACAGCCTTGGGGGCCTATATAGTCACAAAGGATAAGTAATTTATCCAATAAATTTTGAACAAAATGAATAATGGGATGGAGCCCCAAATACTGAACCACATATTTGCTCTCACAGCACAACAAAGTACAGTACCTATTTTCACAGAAGTTAGAATTAGTTAAAGAAACAAACACACCCAATAAACAAAACACAGAGCACAGACAGAAACAGCTCATGCCTTGGAAAACACATCCATACCATAACATCTTTCGATAGGCAATTTATATACAGCAACACACAACTATGTATTCAAATCACATTTCTGAAACATTATACCACATGCCAGATGGATGAGTACAGCTTTCAAATTAGTGGTATAATAATTTGTCACTATTTGTCATTTATGAACAAAACAATGCCTGTCATAAATATTATTTTCTTGTCTCACAGAGAATTGCTTGAATGTTTCCTGGATGCTTCCAGAGTTGAGGAAGCCATAGATTTTTCATCCACCGCTGCAGCATTCATTAAGGAAAATGCCCCAGGGAGATATAAACAACTGTTTTCTTTAATGGTAATCACAGAAAAAATAATTTACGGCTTCATTTTCCAATATTTCTATAGACGTTTGAGATGCAGATTTTGTAGCCCAGTGTCATCCACAGCAACCATCTGATTTGAAGCCATCCCTAGTCATCCCTTTGTCATGAAAAAATTGTTATGTACAAGAAGTACCGTAAGTGAAGAATGGCATGCAATTAATGAAAGAAAAAATCAGTAAAATCGAAGGAATACCAATGTGATATTTGTATTGTATCACAGGTGCTCAAGATCTAGCCTGTCTTACTGGAAAGGCAGAGGTATTTCTATTATTATGCCACAGACATAATGATGATCATGTGTCAGACCATCTGTTGACAAACTGTCAGTTTATTAGAAGGGTTTTTCTGGTCTAGAAGAAAACCCCAGGACAGCAAAGAAGATATAACATCGTAGTCAATACCTAGTCAATCTTAGTCAATTACTCAATAAAAATAACTCTTCCATGTTGTTGCATATCACTTACATTAAATGTACAAAATAATTTGAAATTTCCATATTTTCTATTTCTAAAATAAGGTTTGTTAGCATCATATTCAACTCTGACTTGCTGTTCTATATCATTGGGCAGTGATCAGCAGAATCTTGTACATGCCTAGTCAGAAGTATCCCATCGATTTCAGAGAGACTTATTCTCATGTAAGAACTTTAAGATTGTAGTCCAAAAGACTGGAAAGCTGTTTTTAAGATGCAACAGAAGCTTTTCTGCCTTTTGGTTTTCTTTTTAAAAAAAAAAAAAATCAGCCTAGTACAGTGGTATCTCGACTTACAAACGCCCCAACATACAACCATTTTGAGTTACGACCAACTCTGGCCGCAAAATTTTGCTTTGACTTGTGGCCGGAGCTTCGAGTTATGAACAGAAAAAGGCAGGGGGAAAAGGGGAGGGAATTCAAATTGCTAACCGTTGGTAGGCGAAGAGGCTGCTTCTTTGTAGCTCTTTCACCCCAGCAGTTAGAGTGACTGCGATCAGAGGAGGCTTCGGACTGCCTGGCAAGATAAGGTGCTGCTTTTTGCTTTTTAAAAACTACTTGTTCTGGGTGGGTTTTGCAGCATGGTTTTGGGCTGGGTGGTGGGATTATGTTTGTTTGTTTGTTTGTTTAATATCCTGCCTATCTGGTCGGTTAAGACCACTCTAGGCAGCTAGAGTGTGATGGGTCTTGCGGGGGTTGTTTGCTTTTGGTTTTTTCCCCCCATTTCTGAAGGGTCTTGCAGGGTTTGTTTGCTTTTTGGGTTTTTCCCCCATTTCCAGAGGTTCTTGTGGGGTTTGTTTGCTTTTTGCTTTTCTTTTCTTTTTCTTTTTCTTTTTTCTTTTTTTTTGCATTACTGATGGGTCTTGGATGGTTTGTTTGCTTTTCTCCCCCCCCCCTTCGGCCAGAATGCCTTAATTGTGTTTCTGACAGTTTTGCAGGGTTTTTTTTGGGGGGGGGGGTCATGATTTTTTTCTTCTGTCGGAACAGATTAATTGCATTTCAATGCATCCCTATAGGAAATGGTGCTTTGACTTACGACCATTTCAAGTCACTACCGAAGTTCCAGAACCAATTAAGTTTATAAGTTGAGACACCACTGTAAAATGGAAAGCAAGTCCAAAACTGAAAGACTAAAGAAGCAGCTGTTGGCCTGGATCCAGCAGTGTACTTCTAGCGGATTCCTCTGTTTCTACTAGCAGAATCAGAAGAAAATAATTCCTCCTATAACTACCAGGCCCTCTAATAACCTGACACCAGGGAAGGAAGTGCCAGTTCTGGTGGAAGGAACAGAATCCAGTAGAAATATGCTGTTGGGTTTTGGCAATTGATAGGATTGGTTATGACTGAAATATCTCAAAGCAAATGCAGACTTTTATATGTTAGGATGAAATATACCACTGTTATTTCATCTACTCTGTATGAAATTCCTTCTAAATGAAAATGAGGGGCAATTGCTGCAAGAGTAAATGATTACCGGATAAATCATTTTTGAGTGTTTTGACATTTGCAATTTGACATTCGTGTGTGATGGAAGAGTGATGAAAGCACATACACAAAATCCATGATGGCTCACTTTGAAGTAATTTGGTAAGTTTTTAAGATGCCAGAATGCTTCTATGTTAGTTTCATTTTGGCTTTGGTTTTTGATAAAAAAAAAACTACTGGGAGGACATAGTAGCACTTACAGAGTATTTATGACAGTCCCACTGAGGCTAGTATTTTTTGTTTGTTTTAGGATTGATGTGAGGTGTAACAGCAGGCTTATGAAATGTTCATCAAATTATTAGTGGCTGCTAGACTTGACAAAGCTAGAAATATGCTGCTGGTAATTCAGTTATAACAAACAGGTTCAATAGAATATGGAAGTGTTTGGGAAAACAGGAATAAGGACGAGAGGGACAGGGAAACCTAATGCTGTGATTCAATTCTCCTTTGCATGAGAGTGCAGTTGAAGTCAGAGGGACTTATTTCTGAGTAAGCAGCCAGAGATCTGCATCACTAACAAGAAAAGGAATAATAGAATTGCGTGGTGATTTGCTAAAAGTTGTTCAATTGAAAATTTGATTAGTTTAGTCATCAGGCATCAGTACAGGATATGTTAGTTATCCAGAGTCATATTTTGTCCCAGAATCCAGACGGACTTAGATGTACTATGTAGCATGTCAGAGCTATGAACAGTGTTGCTCATTTTCAGCCACCTGCCATGTACAGTTGCTGTTTTTGAGTAGCCAAAAAAGTCTCCTGAAAATCTATTGTACTTTGCCATTGCGGCACTTTATTGTCCCAGCCAATGTAAAACCGTGGGACAAAAATGCCCTATACCTTTTTCCCCCTCAAGCCATAAGGCTCAGAAGCAGCATACTATCATTGTCAGTAGGTTGGGATATATGGATTTTCAGTAGGTTCAGGAAATATAAAATAAATACATTAAACACTTCCATTAACCCCGACGACACTGCTCAGCCTATAGTTATACTTCATACACTGGAATTATCACAGAGTAAGAAAGTGCCTCCAGCTGACTAGAGGTGTACAGATTTGTGTAAAGCCCCCCCCAAATTCCTGAGACATTGAAGTCTAAAAATATAAACCCACATGCCTTTACCTATTCTCTTAGTAAAATGTACTTTTTCAAAATCCAATTTGAATTTCCAGCCCTTTCTCCCTGCCTTTTTGGCTTCAGAGCTCTCAAAGGGCTTCCTCCAATGTTGGGGGGAAAGCCCTTTGAGAGCTCCGAAGGTGCCGATCGCGGTGGCGGGGACTCCTAGGGAGGTCTCCCATGGTGGTGTACAAGCCCTGGGAGACCTATTGGTGCCTTCATGGGAGACCTCCCTGGGAGTCCCCACCGCCGCTATTGGTGCCTTTGGAGCTCTCTTAAAGGGCTTTCCCCCCGACATCAGAGAGAGCTCCGAAGCCAAAAAGGCAGGGAGAAAGGGGAAATTCAAATTTCCAGGCCTTTCACCCTGCCTTTTTGCAGGGAGCCATTTATGAATGGCTCCGTTGGGAAAAAAAAAAGGCATTGATTTGCGAATGGAGCTTTGACTGATGAATGGCTCCGTTCGCAAAAAATGCCATTGACTTGCGAACGGAGCCTTGACTTTGTTCATAGGTCGAGCTCCATTCGCAAGTCAGTGCCATTTTTTTACTTCGTTCGCAAGTCAGTGCCATTTTTTGCCAATGGAGTCATTCGTAAATCGAAAAGTTTGCATCTAGGGACGTTCGTAAGTCAAGGGTTGACTGTTACAATTTTTTTTTTTTTTTGAAAATGGTGCATGATCTTTAATAGGGACGTTCGTAAGTCAAGAGTTGACTGTTACAAAAATTTTTTTTAAAATGGTGCATGATCTTTATAAAAGGATGTGATCCCTGTTGCTTCCCCTACCATTTAAAACAAACAAACAGACCCTAATGAAGTATAAAGCAGTTTTAGATCACCTATCTTTCCAGAAAACTTTGTATAACAACACAGCTTAAAGTCAATAGAATGACAGAATTCTTACATTTTTGGTGCTGACCTGTCATTTTGCTTATTACATCAAAGAGATACATGGATATGACTCATAAAATGCTGGCTTATTGCAAGCCCCAGGGGGAATAGTAGTTGCTAAGTATGATAACTGAAGAAGGATTCCAGTTATATACGGAAGTATTGTTGAAATATCAGACGTGGCTAATATGGTTGGTGGATTTTTCCTGTTCTCCTATGCCATTTAATGTCTTCTTTTTGTTTCCTTCCAAATGATCAGTCATGTGGCAATGGGGAAAGTACTTTGCATAACTTCTCATGAAATTAAACATGAAATACATACCTGATTTGCCAGAGCTGTAATATTAATAAAGCTATGAAATGAAGGCAACTGAGGTCATGTATTATATGTTTCTCAAAAGTACCTTTGAGGAAAAGCAAGCCGGCAATGGTCTTAAACTATAATAATAATTTTTAAACTGTAATTGAATGGTATCTCTCTTATGTGGCACCAGTCTTCCTTTAATAACCAAATAATAAATGAATATTCCAGCACTCCTGCAATCTGTCGAAAAGGCAATTTGAAAATAATGAAGCTAAGTAGAAAGGTGTGATTAAAGTTGTGATATAAAGCCACATTTTAGGATGGGCAAAATAAGTAGAAAAGGTATTATGATACTTTATTTTAAAAAAAAAAACTTAGCCTAGGAGATTATTTGAAATTATCTGAGTCAGTGGTGACTATATTGGCCATACATCCTTTAATTTATGATGAGCTGGGCCCATCTTTGCATTAAAATCTAATAACAACACAGTGTAAATATCAATGTGGTGAGGCCTATTATAGAATGTTCTTTTCAGGGCAAGGAATTTTTGTCAGCCAGCATGGTTCAAATTCGTTGAGATCAATTTGACATCACTTTTGTCCATTTTCTGCCAGTGTGACTGCCTGATCCAAAGCAAAGATGCACTCATCGGGGGGGAGGGGGTTCAGTTCATCTCATCAGAAATGCTCCTTGTTCCCAACCATTTCATGTTTTTTAAAGGTTTTTAAAGGTTTGCTAGAGTACATAGGAGAACAATTTAAGAGAGAGAGAGAGAGAGAGATGGAAATTGCTAATTAGCACTTATTGGCATCTTGTTAAGGCAGTTTCTGCTGTTGGAACTGAGCTCTCTGCCTCTGGCCTTGCTGTCTGCAGAAATTGTACAGCGATTTGATTTCCGTTGGTGCAAGTCACAGCAGATCAAACTGTGTTTTCCCTGCTATGTAGTCACACCCTCAGTTACTGATTTTTACCAATATTACAATCCACAACTCATGTTACACTTCCTGCTCCTCCTAGTGGAAGGAACCATACTACACCTGGGAAGCTCAGTTAGAGGTGAACTTCATGAATAGAATGGTTTTACTTAAACTTGCTTTCAAAAACAAGAGCCTCTCCCCTTCCCTCGAATTATGTTATCTGTACATTCCCTGTGAAAAATTACAGGTATTGGCCTCTTTATTTAACATAAAACAGCAGGAAAATTTTATGAAGCATCTCAGTGGCTGAAATTCTGTTAACAAAAACTACATGTGCAAGAGCAGTTGCAATGTATTTTTCTCTCTCTCTCTTTTTTTCTTTTGAGAGTCTGTTCTTCATGTGACTGGTCATGTAGTTAATTTCACAACCAGTACGTGACCCACTTTTTACTAGGGGTTGATACAGTTCCTATAATTATTTGTAGATACGTCATAAACTAGTAGAAGCTTCACAATTAGAAGATGAACTTGAAAACTCTCCCAACTTGAACATTATTTATCAGATTCAGACAATCAAGTTGTAAGTATTTATGGTTGTAGATGTGTACAAATGGGCTGGGATGTTGACATGAAACACATGATAATGCAGTTTGGCATGTGGAGAAGAATACTAAATGGTCTTGTAAAATCAACCTGCCTCTTCTCACCACCATCTCAGAGTCACACATATTCTGGAGCAGTGCTCTGGGTAGTTTGTTACTCAGGAGATGGTTGGGGAAATCTGGCCTCCATGTTAGTTGGAGAGATGAATAGCACACTCCTGTCTTAAAGAGGATAGTTTGTTAATAGCAAAACATGGACCAAAATAACGAGAGTGAAGACTGATGGACATCATAATGTGATCAAAGACACATCTTTTACTTCTTGTCCTTTTAAACTGAATTTGCAATGCTTCTTTTGAAACTTTTCTTCTGGTTTGAAAGACAGTTTTTTGTATCTTACCAAAACCAGGTGAAGTAGAGAAAGATGTGTAAACTTAACTTTTGATTCATACAAGATGATTCTAATTTGAATAGGCTACTCACAAATCCAGCTCATGAAAGAAGGAAAACTTGTTGATTGTTGGACAAAATTCAGTTTTTCTAATAAAAATGTTATTAATCATCCATTTGTAAATTAATTGCAGGCAATTAGATAAAAATGAGATTCCACAAGAAGCAGCCACTGATTTGAGTAATATATATGAACTTTTGAAGGGATCTAGAAGGAAATTAAATCGTAATGAAAGGTAAGGCTTATGGGTCGACAACACTCTGGAAGCCCTTTCAAAAATGTCTATATGTATTATTTAAACTGCATTCATGCCAAAGTTAAGACAAATTTGGCTGAATCTCCCATGCTTAAAGATCGCAGAACTTAGAAAGTCCTCCCCCAAAGTAAGTTATCTTGGACTGTACAACAGACAAATAGGACCCCTATCTGCAGGATCAGTATCCACAGATTCACTTATCCATTGCCTGAAAATATTAAATTAAAAAACCCAAAAATATGTATGTATATGTATTTCTACAGTGTATTTACCATAACTGGCTACTAGAGGGAGCCAGAGACCATGCTGTGTATGATGTTCACTATTTCCACAATTTTTGCCCCTGCTGGGGGTTTTGAGCCGATCCCCCGCAGATACCTTGGTCCTACTGTATAACAAAATCTGTTAAACAGTCCTCTTGTCCTTGTCTGAGACTTTAAGAAAACATTTTAAGCTGGAAGTGTTTTTTAAAAAGGAGGCAAGTTCTCATATCCGGGTCCAGTGTTAGAGTGGGTAGCCTTTTCTCTATCAGTGATCTCATTCCCTAGAGGGTGATCTATCAAAGGCTGAATGCTAGTAGTGGGTAGGACTAGACCTAAGAGTGGAGAGGGTTGATTCCTTCTTTCTCCCCTGCTACACTCTCTTCCTCCCATTCTCCTCTCTCCAAAATGTTTTCTGGATGAAGGAATAGATTATTCTGGCTATTGGTTTAGCAGATTGCATGCAGGAGGTTTTTGAAAGGCCTAAGCCTGAAGGCAAGTCAAAGCTTGTACTTATCTCTCTTAAACTTTCCAGAGGGGCTTAAACAGTAACTTGTCTTGCCTGCACCCATATTCCAAAGTCTCGTGTCAGGAATACTCCTCTTTAAAGGAGAATCCACTAGGAGAAGGTGTTAACTTTAATCCCTAAATTCCACCACCCTTTGAACCCTAGACTCAGTGAAGCCTAGAAGGTGCATGATTGGGTAACTAGGAGCAAACTTCTAAACCTAGATGTCCACCTATCCCCTTATTTTGGAAAAGAAATTCTGTTGGCTGTGTACTTTGAGACTTGCACACCAGCCTGACCACATAGAATACCCAAATAAAAGCAATTAGTACAGCTTTGTGGCTAAGACACTTTCTTTAGGCAATGTACCCTTCCTCTCCCCAAAAGAATTCGCACTTGGTTAAAATCCTGGAGATTTAAAGAGACGTTTTTCTTACCTCCATGTATCCTTATAAGTGTCATTATAAACGGCCTTTCAAGGAGAAGAAATTGCTCCTGGTGGTGCAAGGATTCATGGGGGTCTCGAGGGAGCATGGGTCGGTGGTAATTTGAGATGCTCCCTCTATAGAGCCTAATAGGCAGTGGAACTACCCACCAGATTTTGCTTATGTTACCATTGTAGAGAAAATTCTATTTTGTGTAATTCTGGCAGGTCCAATTCTGAGTACCTGTTAGAGAGAGGGAGAAAACCGACCAAGCCTGCAAGGTTGTTGTTGTTGTTTGAAATATATGGGATTTGGGTTTATTGAAGGATTAAAAAGATAGGAAACAGAGGAATTCTGCAGAATGGAGATGGACGGAGCTGTTGCTCAGATTGGTCCATCTCAAATAAGATGGAAACGTGTATACCTTTATAGGAATCAGGTGGGATCAGATGGACAAATGATTCGTCTTATAAGAACAGTATGTCCTGCAAACTATTTCATGACAACCTTGATAATGTGTTTTTGTAATCCTGTGATGGACAGTGACATTTACACACAGGCATCAAAAGTGCACTAGTTACATGTTTCTGCAAATATAATGTAAAACATTAAAAATAGGATGTTTTTAGAACAAAAGAATTAAGTTATTATAAGCACTTCCCTCTATTATCTTGACATACAGAAATGTCAAGCTACTTGCAAGAGTTTATACTTCCTGCCATTAGATTCTCTCCTTACCTGTCTTTTTGAATCTTCATGGCTGGCCAGCTGGAAAATAAGGAGGAACAATTGTCCTTGCAGTGTTCATGAGAAAGTTACTATGGCTTATTTATCCAGCAAGATATGTTGTATTTACATCTTATTCTTGTAACGTTCAGTAAGAAATATGGAATACTTCAGACTAACAATAATCTTATTCTTAAGTATGAACAAACCAGTATTGAAATTCTAAGTAAATCAGTTTAGGATGACATTGTGTGTCTGTTGAGTGTAGCATTAATTACCTGTACTAGTTTTATTCTAATTTTTTGCTTTCTCCTTCTGTAGAATTTCTTTGCTGCTGGAATTGGCTCAACTTTCATTGAAATTAAATTGTATACCTGTTGCATGTTCATGTATAAATGATCTGCAGAAATGTAAAATTACTGTGAGTATTAAAATATTCTTGGCTGAACTATCTTATTATGAAGTCAACATTAAGAGAGTGTTTATTATTATTGTTATAAACAAAGTGAAAATAACTTCACTCATATATTAGCTATTATCAGGGGGAAATTACTACCTAAAAGCATTTATAGATAGGAAATAAAGGAGTACATCCCTGTAAATATAAAAAAGCTCTTGCTTATGATGTAAATATACATTTTAATACTTGCCAGAATCCCACTGGTGTTTGCATAACATCTGTGTAATTTTCCATGACTGACTGTAGTTAATTGATAAGTTGCTGGGCATATGTTGGTTGTGAAGTTAGGTACAGGGCCAGGCACCCAACCAAGACACACCACAGCACTTTGTCAGTTAGCCACAATGAGCTGCAGCAAGTTTTGCAAACTTAATACCAAAATGGTTCTAGACCTGTTTTCAGATTCTGACCATTGGAAAAAGTTGTTCAAGGGCTTGTTGGGAAAAAAAAAATCACTATAATCTGGACTAATGAATAGGTTACAAGCAATATGATTACTTTCCAAAGAACTCAAAGTATTCTATGTATTGTAGTATATAATATATCTATAGTAATGCAATAATGATACTTACATCATACTATTGTATGGCCTCGATTTTGTGTTGTATCTCTCATATTATACTTAGAACTATTATTTCATTATCTTCTCACAAAGCTATTTGTACTGTAATTTGGGGTGGTTTGGAGAGTCATATTTAATGTATGTGCATTAAATATGGCCTTTGTTGACATCAGACACTAACTGAATCCCTGTAGTTGAGTGTAATAAGTCACAACTAGAATAGGCCCACTGAATTAGTGGGAATTTGGTTAGTGAGCCCTTCAATTAATTCCATTAATTCAATGGGCCTGTTCTACTTGTGACTTACTATGCTAAGCAATGGGTGATTATCCTAAACAAGGATCAACACTTTATGTTTGTTTGTTTGTTTGTTTGTTTGTTTTGTCATTCTGGGGAAAGTGTGGTTCTCTAGGGAAAACATGGTTTTCAAACAGTTTTGAACTATGTGGGGCTTCATAGAATTTGTTTTATTTTATTTGAAAAAAATTGCAATTGGTTTCAAGCCACAAAATAGTAACAGAATAAATATACATTAATCAAAATCTTGTTCCCATATTTCCATGGTGCAAACCAAATGATGTCACCATCAAAAACTGGTCATATTTAATTTTAACTGATTAAAATCAATTGATTAAATGCTTCCTATCCCCCCTTTCAAGTTCTGAGGCTCCCTAGGGTTGTTCTTTTTCGTAGAAAAATCCTTTGGGAGCTATGGGATGAGGGAGATCTTTAATAGTCAAAAAGCACTACCAGACCACTGGCAGTGATCCAGTGGCAATTTTTTTACAATTAATGGGTCCCCCATCCCAAGATTCCCGAAGGCTTCCCTGGGACAAAAGGGAGCCTCAAAACCCGAAGAGGGAATGGGAAGCATTTAATCAGTTTAAATTAAATATTAGTGGTGCCAGATGATGACATTATGTGTTTTGCACCTTGAGCAGGATTTTGCCAATTGACTTTCATTGTTTCTATGAAGATTCTGAGTCATCCAGGTGAGGTTATCTGGAAGCTGATATCTTCAATATAAGTATTCATCAATGGTTCTCTAGTGTTGTAATGGTGCATCAAGTACAACATGAAAATATCTACTATATGTATGATATATGCACATCCATTTTGCATAATCTAACTCATTGTGCCTAACTAATGATAATAACAACAAAGAATCTTCTGACATTTTGAAGACAAACCAGCTGGGATCTTTGGTTTGGTGAGGTGCATACAGTTCTCTGTTAGAGGATCTAGTGTGCTACCTGGAATGTCAGCAGATAATTCCAGTATTGATACCAGTATTGATCGCGCCGTTGAGCGATGAAATCGCTTTGCGATGGACTTTTGCCCAGCGCTAGAGCGATCGCTTAGTGATGTCCCCTATGGCTAAAATTCACTTTGCGATGATCGCGGAGGAGCGATCATGGCAAAGAGAACTTTTAAAAACAGCTGATAGACTGTTCCAAAATGGCCGCCGCAAAAAATGGCTGCCGCTGTTTTGCCTCGCTGTAGAGGCACCCAAAATGGCCGCCGCTATGGAGGAATTTCGCTTTAAGGTAACTTTTTAGCCCATAGGAATGTATGAAACGTGTTAAGCGTTTTTTCCAGAACAGATTAACATCGCTAAGTGAGGCACCACTGTATCTCACTTGAACTACAGATCCCAGAATTCCACAGGATAGAGCCATGAGAGTTAAAGTGTATTCAGGTTGTTATAACTGTATAATGTAGATAAATCATACCTATTTATTTATTTATTTATTTATTTATTTGTTTGTTTGTTTGTTTGTTTATTGTGATACTGGCATTGTTTTTCATGGGCTAGCACCCTTTTTTGTATGAGAAAATGTTATCATCTGTTAATATGCATACATATGTTTGCTCATATTTACACACGTCTACATAGAGCCTCAGCTTCTTGCTGAAAGCTAATCAGAGTGGAAGCTGAGCTTATTCTCCCAGTCAATTTGCTACTTCAGAGAAAATCATGCCTTGTTCTTTCTAGGGGTGGTAAGGATATGTAACAAGACTTCGACTGAAGATCTCAAAATATGTGGCAGGCTCACATAAGAAAACCACTTATGAGTATAATGACTGACCATTACAATGAAGCGCCTTAAATATCTAAGATTATTCATAATAATTTGCATTCCATAGTAATGATATATATGTATATTAATAGGATCTGGGGAAAGAGATTGAATTGGACTGCTTGGAATGTGATTATGAAGTCAAGAAGCTTGGGCCCAAAATTGAAACATATGCTAAAAGTGTTGTTGAGGTATGTCTGCTCCTTAACTTGCACTGCTTTGCATAGATTTCTGCCCCTCTGCCTTCAATGTCTTGTTTTTCCTATCTGTTGTCTTTTTTTTTTGTACCTTTTTGGACCAGAAGATCAATTTTTGCTGACAGCTAGAAGAAATTTATGCTCCAGAAGCCGACTGACTTGACACTTGCAATGCTCTGGCTGGCCACCTGAAGCCCTGCACCCAACTTAGCCAAACTTTCCCTGGCCAAGTGTGTTGCTGTGAAGAAGACTCTTAGATCAGTCCAGGCCTTCCTGAGAAAAGGTGGTCACCATTGCCATATGATCCCACCTGCCATTTACCTGACTCCTTTGCCTCCTGCTCCTACATTTCTGGATCACAAATCAAGTCTCGTGGTTAATCAGGAGCATCTTGCATCACAAAGCGTTCTTTGCTCTTTTAATCAATGTAAGGTGTATTTTTACTGTTGTAGGCTCAACTGAAAGAAATACACAAACTTGAGTTAATTCTGAATCGTGCAATTCGGCTGAAAGATCCTAATGTTATTCAAGGTGTCTGCGCTACTCTGTGGAATATCTGTTTACCACTGCTGCAGCACAACTTACAACAGCATATACGGAAACCATTGCTAGCTATTGCTGAAATCCTTGAGAAGATTGACAGGTAAATCAATATTGTTATGAATTCTGTTGTATTGTAGTCCTGACATCCCTTGAGATAAATTTAGGAGATATCTTATATAGTATGTCAGATTACTAGTCCATCTAGCTCTGACAGAGACTTTGTGATTATCTGGCAGATTTCAGATGTTTATCATAAAATAAAAATTGGGGGGGGGGAATGTAATGACAGAGAGCCTGTTGCATAGCTCCCTCTGTGATTAAAGGCTTCCTTTTGTGATTTTGAGGTGCACAGAGTCACATGCATCCTGAAACCAAGAAGGCAGATGTTTAATCACTGCAATATACCACTCTTGGTGACATAATCTCATTGTTCAGGCAGAGTCTGCCCCTCAGGATTTCAGCCATTATGATATGGATAGAAATGCTTTGAAAACTTCTGTGTTTGGGGTCTTCAAGAAGCAGCTGTGTTGACTAGGATATGACCCATCTGACAATGTTAATTTGTTTGGGGAAAGGAAATGATTTTATTAAGAAAAAAATCCTAATTGCAATATTCATGCATTGCATAATGAGAATGTGCATATTAGAATGTCTTAACACATTTGAAAGAAAATAGTCATGATTATGTTTTTCAGCATGTTGATTTTATTACGTTGCCAAGTGCATATGGAAATTGCTCGGATGGAAGAAAAGGCAGATAGAATAGAGGCTGCCATGGAACATTTACAGAAAGCCATCTATCTTGATAACAATGGGCAATATAATGAGTACTTAAAAATGGCATTCCATAGGCTTAACTTAAACACAATGCTGTACAAGTCACTGGAGCGTCTAGAAGACCAAGCAAATTTGATGATAGAACAGGTAATTGCTGAATAATTATAATGCTAAAAAGAGAAAGAAGAAGAATATATTTTAATTAGCATATGCTCATTTACAACTTGGATCAGAGATAGAGCTTATTTCCATACATTGAAAATATGTATTGAAATAAAATATGAAGGGCATGTTTATTTTCTGGAAGTCTTAACTGATAATCCTGTGATCTTAACTGCTGAGAATCCAAAGTCAGGTGATGGATGCAATTAAATTTTCTGTATGTGTATTTTCAGAATGCAGTATTATTTTTTATTTAAAATATTTTACCCCACCTTTCTCCTTGAAAAGAACTCAAGGTGGCTTACAACACTGAAAGACAATATTTAATGCGGAAAACAATGAATGTACAATGGTGGTTTACATCATTAAAGGACAATATTTAAAACTAAGGACTATGAGTATTAAGAGGCAGATTACATCATTAAAAGGTATTATTAAAGTTAAAAACAAGAAACATATAAATATTAAAAAGGAGGGGGAGAAACAATTGCCACTCTGAGAAATGGAAAACACAAACATGAAAAACACAAGCATTACTGAAAATCCAATCAAAGCAGTAATGCATAACAACCATCTAAAATTCACACACAGGTAGCTAGTTATTGAGGGAAGGCTTGCCTGAAGAGAAAGGATTTTGCCTGCTTGCAGAAGGACAACAAAGATGGGACCAGTCTGGCCTTCTGTGGGAGGGAGTTCCAAAGTCTGGGAATAGCCGCAAAGAAGGCACTCTCGTGTGTCACATTCATACAAGAGGACCTGTGATGTACGTGCATTCTGAAATTGGCAATTTTAAAGTCCTTAAAAATGTTCAGGGGGATAAAGACATTATAAGACTGGAGACATATAAATGTTCCTTTTTCACTTGTCTCCTTCTCAGCTTTCAGTTTATTCGAGGATTGCATTCCAAGCTACTCTTTGCCTGCCAGAAACCTTTGTAATCAAACAGGGCTGTTCATATGTAACAATAGTCTTAAGTGGTGCCTGGACTGTCTCTAGGGCAAACAAGGAAAGTCTTTTGTGTAGACCCTTCTAAGTAATCTCCATGGCAAAAAGTTTCTGGATGGACTGACAGTGCCCATTTGTTTTGCCTAGCAAGGACCCAGCATAGCAAAACTATGGTTCTCTTCTCAGTACTCTTTGAAATATGTTTCTGAAAGGTTCATGAACAGGATGTATCCACTTCCTCACAAAGATAATACCAGTTGCACTCCTGTCCAGTTCAGGCAATTTAAGATTTAACATCACAATTTGTACCACATGTTTATATATTTTTCTATGCCATTCCTTACATATTGAAAAAGGGACATGATATATATGTGGCGAAATATTTCTGTGAGTTGAAACACATGGATACAACTTGTATCAAACTGAAACTCTTAGGAAAAATGCTAGCATTGTAAACTGTGTCCAGGAATAGCCTAAAAGTAGAGGTTTTGCAGATTGATATTAGAAAGACTGTATAAAAGGAAAAGAATGAAAAAAATCTAAAAATAAATCAGCCCTTAGAAGCTATGCTTCCCTTGTAACTACTCACATATGATTTCATTGGCACCAATGACATTTTTATTTTCTATTTTAGCCTTTGCTGCAGGGTAGAATTTGAAATGGGAGGAACCAGCTGGGGCTGAAATGTTTAAACTTGCCCTACTCATGCATGGTGGTCTTGATCTGAATTGGGACTACACATGATTAATTTGTAGTAAAGAAAGAAATAGTGGCTTAGCTACATATTTCGTTTAATGTGTAATTTAGGCCTAAGGCTTAAAGTGATGAAGAAAGAACAGGAGAAGCATAGCCCTTCCTCAGTGAGAATGTCTGAGAAGTTTTACATGTAAAAAGATTGGTATTGTACTTTCAGGAATGTATTCTTCCACAAATTATTATTTTTAACCCTTTAAAGGGATTCTTCACAGATGCAATACTAGCTTACACGAAAAAATATATGAGCTAAGCCACCAAAGTTCATTCTTTCTGGTGGCATACAGTACTTAAAGGAGTGCTGAAGGAGAGCGAAATATCCACATTCCTTTTAAAAAATCCTTATGTTTGCTGAAGAACAAAAATGAAAACCCCTAAATAGCTATATTTGCCTCCTCTAGTAGCCATAGAATATTGAGTGTTTGCTAGAAAATAAAAATGGAAACTAGGAAAGAGGCAGAATAGAGCATTTGGTTAGCAGGCTGGGAGTCTGGGCAGAATTAGTCACCTTCTGGTATGATTATGCATTGTAACATTTTATTTAAATCTGTTATTAGGTATATTTTGTTTTTATTCAGGCTAAAAAAGGAACACCAAAAGATAGTGTGAGGAAAAAACGGTCACTCTTGGTGAATGCTGGCCTTGCCCTAGCTCCTGAGGCATTTCAGATTGTCCTTGATAGCGAAAATGAATCTAAAGGTAATATACATTTATTTGCTTGACTAAAGCCCATTCACTTTTTCCTACCCTAAATGATTGCTTGAGTTTGTTTGTATGTTGCAGGGGCCAAGAGTGTCCATGAATGCTCCACTCTTGCAATGTGTTAATTCTCCTTACTCACAGCTATCCTTGGCAGTCCTTTGCTTCTGCCAGTGTATTGGATGGGCCTTTTCCACGTTGGAAATCCACACAGAGCAAGGGAGAAGGAACGCACAGCACTCTTATTTTCCACCAGAACAATTGGCACATTGTTTGCCATGTTCCATAATACCACTGTTCAAAATACTATCCATAAATCTTGCTCGGACTTATCTGTTGCAGAGCAGAGAGTGAGAGCTGCATTCAACATGGTTTCTGTTTTTCATTTCTAGTACAAAAATAACAAAATAGTGCCCATAATCCAATGGTGTGTCACCAGTGCACACCACTCTTTCCATTAGAATTAACAACTCACTGTTCCCCACCAAAGCCCCTGCATAACCTACAAATCTGTTTGGTATGCTGGGAAGTCTTCTGGAGCAGAGTTCCTTAGCAAGAGATGGAAATGGAAGGAAGCCACTATTCTACTGGCCTTGGATACTAAATTATATTGTTGGATCTTGTCCAGTATGTGATTTGTGTCTATTCCAATACGCAGTCTATTCCATTCAAAGTTCTGAGTAGTATTACTTGAGTTCTTGTTTTTCAAGAGAACCTAGGAAGTTTTGAAAAAATCCAACAATACCTTTTTTCTTCCTCTTTCACTGTCAGCTTAGGAGTCCTTTTGAACCCTGTTGTCTATACAGAACGGTTTGTGGGGATGAAAGTCTAAATAACCTCACCCAATCCCCAAAATCTTATAGCTGAAATGTAGGCAAAAGTAATAAAAAGTCAGAATGTAACAGAAGTTGTGATATCCTCTGCCATGTTTGGGAGGACAAGGAAAGTCATAGGTGTTTTGGTGTGGGTTCCTTGAAAGAGGGAGAAGATGTAAATGTAATCACTTTGCCTTGCAGGAGTGCTAGTTTACTCTGATTTAAGCATGTAAAGAACACTTGTAAAAGGGTTTTTCAACTCATCCAGCTATCCTATTGAAAAAATTGTCAATCATTATAAGATTTTTGTTGTTGTTGTTGTTGCTCTGATTTGAGGGTAAAAAGATCAGACCTGTTTTCCTCAGCAGCGGCTTTAGTCAACCAAAGCAAAATGAAAAATGCTGTTTTGTACAAAAAATGTTGTATTTTGCATTATAAATTTTGTACAGAAACTTTTTGTTTCTTTGGCTCATGTCGTAATGAGTAGCTGGGTAGTTTTGAAGCTTGACCAAGACAGTGTCCAAAAAGACCGCTTTGCCCAAACAAGGTCATCAGCCACCCACAGTGGAAGGAACAGTATTCTGTACAAGAGGAAGAAACACACTGTATTGAAACAACCAGATTGTGCAAAAAATGAGTTTTTGCATAAAGCTGAGGTCTTTAAAAAAAAAGTCTGGAAGAGACAAAACAATTCTCAAAACTCTTGTAGCTTCAGACAATAGGGAAGATTTTTTTTAAAAAAGTTTCCCCTTTTAAATTTTATAATAAAGATATACGCAACACAATCCAAACTTAAAGAAAATAAAAATTAAACAAACAGAGAAACAAATAAGACACTTTTTAAATAGACATAACTTAAAAATTATAACAATGTGTCGTCGTCCCCCCAGGACCATTGGAGAGATGAACAATTCTCTTTCTTCAAGGATTCTCATTTCCTTCCAAAACTGTAACATTTCTTGCAATAGTACACTTCCCTTTGCTTTTATTAATGCATGATCAATAAAGTCTCACCAAATTTCTGCAAAAGTATGCCTTTTAAGTAATCCTTTCTTCACTTTAATATGACATGTTACTTTATCATTGATTGCTGTATTCTAATCTTCTTTATACCATTCAAAGCCTATGAAGATTCTAGTTATCCAGGTGAGGTTATCCGGAAGTTGAGTCATGGCAACTGGACTTCCTTCTTATTAAGTTAAAGCATTTTGCTACTCATCCAAGACTGAAGAAGCTACTTGAAGGAGTAGCAAAATGTTTCAACCTAATAAGAAAGAGGCCAGTTGCCATGACTCAGCTTCCAGTTAGTTGAAAGTCGTGTTTATTTTCCAGTACTTAGCTGTCATTAATCTAACTGCTGTTAATAAACTAGAAAATAGTTCTCTATTTGCCAAGTGATATTTCTCCTTATCAAATATTGGTCAAAGTGCTATTTTAGGTCATACCTTTACATTTTACTTAGTTATTTCTTTTATCTCTATAAGTACAATTTGCCAAAATTTCATCACAATCTCACATTCCCACCACATATGAAAATAAGTACCAGCCTTTTGGCACCCTCTCCAATACAATATAGAACAGTTTTTATTTATTTATTTATTTATTTATTTATTTATTTATTTATTTATTTATTTATTTATTTATTTATTTGATTCAATTTCACCAGAGTTAAATACCGTTGCCACACAATTTTATAAAAGTTCTTTTTAATCTTTATAGACATAAATGTCACTATATTTATATCCCATATTTTTTCCCATCTCTCAGTAGCTACATCTTCTGTCATATCATACTTCCATAAGACTTTCAGTGGGTCCTTTTGATCTTCCACTTCAATTAATATTTTATAAATTTTTCTTACTATACCTTTTAGTGTTCTATTTTCTTCTACACTTTCCTTTTGTAGTAACATTTCCTCAAACTTCTTAAGTTCCCCATAGTTACCATTTTCCTCAGCCAATTTTTGTCCGCTTCTCAAATTGTATTAAGCTGAGACAAGATACTTTCTCCCTTCCTAATATATCTTTTATTTGTTCTCTATTCCCTATCTTTTCTACTCAATCTTTTATTTGAATGACTCGTTTTCCTCTTAATATGCACTCCAGGTTTTTCAAATTCATTGGAAGAGTTTCCAGCTCCATCACTGGATATAATGGTGATAGTAACGGACTAAGTATATTCTTATGCTTATTCCAAATTGTCAACATATTTTTAAGGAAAGAGTTTCCAATTCTTTACCTCTATCTTTAGAGTGGTTTGAAATAAAAGTAGTTTAAAAATAATATTCTCAAAATTTAAATCTAGATCCCATGATGCCAACCCCCATCATATTACTTGATTAGGCTGCACAGTAATGTCCCCTATATGTCTTAATTGATTTGCAGTATATTAACTCTTCAAATTAGAGAGCCCCGGCCCTCCTAGCTTCTGAGGTTTTACCATCCCTTCTTATTAATCTGTACCTTTTTATCTCCATTACAAAACTTATAAATCATGATTTGCTAATCTTTTGTCTCCTCTTCAAGTAGTTCTATTGGTAGCATTTTAAATAAAAAAATTATCTTGGTAAAATCTTCATTTTAACCACTGCTATTCAACCAAGTCATGATAAACTGATTTTCCTGTAACCATCTAACTTATTCTTAACTTCACATTTCAGTTTCTTAACATTTTCTTCTCTTAATGGGTTTAAGTCCTTAGGTATATATAGACCTAAATACTCACCTAATTCCCCTATCTTAATATCAATTTTTTTCTAATTAGTTCTTTTTCTTCCTTATTATGATTAAACACCACCATCTCTGATTTCTGTAGCTCTGTTATCTCTCCAAACTCCTTTAAATGTAATTTTACCCTAACCCTTAAGGGGTTTTCTGTTGTTAATATGAGTCATCTGTGAATAAATTGATTTTGGTCTTACCTTTAATCCGTATACCACAAATTAGTTTATCTTCTCTAATGGCATTCGCTAACATTTCTATAACTATTGCAAAAAGTATTGGGGAGAGGGGATGGGGAAGAAATTTTTTAATGTTTCATTCTTGCCTGCAAAAAGGAAATACACGTACTCTCCCACTAGGGGGAGAATTTTTTTTTAACCTAAGATGACCTAAGGTTAAAAAAAGAGCAGGGAAGTTTTTTTTTTCCTGTTCTTATCTTGGATTTCTGTTCTCAAGTAGAAGCAAAATTTAGCAAATGGAGCTGTTCTTAAGTTGAATTGTTCTTAAGTAGGGACGTTCTTAAGTAGAGACCCCACTGTATTGCAAAAAGTATTGGGTAGAGGGGATGGGGAAGAAATTTTTTAATGTTTCATTCTTGCCTGCAAAAAGGAAATACACAATGATTTATACTCCCACGCTATGTCAGTATACAGCAAGATTTTGGTGACACATTACAAAGGCATTGCCTTTTTCCAGCCTTTATCCTTCACTGGAACAAAAAAGGTTCTATCCACAGATAAGAAGGAAAGACTGCTTTAAATTAAAAAAGCCCTGTTGTGTGAAAATATTTTAAGGCTGACACTGGCTATCGCTAATATTAGGTTTAAGGCTGATTTCAAATTTTTCCCGTATAATTTTTTTTCATTAATTCAGTGCTGAAGGGAAAACTTTGATCACTCAAGTCCTTAGAGGTAAAAAGCTTTTTAGAAGACATTTAATAGACCTTTCACATAAATTAGAGATGAGCTTTAGTTGAAGTAAACACAGGAGCTTTAACTGAAGTAAACACTAGTTGCCAGTAAAATTTAAGTTCCCAAGACTTAAAGTATTGTTACTTTAAATCTCAACATCACAAAGCAGAAAACTAGCTTCCTTTTAAATAATACTTTTTATCTTAAACAAGAGAATCACTTATCTAGTTGAATCACTTATCTAGTTGAATCAGTTATTTGTATGGTTTTTAACCTATGGTTAGGGACATGGTGGCACTGTGGGTTAAACCCAGAAGCCACCGTGCTGCAGTGACAGAAGACCAGCACTCATAAGATCGAATCCACGCAATGGAGTGAGCTCCCGTCGCTTGTCCCAGCTCCTGCCAACCTAGCAGTTCGAAAGCATATAAAAATGCAAGTAGATAAATAGGTATCACCACCGTGGGAAGGTAACGGCATTCCGTGTCTATTCACACTGGCCACGTGAGCACGGAAAGGGTCTTTGGACAGATACTGGCTCTACGGCTTGGAAACGGGGATGAGAGCCGCCCCCTAGAGTTGGACACCGCTGGACTAAATTTCAAGGGGAACCTCTACCTTTACCTAACCTCTGGTTGCTTGCCAAAATTCTGGCTGAATAGCTCAGTGGTTTAAGTATCTGGCTGTGTTGCCAGAGGTTTGGAGTTTGATTCTCCACTGTACCTCCTATATGTAATGCCAGCCCGTGTGGCCTTGGGCAAGCTGCACAGTCCTAGGATGCCCCCAGAAGAAGGGAGTGATAAACCACTTATGGGTATTCTCCACCTGGAAAATCCTGAAAAAAGGGTTGTCACGAGCCACAATTAATTTGATGCAACATTATGATGATTTCTTTACATTTCATTTCTGTGCTTTCAGTGGCAAAGAGCTACTGTCGAATAGTTAATGAATAAACTATACCATATCAATGGGATGTTGATTAAAAATTTATAGTGGACCTTCCCCTTTCTTTATATCCCAGTTGTACATTCTTGAAGATAGATAGCATACAATAGAATAGTTTTAAACCAACAGAACATCAATATGAGTGTATCCAAATAAATCTTGAAATCAGCATGTCTATCCCATTTGCAGTTGCTTTTAGTTATTCTGAGGCATCTTGAACCCAAAAACAACTGACTCCTTGAGTTTCCTAGGTTCTTGTTTTAACCTTGGAATTGTTCCCAGTAACCAGCAGAAGGAGGTTGGTGATTTTAGGAAACATCTGGGGCTCCTTTTGTCACATCTGTACTGTCCAAAGATCCTGAGGACTGTGCCTTTGGTACTGGGGAAATAGATGTGCACTGCACTATGCAGATGTTAGCAAATCTTTGGGTCCATGTCTGAAGTCGAAGTCTTTGGGTCCATGTCTGAAGTTCCAAGTCCCAAGCCTCAAGTCTGAGTCTCAAGTCCTTATTAAAAAGCATTTTTTTCCAGAAAAAAAGAGGATGTATATGTGGAGAGGGGGTCTATGTAGAACATGTGTGGGGAGGTCTGATGCTTGTGAGCCACAGAGAAGCCTGGGCTGAACCCTCTAGCCTAACCACCCCAGCTGATGATGAAGTGAAAGTTAGGGGAAAACAAAGAGCATTCATATATATTTCTCCTCACTATCCCCCTCCCCTTGGCCAGCCCACCCTTCTGCTCAGAGTCATGACCAATAGGAAGAAAACAGCTGAGGCTGCCTCACCTTCCCTCATCCTCCACTCTCCCATGAAAAACCTCTCCCCATTGCTCCCTCCTTCTCTGCCATTTCCCGCCATTTGCCTGCCTCTCCTGCAGGTGTTCATTAAAGAATAGGGGCTCGAAAACGCAACTCAGAAGAATATGTCTGAGTCCCGAGTTGAGTCTGTGAAAAAAGTAAGACAAGTCCGAGTCAAGTCGCTGGTGTGATTAATTCTGACCTGACAGCAATTCACGAGTCTCCATCTCTGCTGTGGTGTGATTTAAGTCTGACTTGACAGCAATTCACGATTCTCCATCCCTGCTATGCGGTTTCTTATGGCATATACTGTGACTGGCCACTGCTGAGAACAATATACTTTCCTAGATGAAACACCATTCTGAATCTACAAAGCAGTGTTTTTTTTCCTCTTTTATGTATCCTAGCACAGCACTTTTTGAGGATCTGACCATGGCTAATGGAATCCTACTTAAGGGATTTAAGCTGTTAACATTAAACACAAAAATTGTGAGTGGATAAAAATATAAACATACAGTACAAAATTACTGCTTTTAATGCCTCCTAGAGACTTGGGCTTTTGAAGTTCTAGGAAAGCACTGTGCTATCCATTAAGATAGTGAATAAAGAATTAAAAATTCTATACATGTTTTACAGCAAATAAGGAGAATATAGAAATAGTATGTAGGATACCTATATTCCCAGATTGGTGTTTATGCTTATTTAATACATGTTACGCATGAATTGTATGTGCTTCTTTTAGAAAACACAGGTGTAGTAATTATGTAATGCATCCTGCCATCCAAATACTCTAATAGCAATTTCAGATCTCCTAGTGCCAGTCTGTAGACAAATTCCTTGTATTACATTTCTATGTAATCAGAACAGCACCACTCACTCACAAGCATGCTTGAGGGAACCTCATTTAGCACCAAAGAAAGAAAGAAAAAGAAAAAGAAAAGAAGACCTCTGAAGGGAACCTTTGTGTCCCGGAAGAACTAAATAACAGCTGTGTCACAAGTTACAAATTATAAACCCTTTTTGTTTATAGCCTTATGTGTACTAAGATAAATAGTGCTGATAACTGCCAGTGTCAAATATGGCAGGGGATTTTTGGAACAACTCCCAAGATCCCCTAGCTCCCCCACATCCTTATTTTCAAATTTTGGTTGAAAAACGTTTGCTGTATATGCTTTACAAAGTCTCCTTGTGCCCTCTTGGCCATGAAGAAATTTTACTATGTTTGAAGATGATCCCGCAGTAAGGACTTCCATACTCCTCAGATGTAATCTTTTTTTTTAAGTTTGAGACTGAATGAGGGGTCTTCTTTATGTTTTTGAAAAAAACATGCCTTTTTAGTTTGAACTCATTTTTCAGTTAAATAATCATTATACCAATCGTTGACACACACACACACCCAGTTAAATATGCAGACTAGCCTATTTGGCCATCCCTTTCTTCTTTAGCTGCCCCATGGGATTGTGACTCTCAGGCCACTGATCAATCCAGAAAGATGACCCTCAGCCTTGCTAAAATCTCCCTGCCCCCACAATCTTAGCAACTGGACCCACAAAGTGCTTTTTAAAAATCACTTTATTATATGAGATACAAGTGCATGATCACAAAATATGTGAGGCTATGTGTGGCACCAGTAAGAAATCTTTTTATGCCTGAAAAATTGTTGGTAGGAGCTACAATCTTATGCTCACCTTCCTTGGAGTGAGCCCCCTTCTGTCAAACAGAAATAAGATTGTGCTGAAACACTTAGTAGATATTTTAAATCCCATGATGTCTGCTATTCTATAAATATGTGAAATACCTCATTTTGTTAAAATCCCCTTTTTATTCATGCATTTTTATTTGTATTGGTTGGCACATTGCCTGAGGATCAAATTAAAGCTTATTCAGTCATGGTTATGTCAAAGGCCATAACTGGATGTTATTCAATGCCTTGCCTCATCATGTTTGTGCGGAAATCTTATCTAGCTTGGTCATAGAAAGTATGACTACTATGTCATTATACTGCTGAAATAATCCATGTTTGACATATCTGTATTGGTTGAGTCATTTTCCACCTGAGGGCTCAGCTCATTCTGCTGTTATATCTTGTGTCTGTCACTCTAAGTTCTTTTCTATGTCAAATACGTTGGGGCTTGTAAATAATTCTCATTCCTCTTTTTCCTTGCCTTTTTTATCTTAAAAGTTCAGGTTTTTCTGATGAACACATTGTATTCTCAACGTATATAGAAAACCATTGTTAATGTTATATTTGTATACATTGCACAGACTGAGATGTGTTACAAAATGTTTCCCTTTCAGATATATATCTTATAGAATCAACAGTTTACATAACAGAAGACCTAGAGATGTTTTATATGTTTCATAGGAGTCTCTCACATTCATTTGTGTCCATTCTTAATTTATTTGTTGCTTCAGAATCCCATTAGATAACTTTATAGAACTTTTATTTTGTATTGATTTACTTTGTAGCTATTTTACTTTAGTGACCAACTTATGGAATTACTGTGGTAGCAATGTCATGAACATGTTGCAAAATTCTGTGTTTTTGTTTTCCCCTTTCTGTTTAGTTGACTCAAGTAAAACTAAGGGTCAGATTAGTTATCTCTGTGCAAAAGCAGAGCACCATAGAAGAAATGTGGAAAAAGCAGATGGACATTTGAAGAGAATAGGACATGAAAATGAAAAGGAGAGGTATTAATTATTTGCATAAGTATTTTTTAATTACTTCCTAAGGAATCAATTATTGAAAACAGTTTAATCTAAGAGAAAGATGATACCCTTTTAATAAAAATATGTGTATGCTGTTATTTCTGTGCATTCTGATATTTTTAATGTAAATGAACTTTTTTGAAATGTTTCATTGCTGCAGAATTAGACTTTGGTCAGAAATAGCAAAAACAGCTCGAAAACAGAGTGTGTGGGATGTGTGTCGGGCTGCATGTAGATTCTGTCTCTTGTATGATGACTGTCAAGTAACAAAGACATCAAAACGCCGAAAATGTAAGTCATGGTCCTATTGTACAGAGTTCTTTCAGCAGGCATCATGGAGGCAACCTTAGGTCATTCTTTTTCTCTAAAGAGAAAACCTATTGCGCAATGAGCAAGAGACAAAGCTTCTCCCACCCTTTCAGCTTTTTTAATGGACAGTAATTGATAGTATTATACCTTCGATGAATAACATATTTATTTATAAGCTTACTTGTTCATTTAATTTACAAACACCCCGTTCTTTCAGCAGGCATCATGGAGGCAACCTTAGGTCATTCTTTTTCTCTAAAGAGAAAACCTATTGCGCAATGAGCAAGAGACAAAGCTTCTCCCACCCTTTCAGCTTTTTTAATGGACAGTAATTGATAGTATTATACCTTCGATGAATAACATATTTATTTATAAGCTTACTTGTTCATTTAATTTACAAACACCCCACTAAATCCACTGAGGAAGTGGACTTATCGATTTCGATTTCGAAACCTTTATTGGCATATGAACGGACAACAACAAAACATGGGTGACGAGCCAAGTGATGATCAGAATAAACATAAAATCGGAGATACACTCAACAAATAGTATCATAGGTAATGGGTTAAATTGGAAATTTCCAAAAGATATCTTGCAACGGCAGATGTAATCCGCGGGCAAGAATCATTCAGGAAAAAGGATAGGGAGTTGGGCAAGAGAGAAAGCCACGGTTCGAGAAACAGCTTTCTCAGAGATTAATGCGCCGGGCAATGAAATAGAATATGGTCCAGGGAATCTGGGAGGGTATGACAGAAAAAGCAGAGCCTATTTGCATGGGGGATCTTAGCGAATCGGCCTGCATGAACCGCCGAAGGGAAGATATTGAGGCGAGCTAACATAAATGCTCTTCTCTGACCAGGGTTGGTCAGTGAAGAGAAATAGTTAGAAGGGCGTCCTAGGGAAGGAGGAAGACTGAAAAAAAGGGGAGAACAAGTGGGGTTTAAGTCAGCTGAAAGTGACTCTAACTCAAGCTGCCAAAGTGGACTTATCCACAAAAACTCACATTAGAATATAGCACTTTGTCTTTTAGGTGCCACAATGTGTTTGTCATCTTTATGCTTTATATTTCTTTTGTTTTTGCCCACTAAAAGGGGGACTAAATTTACAGCAAGATGGGAAAAAAACGACACAAGAGGAACGCAAACAAATTCAAATATTAAAACACAATTAGATTTTTAAAAATTAGTATAAAATTCTTCAAATTTAAAACACTCAAGTGAGGAGCAGTAAAGCATCCAAATGCTATAAAACTCCTTCCTCAGCAACTTACAAGTGCCAAAACCTTGGGTGAATGAAAAGTTTGTATGCTGAGCTACAACCTCTGGCTCTCTGAGAACCCACTGGGCTCTGCCTCTAGATACAGGAAATTTTTCTTCACTGCCTCCCTGCCCAAAAAAACAGAATTAGAATTATAGAATAGAGATGGGCAGAAATCTAAGTTTGTAAGTTCATGCCATGTGTTTCCTTCTTTCGCATCTGCGACCAATGACCCTCTCACCAGTGGAAGCGCACTCCTCTCCTCTTCTTCAGTTGTTTGACCAGTCCCTGGCAGGAGCACAGGTTTGCCTGTCCTGCCTCATTCTCTGAGTGGGTGATCAGCCAAGGGAGCAAGGCAGGGAAGCCCATGCTCCTGCTGGAAACTGGTTGAAGAGCCGTAGAGGAGGAAGACAGGAGCACATGCCAGCTGATGAGTGGGGGATCCAGCCAGGGAGGCAGGAGATAGGTGCTGTGCGTACAGAATGGTTAAAAAAAAATCTCTGAACTGAGGTTCACGGCCATTTCTATTAAAGAATCATATAACTGTAGAGCTCAGAGGGATCCTATACATCATCAAGTCAAATTTCCTGCCCATGGAAGAAATCTACAGCTAAACGTATGTGACTGGACCATCTAATCTCCAGTGGAGGAATTTCTATGACCCACCAAGAAGTCCATTCCAATGTCAAACAGCGCTTACTGTCAAGCAGTTCCTCCCACAGTTAGGTGACATCTCTTGTAATTTGAAACGATTACCTGGCCATCCATCTCTGGACATGTTTCAGCTTGTCGACATCATTCTTTAATGGTGGTGCCCAAAACTTGACATGATGTTTCAGATGAGGTCTGACCAAAGCAGAACAGAATTATATTATCCCTTCCCTTCATCTGAACACTAAATTCTCTGAGCTCAGCCCCTCCCTATTCATGCATAGTCTGCTCAAGGTTCATACCTTAAACTTTTGGGTCCTGTTTTCCCATGCCCCACTCGGATGGCAGTATTTGGTTTCATTCTTATTTTGAGACCTGGCGAACCTAATATAATTAGTTCTGAATTTAAATATTGCCCTGTGAGATAAGGAATGAGCTTGTGGATTGCTGTATGTTAATATAAAGCTAGTGTGTTTGTTCCTAGCATTTTTATCAGCCAAGAACTCTTAATAAATCAAGGCTAGATCCTACTACTAGTAATCAAAGGAAATGATTACTACTGATGTTTGTGTAAGTCTTATGTAACTTGCTACAACTAATTGCATCTAACTAACAAGGTTCTGGGATGCAACTTGCTTGTACAATCAGGCGTGTGACCAGGCCCTTGACCGAAAAATGGCCTGACACTTCATCAGTTAATTGCAATTAGCCATCCCAAGTTCTGCAGACCTCACACAGATACCTATAGGATTCTGGCCATTATTTCTTATTATTCATGATAGATTACTTGAAAAGAAAAAAAATGGAAAAATTAATGGGAAGACAGGAGAATTACAAGTAAAAGGTAACATCATCTGGTCCTTACTTAAAAATGTGTGAAAGAGCCAGATAAAAGCCTGGTAATAACCTGCATGGTAAAAGCCTTGTCTGGGAGTAGACTTAAATTTCATTATTAATTTTTTAAAACATTTACTTAATTTTATTTATGCAAAAAAACAGCTTTTATTATTCAAAAAGTTTGTGTGAGCACTTCTATGCAAACAGATTTTAAAAATTAAATATTTGCTTTTCCTTTAGTATTCAGGAAGAAAACCAGTTGGAACACAACAGAAGAGGAACAAGAAGGAAACATACCGGTACAAAGAGAATCACCTTCCCCCACTAAATTATTCTCTTTGGAAAGAGATTTGCTCAAAACATTAGCAGAAGTAAGATTCATTAATGCAGAGGTTAGTATAGTATCAAAATAATTTTATTTAATCTCTCCCCTCCCTTCGTAGCATATCCAATATTGATAAGGCAGTGATCTCCCCACACACTGGCTTTATATGGATGGCTGCTTTCTTATGGGGGAAAGACCCATAAAATCAAGGCCTAATGGGGAAAAATGCTCATACTGCTCATCTCTTTATGACTCTAGTTCTGAAATTAACAATGTCAAGGGGATATTTTTGCTCTTAATGCAACACAATTTCTTCCCAGTGTCCTCCCTCACATCTATGGAAGTGTGCAAAATCACAGTATGGATATTGGCATGCTTGATAGTAATCTCAGAGGTTTTAAATAGTTAACAATTATATTGGGGTGCTTTTTTTGCTGAAGATTTTATGGTTTCTAATAACTGCTGATTATCTGGAGAGATTCCTCTTCGGTTTTGTACTACTTTAAAGAAATACCTTTATCACTGGTGCCAGTATGAATGTGAAGTCTCTATCTCTATATAAATTATTTTTCTTTAAAATGGTAAGTATTAAGTATTAGGTTTTTAAAGAATTTTTAGAGATTGGGCATTATAGGGACATCTATATCAATCTTGCCTTCCTGCTAGAAATCGTCTTACTTAGGATAGCTGATGATACTTCATAAAGGCACTCTAAACGGAAAACCCTAAAATAAGGCCATACAAGAAAACAGAGGCAATGTGATAGCAAATAATTGCCATAAAAATACACTCCTGCATATATTAGGTTACTTGGTCTAATAATTTTTTTTTTAGAAAAATTGTGCATATTGCGTTTCTTCTAGGAAATATGGCAGTGACCTTGACTTTAGAACTTTGCTCCTACTCTTGAAAAGGCCATATTTCTGAATTGGCTTTTGTTCCTCTGGAGGAAGATAGGCATTTCCCAGGTACACATTCCCACAGAACCTGAGAAACAGAAAAAGTATCTTGCAGAGTGATAACTAATACAAATGTGAACAAAGCCCTTTCTGTAGATGTCTTAGCTGCTTGCTGCAGTTTGCCAGTATCTTTTTTACACACAGGAGAGAGCACCTCCAAGGAATAGAAACCTTTTTTTTCCCCTGTTGATTCTGTGCAAGAGAAGGTTAAAGACACTGTTCTTTTCTTGTGAAAGAGGCTTGGCTCTTTCACAAGAAAAAGTGCAGTGAGAAAGGATGCAGTGAGAAAGATGTAGTGAGAAAGGATGCTTCTTTCTTGTTTCATTCACTAGTCAGAGCGAGCTTCAATTTTACATGATCCCACTTTCCCTTCGTTCGCCTTCTTGCAATTAAAACTGAATCTTCCTTATCTTGATTTTAAACCAACTACAGTTCCTCATTTATGGCTGAACCTGAGAACATAAGGCTTTTTAAAAGTCTTGTTCTAGATTAGTGGTTCTTAACCTGGGTGATATCACCCCCCAGGGGGCGATTTTGTTTTTCAATGGGGCAATGGAACGAAAAGGGGTGACGCAGGGGTGAAGGAACAGAAGGGGGAGTGATGGAGCCACTGCGCCACCACTGCCATTGGGGAAGTTATCATCACTCCCCTCCCCACGCCGCCAGATCCAGAGCAGCTGGTGCTGGCAGTGGATGTGGTGCCACTGGCGCTGCCACTGAGGAAGTTATCGCCCCCTCCCCATGGTGGTGCCACACCGCCGCCATGGAGAGGGGGGCAGTGATAACTTCCTCAATGACTCAAGGAGGCGTTTCTTTCAAAAAGGTTAAGAACCAGTGTTCTAGATCATCATTTATTCACTGACAAAAATTTAAAACAAAGCATAGTTCCCAAAAGTCAGAAATCATTGGGAACTCTGGTGAATTTAAAATTGGAATCAAACACTTTGTGTCTTTTTCATATAAGGGTATAAGTAGAGGAAATGGAATATGAGAGCACGTCCTCCTTAGGTTTGCTATGGCTTGTATCCATAATAGTTGGGAACCACAGTATGTCGTTTTAGCCTAGCTAAAAAATGGTGCTGAAAAGGGTAATGGCAACCCTTTTCAGGGTTTTCTAAGTAAAGTATACACAGAAATTTGAGATTTACCATTCCCTTCTTCTGTGGACTGTGCCACTTGCCCATCGCTACAAAGGCTGGCTTCTCTCCCAAGAGACACAGTGGGGAATTGAACTCCCAACCTCTGGCCCCACAGCCAGCTATCCAGCCAGCTGCATCTCTGGCTAGCTATAGAGATGTATAAATGAGGGGTGGGGGTGGAGTAAGATGGTATCAGTAGTTATGCTTGGAACAGATGGAAATCCTTTGAATTTGTACTTGATCCCATGTTTCCAGTTTTTTAAAAAAATGAATATCTGTGTTCGCTATGAAGAGTATCAAATAATTTTGGTGTGGTATGTATTCTCATTGCTGTTTGCTGATTTTTCCTGTGTGTTCCTTTCTAGGCAACAATTCATTTACTGAGAATGGAAGGTGTTCAGCTCAATGATCATGCTGTCATCCCTGTAGATACAAGTCCACACTCTGCAGGACATGCCCAATCGCAAACTGGGCATGAATCAGAATGGAATACATACAGGTGGTGTGGTTTGAAGAATTGTTACTTGCTTGGTGTATCGTGCTATCAGAGCAGTCATCCCTTAAAGTTTAGCTCAGCTAGATGTATGAACTAAATTTTGAATTTTAAATGTTAGTGCTACTTTTTCCATAAATTTAGAAAAACAAATTGTTAATGAAGATTCAAATCAGATATGCAAAAGTTGATTAGCAGTAAATAGTTTCAGTTTTTAATGAATCAATAGAGGCATGCTTCTCCCCTTTATTTTTATGATTATTTAACTTTGAGACACATGCTCATGGTTTGTTGAGGGCAACATATTTTTGAGCCACTTCACTGAAGAGACATTTAAGGCCAGGAAAATTATTCAGTGAATTTTCCAAGACATTAATGATCATTGTAGTTATAAGTACAGATTGCATTAAACAAATCCCACTCACCCAAATTTGATTTTGGTGGAAGTATGGATTTCCTTCCATAATTCATCCAGTCTGTGCCTTGCTTTACCTCTGTAACTGCTTCTACTTGTGATGATGTCAGACTACTTCTCTATTAAATGTACAATTTTGCACTCCATAAGATGTACAGTTTTTAGTTCTGTCTGTCTGTTTATTAAAGATGGGTAAAGGTAAAGGTAAAGGTTCCCCTTGACATTTTTAGTCCAGTTGTATCCGACTCTAGGAGGCGATGCTCATGAATTAAAAAGCAAATCACCAAATTCATTCAAAAAATCACTAATTTGTCAATTTGTAGTCGTATGAATCAATGCCCGGATTAATATGAATCAACAAATTTTAGTGATTTTGATTCATCATTCATTTGGCTAGTCACTGACACCCCCAGGCACCCAGAGACACCAAAATCACAGAGAAGCTTCCCATGACGGTCCTCTACAATCCCTCCAAGTTTGGTGAAGATTGGGTTTCCCCAAGCCAGCTGCTAAAGGGCATTTTCTTGGCAGGATCCACTTTGTAGGTGTATAACTTGGATGTCTGAAACCCAATCTTCACCAAACTTGGAGGGATTGTAACAGAGAGTCAATAGGAGCCTCTCCATAATTTTGATGTCTCTAGGTCCCTTGGGGAACTTTTCTGGGGAAGTTCAGTGGAACATCAAAGTAAACATGCATATGATTGTTCTGTTAATTAATTCTGTTTACCACTGTTATGTGGCAGAGGATTGTAGATGTTTGTAGAAAGGAAAATGTGTAGGAAATATGGGAGTAGTTCTGCTAATCAGTTGGAAACTGGAAGAGTGCTAGGTGTCATTCAAGAAATCAGTGTGTGATAGCTCTTTACTCAGTGAAGAATATGGAGGAAAGTTGTTTCTTCTCATTCAGACACTGTTTTGTGAATTTCCAGTCCATCTTACATCCATTCCTGCACTATAACACTATATGGAGATAATCTGCAGAGCAGATTAAGTAAATGACCTCCATTGTGTATATAACACAGCATTCACCTGTATGCTCATTTTCTTTGCATTGTTATAGTCCTCTCATGATTAAATTCAGTTAAACCTTGACTATGTGAAGAATTCAAGAACCTATGGTGTCACCAGATGAAATAAATTTGTCCAACTACAGAAATACAGAATTAAAAAAAATATTTTGGCAAGTGATTCTAATGGGCCCTGGATTCTTCACACAACTTTGTGTCATGCAAGTCTTCTTGTAAGAAGACTGGAAATGCTTTTTTCTGGAAATTTATGGGGAAAAGGTCTAATGTAAACCCACTTGGAGGAAATGATCTAAAAGCATAATAATTCCAGGGGTACCTTTTTATATACTGACTCCATTAAAAAAAATAAAGACCTAAGTGACCAGAGCCAACTGTTTTTTTATGTACCATTCAACAGACACCTGAAACAGAGACCCTTGAAACAGCTTTCACTTTCTTTAATTAGAAAAAAAGTATAGGTTTTATACCGACCTGCAGCCAGGAAGACATGCATTTATTAAGTAAAAATGACATAAATTTCATGGGGCATGACAGTATGAACTGGAAATGCTGCTTGGAGCGACATGGCTGCGTATTTCAGCTTTCCAGCAGAGGCGTGCGTAATGGTTAACAGTTCTTTTATGTCCTGAAGGACCCTGTCATGGTGGATAAATTAGTCAGAATCCTGCAGAAACTGAAAAGCAGTAGGCCCGCATTAAAATAATTAGAAATCAGTTTGATAAACTACTGCATTAAATAACTGTCTAGTGGAAATTTCATTCTTTTTAAAATTACTCTTTCCATGGTTAATCTGTTGTTAATAACTATTCTGCTGCTTCTACTGAACCTTACTTGAACAAGCCAGTGTAACTAAATACTAAAAACTTGTGGTACAACAGGCTAGTGACTACTCCATTTGGGAACCGAACGGACAGTCCCTTGTGGCTAGAATATCTGTTGGAAAGAAGTGTGAGGGGCTGCGTTCCCAGTAAGCCTTCACCATAGCTTCCATCTGTTTTTAAAACTTGAGGCCAGTTTAGATAGGTTTAACCTCAGGGTCATTCTATATTTCTTACACATACAGAGGTTAGAGGTGATAGAATTTTTTCCCTAAAAAATATGGTGCTCAGAGCAGTTAACTGCCATCACTAAAATCAAATTAAACCACACATTAAAATTGTTGTAATGACTAATCTTCAATTCTATATACATCTTGAGTAGGTACTAAAGGTCAAAACAAACAGCTGGATCCTGCTGTCTACTTTATTTTCCATTTGAGATGAGGGGGCCTGAGTTGCAGCATTGGCAATGGAGAGTACAAATGCATCCCTGTGAGCCAGTTTCTATTCAAAATGGTTTTTAACATTTGCAATAGTACTTGGAAATCATAATATTTCAGGGACCTAAGGAATGCTTTTCCTCAGAACAATCATAAATGCATGCATTTTGCTAGTTTATTTCATTCTGGTTATGACAAACTAAATATTCTTCCTCATTGTTTTTTTTTTAGTACCTGGATAGACCAGTTATCGAAATACGCTATGGAAAACTTTCTGCGGGCCGCCAAAATTGGGGAAGACTTAAATGAATCCTGGATTGTCCATAACACTGTGGTGTATGTCTTAAATCACAATAAACATCTAATTGCTTCAAAAAGGCAAAGAGAACTTGTTGAACCACTGCAAACTCTATTCAGTGCAATAAGAAACACTGGACATTGTGGGTATGTTCTAGAAGATTTTTAGCTGATTATTTCATCTATCTTTTTAAGAGAGCAATCATGAAATACTAATTTTAACAGTTTTTATTGCTATCAGTTTCATTTTTGGCATGCTGTATCATTGGCTGGAATCCAGCTGTTGTTTGCTTAAGGTTTATCTAATTTGCTACAGCTGATTTCAGCTAATTGACAAGGTGCTGGGGCATGCTTTAGTTGTGCAATCAGGTTCATGATTAGTCATGAATCTGAAATATACCACAGCACCTTGTCAACTTAGCTATAGAAAATTACACAAACTTTGCATGAACACCAATTAGAGTGTAGCCTTGGTTAAAAATTATATGTAAGTAGCTGACAGTATATTTCAGCTGATAGAAAAATATTTTATTCAAATCAACTTTTACTCATTCAAAACATGTTGTAAAAGATTTTAAAAATGACTAAGCCAAAGTTTTTTCAAGTCATAATGGCATTATCATAAATAAACTGAATTCTTTTGATTTTATATAGATGGTCTTCGATGTGGTACCTCAGCTATAAAAAAAATTAAAAAATATTTTCTTTGCTGCATTTTAAAGAGCTGATTGAGAAACTGCCCACAGACAAATCCATGGCAGTAGCATTAGCAGCAGGCAGTTTTTGGACAGGCTCTTCAAAAGAAGACAGAGAAAATATTTTAACTATTTTTTTAACTGATGAAGCACATCAGTGATAGTCTATGTGCAGTCAAAACATTTTTCTCTCTCTTCCCCTTCCCTCTGCTGAGCAGGGGAAGTGATTTTTGTTATTCTTGATGTGCTTCGCTTATTAGGCCACTTCACAATGTTGGCAGGAGCCGTTTCTAATTAGATCATTCTCATCAAGCCCGACTGTTCCAAAGTGGCCCACAGTAAGTTGCTCCCTGCCAATAGGGTAGCCACACCTATGCCCTCACACTTTTTAAGCATTATCTCAGACAAGACAAGGGAGCCTTTGAGTTATAAGACTCATATTTAAAAGGAAGTTATGATAAATATCTTTCAACCACTGTATAAGTAGGTCACCCTGTAAAATAAATCTAAATTCTGATTTTAAGAATCTGATGCTTCAGAGTGTTTGCAGTTTCCTCAGGAGGCTTTTTCTCTCTTAAAACTTAGGTTTCATATTTTAAGTTGCAGCCAATTTGTATACTCAATTCTTTATCCATACTTTTACATGCATGGTGTACAGAAACAAAGTTTCACTTTTGATGTGTTTTACTGTTACGTCTATTTGAACTGCCTCTTAAGTTTTTTTATACCTTTTATAATGCACATCTATATACATTATCAGTCACAAAATTGAAATCACTGACAGGGGAAATAGCATTCATTACATTGTTACAGTGGCACCTGTCAAAGGGTGGGATTTGTTAGGCAGCAAATGAACAGTTAGTTCTTGAATTTTGTGTGTTGGAAGCAGAAATTACGGGCATGCAAAAAGATCTGTGAATTTGATGAGGGCCAAAAAGAGATGGCTAAATAATTGGGTCAGAGCATCTCCAAAATGGCAGGTCTTGTGGTGTGTTCCCCGTATGCAGTGGTTAGTACCAACCAAAAGAAACACTGGTGAACTGGCATCATGGTTGCAGGTGCCCAAGGCTAGCTCGTCTAGTCCGAAAACACAGAAGAGCTACTGTAGCTCTAAGTGCTGAAAAACCTAATGCTGGTTGTGATAAAAATGTGTCAGAACACATTTGTGTACACAAAATTGCAGTTTGTTGCATATGGGGCTTTGTATCCTCAGACAAGTCAGAGAGCCCATGAAGACTCTCAACCGCCAAAAGTGCCTATAATGGGGATGTGAGTGTCAGAAGTGGTCCATGGAGCAATGGAAGAAGGTTGCCTGGTCTGATGAATCACATTTTAGATCAGATAGATGGATGAGTTCATGTTTATTGTTTACCTGGAGTAGAGACTTCAGCAGGATGCACTATGGGAAGAAGGCAGGCCAGTGGAGGCAGTGTTACGTTCTGGCCAATGTTCTGCTGGGAAACCTTGGGTCCTGACATTCATGTGGAAATTACTTTGACACATACCAGATACCTAGAAATTGTTGTAGCCCATGTAACCCCATCATGGCAATGGTGTTCCCTGATGGCAGTGGTCTCTTTCAGCAGGATAATACACTCTGACACACTGCAAAAATTGTTCAGGAATGGTGTGAGGAACATGACAAGTAGTTCATGGTGTTACCTTGGCCTCCAAATTCCCCAGATCTCAATCCGACTGAGCATCTGTGGGATGTGCTAAAACATCAGATATGATCCATGGAGGCCCCACCTTGCAACTTGCAGGACTTAAAGGATCTGCTGATAATGTCTTGGTGCCAGACATCACAGGACACATTCAAATGTCTTGTGGAAACCATGCCTCAATGCGTCAGAGCTGTTTGGGCAGCAGGAGGGGGACCTACACAATATTAGGCAGATGGTGTTAATGTTGTGGCTGATCAGTGTATGGTCTATTGAGAAGTAAGTCCCATTGAATTTGATAACCCTTACTTTCAGTGAGGCATCTACAGGATATATCCCCAATCCTGATATAATTCTATTTAAAAAAGAAATATTTCTCTAGGATGAGATAGGTAATAAAATTTATTAATTTTATTATTATTATTATCTTAAATATTTTTACCCCACCTTTCTCTTTAAAAAGGACCCAAGGTGGCTTACATCATTGAAAGACAATATTTAAGATAAAAATAGTAAGTATAGAAATATTAAAAAGGAACAAACATATATCACTCTTAGAAATGGTGAACATAAGCTATACTAAAAACACAGCAAAAGCTGTAATGCGTAACAGTGCATCTTAGGTTTTTCTCTCTCTCCTGTTTTTGTTTTTGTTCAGGAATACTACTATTTTGGTGACATTATGTAATGCCTTGGCCCGGGGCCTCATTCTCCCCTGGATTCCAAAACCAGTTTCCAAACCTGATGAAAAGAAAGTTACAGAAGAAGGGCCCGTCAGACGTAAAAAGCCACCTCCAAAAGTATTTGAGAAAACAGTTGCTACCCCAACTGTCTCTGTGGATCCAGCAGGACTGCATGATATTAAGGCAGCCATAGAGGTACATATTTTTCATTCTGTTGGTCTTAGCTGACCAGGAGCTGACATATACAAATCTTGAAACAGAGTGTTGGAGAATATTTCTAAAGATTAGATTCTAAAGGTGGGAGCATTTTGGAGGGGAAAGAGAAACTAAATCAAGGGGAATTGTTTTTGGATGACAGGCATCCCCCAGTGAAATGGATTACCCCTCCCCATTGCTGTGCCCCACACACCATTGATTTCACTGGTGGATAGCGTTCCACCGGCAGGATGAACATTTTTAGATTTTACCCTTTTCCCCTACTTCAGTTTTTGTCATCTGCTGCAGAGGGTCAGGAGGACTGTCCAAAGCAGGTGAGGGGCATGAGTGAGTTCCAGGGGACGAAAAATATACCCAAAGAGCCCTACAAAAAGAGCAAGATGTTCATTCGGTATGAGAAAGATGCTATGAAAAAGAGGAACAGCAGATTGTGGGGAGCCCAAATTAAGAAACTTGTAAAGATTGCTGGTTGCTACTTCCTCCCCCACCCCCAACATATCCTTGTAACTGTTGCTCTCCACCAAAGTGCAAAGGTACAAAAGCAATGAAAAGCACTACTAAGATGGTTGCAGTATGTGGAAGTACTAGGTTTACTGAAGAGAAAAACCTTACTCTCTCCCTCCTGAATACTGTTTTGCAGAGAACACTTTCTTGATCTGCCTTTTTGTCCATTGAATGGTTGACATCCTCCTTGGAATTGGCTCCTTCCCCCTTCCACAGTGGCCAGACAAGATCTGGGCCAGAGTTGGTAGTGGTTAGAATTTTGACTATTGCCTTCTGCACATTCATGAACAATATTCTGGAGTAAACTGGAAATAATACTCTTCTTCTTCTTCTTCTTCTTCTTCTTCTTCTTCTTCTTCTTCTTCTTCTTCTTCTTCTTCTTCTTCTTCTTCTTCTTCTTCTTCTTCTTCTTCTTCTTCTTCTTCTTCTTCTTCTTCACACCAGAGGCTGAAAGAGACCCTAGATCATAGAGTCTAGCCCCTGTTAAGGAGGCACAGTGAAGAATCAAGCTTGCAACCTCTGGCTTCGTTGCCAGATACCTACAGTAAACCACTGAGCTATCTAGCAGTTGATTCCTCAGCTTCTTTTCAACAGCAACATCCTTGTTCACATGCCACCAAATACGAAGAAATGTCAGAATATGGCACTCCGTTTAAAATGCTGAGGAAATCTAAATATTTCCCAATTCTAATAATCAGTTAATTATGGCAAGTCTTTATACACTTCTTAGGAAACATTCACCTACTTGTTATTGTCCCAGCTTTCATTTGCTCTCTGTTCCAGAAGTTTCAGAGACACAAAACATTACAGCCTCTGTCGTTTTTCTTTTTCCTCTTTTGAGATCCATATAATCAGAAGTTATCTAGCAAGAGTTAGGGGCAGGAGGAAACCTCGCCAAGCTTTATGGTAGTAACAAGCAGATTTTTTTTTTAATGGTGTGCTCTTCTCATTTTATCCATTCAACCTCCTGGGATGTGACAGACTTGGTCACTATGTTCTTCCAAAGCCTCCCACATAGCTTCCCTCTTCCCCTAGTGCTGACATATCAGAGCGTGGGGAACAATGGATAAAAGTCTCATGTTCCTGAACCCCTTACTGCTCTTGTTCCTGTGGCAGCAGTGATGAGAAGAGGAAAGAGGCTTGTATTTATTTACATGCCTCATTTCAAATGTCAAAGAAATTGTGCCCATCATAAACCTCACAATTAATTTCTAGAGGGGAAGATGTACCAATGACAACTTCTGGGTAACACAGTACATTTGCTAATAGTGCCTTTTGCATTCCTTCTCCTTTTGCATTGACATTTGGTAAATGTTATTCATCAGGTTTGTGAATTTGCCATGCGTTTGCCTAATGGAAGCGTGCCTGATGAGCCGGTGCCTATTGCTATGCGTCAACAGGTTATTGCTACTTGGGTGAAAGCCAAACAATTAGTTCAGCATCAGATTGTGAGATGGCATGGATCTGAAGATGAGGTATCCATTCTGTCTAACATATGGAAAAGAATTATTTGTTATTCGGAAATAAAAGTTAAATGTCCCATCTTTCATGTTATAAATACTTGATTTCTGTGGCTGCAATCCTGCACCTTAGGCAGCAGAAGAATGATGCATAGTGGCTTCCTGTAACATTTCAGGCTTATCTCTATTCAACTGCCAGCCCCCTATGCTCCTGGGTATGCACTTGCCATATCAATTATATTGACCTTCCTATACTTCATGTCGGAAGATTTAGCATGCATGCAGCTCTACAGCTGCTGTTCCTTACCACCCTGGGCTTGAGGGCCTGGAGAAAATGGTACTGTAGATGCTTTTGCAATATATTTAGCACTGTCAGGCCACTCATATAGTATCAGTGTATGAAAATGGAAGGATAGGGGATCTAGGCACTTACTTGAGAAAGCTGCTAAATTGGAGCTCTCCACCAGGCCTGTGCTGGCAGGGCAGAGAAGAGGGAGGAACAGGGGTTTTCAACTTTTTTTTTTTAAACTGTTGGAGCTTTCACAATCTCACATGCTGCCTGGAAAATGTGTGGGTGCGAGGGACTCTTCTGGGCTGGTGGTAACTTTAGGTCTATCCAGCATTAATTAAGTGTTCCTTCCCTGCCTCAGAATTCAAAGAGAGTCCCATCTCTCTGCTGTGAGCTTTTTCCCCTCTCTTGAGTTGGTTCAGGTCTGTTGCTGAAAGCTGATATGTTTATCAGTTTGCTGTTTGAATTGTTCACATCTGCCATTAAAGAAATGGTTTTTACTCTTTCAACTACTAATGTCTCAAACTGAGTTATCGGCAGCTATAAGTGCCAGTTAATGAGAAAAAGGGGTGTGCTAATCTGGGAAACTCAAAGCTATTCTGGTCTGTGAATCCTTGCACTGTGCAGCTAGAGGAATAACCCAAAATTCAAAACTCTGCAACATTTACTACCATGCCAGCCATTTTTAATTTATTTTTCTTATAGCTTCTCTCCATTGAAATCAATGGGGATAATTCACCTGCATCAGCTACCAGTGTTGGCATAGATCCGCTGCAACACAATCTGCAAGCTTCTTTTCTCCACTTCTTTATGGAGGATTCCATGTTAGCTGAGAGTGAGACCTCTGTCTTTGCTCTCCGAAATGAGCATCCAATGTACCCTATAGCCCCAGAGGTGTTTTCCTAGGGACCTTAGGATTGCCTTTCGGAAAATGTACACTTTTACTTTAAAAAATAAAATTTAGTATACATTTTGTCCACAACTACACAATGTTTGAACAAGTAGTTAATATATATGCAGCCACCCATCAGGGTAGCTGCACATATATTGGTGGCTCTAGTCTGTATCCTCTGCATTTAATACAACATGACAACTACTGAGTATTTCAGTCTGAAGCACAAGCTTCTTCTAAACTCAAAATCAACCACAAAATGACAAAATTGTTCCCTATAGTCATGAGACTGTGTGAGGGGATTTTTCCTGTTAAAAAGGAAGAAACAAAACTTTTTGGGTGATGAAATGTAAAGGGGTAGATACAGCCCTCCAAGGCCCAGGGGCAGATAAGTAAGCACCGTGAACTTCTGGAAACTGCTGATTCCTGTCGCAAAATGTGATGGTTCAGATGTCTCATTCTTCCCCCTCCTGGACCTCCTGTTTGAAGCGTCAAGTAATGTTTTGCAGGTGAAATGGAAGAAAGAGCACGGTGCTTTTGAGTCTGAAACCTAGTGGTCTCCATATAATAGAATGTTCTTTCGCAAAACAGTATTTCTAGAAAGAGAAAAAATAATGAGAAGGTTAGGCTAGAGCCATAATTTACGTAAAGTACAGTAAAATTATACATGGAAATTACTAGGTAATGTAATTCTTCTGTCTTTATCCATTCCATAGTATGTCTTGTTATCTCTGAAAACATTGAGCCTGACTGTTTTTTTCCTTCCCTACACAGAGCAATGATGAAGGATCCACGCCTATGGCAAAAGTATTTATTGGTGTCGAAATGTATTCATGTAATGGTTTGGGTCTCATGGACTTTTCACTTCCCAACTTGTCACAAGTATGTTGTTGCTGTTTTTAATCTTGTGCTTATGACTATTAGCAGAATATACCTTTAATGAAATTCATACGTAATGAATGTATTTCTGTATGCCTCTGTGTGCCATCTAAATAATTGAGTTGAGTTCACAGTTCTAACTTTTTATGCTGAAATGTTAGAAAGTTAATTTACTGGTTGGGCTGCCAGATGATTAAAGCAGCTTGGTTGCTTTATCATCTGTTTTTCAGGTGGCTTATCAAGTAATTTTAATGTAATTTAATTGGAAATTATTAATGATGTGAAAGGGATTATATTTCACCTTTCTGCGCTATAATGGATCCCTCAAGGAAATAAATAAGGCTTATGAAATCTAAATTTAAAAAAGAAAAGAATAAAAGAGAGAGTAAGACAGGCAGCTGCATTCTCAGTAGCCTTAGGTAAATATACATTCTGAACAGTTTTGTTCTCATTCAATATGTAAAGGGAAAGACGAAGGGGATTAATCAGGTCCTCTAGGGCAGTGGTCCCAACCTTTTCCAAACTGCGGACCGGTTGAGGGGGCAGGGTCCATGTGTGAGGGGCGTGGCACCCTCCACACTCATGGGTGGGTGGGGCACGCTTACGGGTGGGCGGGAAGATACAAAGGAGATATGTTTGAATTAAATTCTTATAATATATTTATATTTATTGATCATAAATAAATAGCTTTCCTTGAATCATCTCTTAGTTTTATTTATCCCACTTCTACACATGGCACCCAGTAGTCTGCCATCCAAATTTCCTAAGAGGTCCTCAGCTGCACAGCTCCAGTAGTACTTCAGCATCAGGTACTCCCTGAGCCAGTGTTCCCCAGTCCAGGGGCCATAATTTCAAAGGGGGTTGCAAAGTGTTTTCTATGAAGTAGAATATGTGTTGTAGCCCTTGTTAAATAATTTCTTTCTTGACATTTCAGAGCCAGATATTAAAGTTAGCATGTATGTGTATGTATGAGAAACAGGCCCTTCAGGGGGAGAAAGAAACTGCTACTTTCTGAGAAGGGATGATTTCATTAAATTTTTTCTTTTTATTTAAATGTGGTGCTGGAGTTTGCAGATTACTTGGCTATTATAAAAGAGATTTGTGACCCAAAAAAGTGTTGGGAACCACTGCCCTAAGTGTTACTTCAGAGTATTGTAGACTCACAGTGCTAAGTGTTAACACTGTGGTCCCAGAAAAACAGCCTTACCCAAGTATTATTTACAGCTGGTGAAAATGGCTTTGGAGTGCAACTGGACAGACTCACTAGTGCAACTTCAGACATTGACTCGGCTTGCACATTATGCATACACAAGCCATGACCATGAATTAGCTATGACTTGCTCTCAGAAGGCTTTGGACTTAGATGATAAAGCACTGCACAACACGGATGCAAAGAAAAGAGGAATGTAAGTAATCATAACTTACACATTTTTTTCAGCCCCAGCGCATTCCTATGGGGCTTGCAGTGTTTTCTTTTTATTTTTGGTGTGTTTTTCCCCTCTGAAATGGATTAATCGTGTTCTCATGGGGAATGCATGCTTTGACTTACAACCATTTTGAGTTGTGTCCATCTTCTGGAATGGATTACGGCCATAAGTTGAGGCAGTGGTGTATTGATATCTCTTCCATTGTCTCTGCACACACTGTGGCGATTCTTGCCTTCAGTGTCTGAGACATTGGCTCATTTAATAATTGTTTTGCAAATGCATTTTCTTTATCCTCATTTTTCCGTAAACCAGACACTTCAGTATGCCGTATTCTGTTCTGAATGTTGTTTAGCGTGTGAAATGCTTTCAAACTATTTCCAGATTTAATGAATGAGAATAATGTCATTTAAAGTTCACTTTTAATGGTGGACGCTAATGCTAATGATGAAGGAGAATGCTATTTTTGAGTACAATTCATTATGTATCTTTATATTCAAAGGTCAATATGGAGGCACAGGAGGAACAATGGGAAAAATGCTTTCAGAAATACAATTCTTTTCCCAGTGTTTAAAGTAGAGCTTTGCTGCCCTCTAATGGACATAAGTATGGTTGCACCATATTGGTTTGTCATCATGAGGCTAAAAAGTGCAGTGTAAAAGTAGAAATTACAATTGTGTGTAACTGTCCTTTTAGACTGAAAATTGTCCATAAAGCTTATAGCCATGAGAAGAAGATTGCAAGATAGCGGGAGTGTACTTAATCTTTCGTTTGGGCCCACTTTGGTGCTCAAGCTCCTGACTGCCTTTCTCCCCTCAGGAAAAAAAATGTCTTTTGGCCCTCAATCAAATCATTTAACTGACAGCTTATTAGCGATAAGCTTGACCTCATTCCTGTGACAAAAGCCAGCCTTCTGAGCTGGAAAAAAAAAGAACACTTTGTTCAGGACAGAGAAACTGCTAAACTTGAATCAGCTGACACTTCAGTCTGGTACATTGAGCTTATGCAGATGGTGTGCAGAATGGCCATGTACTGTTTCTGCCAGAAAACTACTGTAGATATGTATGTAACTGGACAGGAAATTCCCCTGTGAGCTGAGCTGCTTCATATTCCCGCAAGAAGCAGAACAGAATTGACCAATAAATAATTATTCTAGATAAATTCATACATGAAATAATAAGTGTCAAAGCAGTTCACATATGATATTCTGTTTGTTCAAATATCACAGTATTCAGGCAAAATATCAGAATAATGGTTGTGGAGATATTATTGAAGTGTGAGGATTATTTGATGTGACAAATGGAGAAAAGAGGTTTACAAGAAATAACAAAAATCTTCTTGAGATATATTTCTGATCTCCTGAGATGACTTGGGATACCCAAAATAATGTAGTAGACAGAGAGATCCCTGGGTTCAAATCCTCACTCAGCCAGCTGACTGGCAGTGGGGAACTTGTAGAACTATTCCTTAAATATCTCATTTACCTTAAAAGCCCTATTTCGGCTGCTATAAGTCAGTTCTGAGTGGATGACACAGAACAAAAAGATGGCTCAAATAAGAAACTCAGTATGTATAAGTCAACTCTATGGATTTTCTCCACCATTTACAAGTTGTGGAATTTTCTTGGAACAAAAAGATATATTTATTGGATGGATGATGTTTACCCAGGATTGCTTAGTAAGCAGAGTTTGCTTATTCGCTTCAAATGCTAATTATAAAGACAAACTTGATTAGTTGTTAACTAGGCTAACACCAGCAAGCTTGTATGATAACATCATTAGGTAAAGCAAACCATAGAAGGTTAGGAGACAGGGATGCATAACAAGGGGGAGGACAGGAGGAGGGAGCATGTAAGCCCTTGAAATGATCTTGCCCTAAGCATGTTAGGATATTGTGGTTATGTTGCTTGTGGATTCTCATAGGTTTGCTTATTTTCAACCACCACCAGTTTGAAGTCTCTCAGTCCTACATGTGTGCAAGAGATTAATGTTATGATCTGTCTGCTCACCATATAAAGATTAGAGGGATATCTGGTTTAGATTAATTTTACTCTGCACCTTTTAAGTTGCAGCATTCATTTCCAAGCCAAGCAGTATGTGCTTGTCCATGTGCATATGTGTGGCTAGCAAAAACTCCTATTCAGTCCTTTCCGACTTCAGTTCTTTGTCTTTTCATAGTCAAAACCAAAAAGACAAAAGAGATTGTGATTAATTAGTTCATAGAATGAGGCCTACTCCTTATTATTATATGAAAGGTACATTATTATTATTATTATTATTGTTGATGTTGTTGTTGTTGTTGTTGTTGTTATTTTCTGAGCAAAGTGTAGTATTGTTATCATGATGTTTAAAACTTCTTCAAGTTCATTCAGTCTGATTCACAGATTTTACCACTGGTAAGGGAAACAGAAATATTCTGTGCCTTGAAAGTTGCTGATCCATAATACTCTTATGTTCAGTTGACAATACTTTTGACCTTTTTTGGACAGGAATGATTACACAGCCAGACAAGAAATGTTAAGTATTGCTGCTTGTACACAAGGGAAGAGTATGATGGAAAATCTGGCTGGCAAAAAGCATTTGCGTGCAGTGGCATCAAAATGTTTTGTTGCAAGTGCAAGGTAAGTTGTGGCCTCTAAAGTGTAGCAAATTGTTGTAAAACAGTTTGGACATTTCTTTGAAAAGGGGATATGGCACATACAATACTCCAGATATGATGAAGTAGTAATTCAGCTTCAACTTGTTAGGACTAATCCAGCCTCCCATGACAATCAAGCACCTGTCTAGGTTGTACACAATCTCTCTTGATTAAGGTGTAATGGAAAAAGTTAGTTGCCATTAGCATTATCAGAATGAATAGGGGGAGTTTCAGTTTAACCTCCTCCCACCCAAACACACAAATGCTTCTTATCTTGGGTTGGTTGCCACTGCCCAGGAATATTCCCTTGTTAAAAACCAGGTAGAAGCATTTGGGATCTCCTGCTTGTAAGGTGCTCTCACTCTGTATGTTATCTCCTTTCTTCAGAGAGGGAAAATGAATCACATCACTCAGCAGTAAAAATAGAACAGGTGTGAGAGCCAGCTTAGTAGCCTGTGGGACTGAAATACTTTTTACAATTATTATTATTATTATTATTATTTTGGTAATTGAGTCTGAAGGCAGGAGCAAAGCGACAGTCTCACCATACGTCTCACTCCTTATGCAGTTCAGTAATATAATCATGGTTGATGGCATAAAATTCCACTGACAGATCTAGGAGAACCAATAGTATAGAAACATGGAAAGCTGTAAGGGAAACAGTGAGGTATTCTGTAGCTTGAACCAGGTCATGTATCAGGGTGACCAAGACTGTTATGATCCCTAAACCCACCCTGAAACCAGGCTAAAATGGGTCTAGATCACTGGTTCTTAACCTTGGGTTACTCAGGAGTTTTGGACTGCAACTCCCAGAAGCCTTCACCACCAGCTGTCCTGACTGGGGTTTCTGGGAGTTGCAGTTCAAAAGCATCCGACTAACAAAGGTTAAGAACCACTGGTCTAGATGACGTTTTCCTCTATAAAACAACTGAATCTACCTAGCCACTACACTCTTGATTACGTGCAATGAATGAATGAATGAATGAATGAATGAATGAATGAATGAATGAAATGAATGAATGAATAAATAAATAAATAAATAAATAAATAAATAAATGGAAAGGGGGAGTAGTTCTGACATACCTTTGGGTTGAGAACAATCTCCTTGCAAATGAGATGCTCCACTGCCTCTTTCAACATGTTGTTGGCTATTTTCAGACATAATTTTTTGGTGACTTATACCAACAGCACTCTAGCTGATGACTGACCTCTTTTATTGTCATAGATCTTATCTGAACTAAAAATGTACTTGAGCAGTAAACAGGAAGCTTTCTGAATATCACTATTTTGCCATTTCAAAATGACAAAATGCAAACAGCAAAAACACAACATTCTGGAACTTACTACCATTTTAAAAGGCTTTATTATGTTGACAGAACTTTACTACTTATGTACATCACTTTAAGCCCATTGGCATCAATCTCAGTTGTGAATTGTCACTAGTGAAGAAGTCAGCAATTGCCTTTGGTGTTGCCCACCAGTCACTGGACTTGGTATCCAACAACAAACATTAACTTTTTACCTAGCATTAGCTCATCACTGAAATTTATGCTAATGAACATAAATCAGCACAATTCTTTAATTGGACTCTGGGCATTGTTATATAATTTTAAAATTAACTAAAGCATCAGAAAGAACTGAACTGCTTTGGTATAACTCTAACAGAAAATAGAATTATATAAAGGCTCTAAATGGATCAAGAGAAATGTAAGTTTCCTGTCCTCTCTAACCCACCAAAGCTAATTAGAACAATAGTTCCCAACCTTGGGTAACCTGGATGTTCTTGAACTGCAACTCCCAGTAACCCCAGCCAGCCCAGTGGTGAAGCCATCTGGGAATTGCAGTCCAAGAACACCTGAGTTACCCAAGGTTGGGAACCATTAGATGGCCTGGCAGTCCCCTGAGATGTAGCATTAGGCTATACCCCCAAAGATATAGAGAGCTGAAATGGGGAATAAGGCTACAAAAACCATAGTTGAAGCCAAGTTCTGCTCTTGTAAAAGATGCACATCTAAAGTTAATACGCTTGCTTGCTTATTTATCATAATATATTATTACTGTTCAAATGAATTTGCACCTGTCTCACTTTTTGAGATGGATTGAGTCTAGCCTAACCATCCAACCAGTGTATTTTATTCCTAGTGGGAAACCATCCCATATTCTTCAGATTGACCCCTTACACTTTGCCTGTTATTTCAAGCACTGTATGAAGTACAAACAAATAAATTATTAAATTAAAATCAAGGAGGTATTTAACAAGGTTATCACCGATATGGATTAATTCAAGTGGAAGCTTAAATTTGCTGATTTCTGGGCCAACCATTTTCCAGCTTTTTTCTGGATAGCTCCATTGCATCCTAGAAATTCAGTGCATGTATGTTTTCAAATTTGTTGGGAGGGGTAAGCAGACAGGAAATCTCCCAGTTGTTAGCCATTTAGACTGGGCCTGACTTGCAATCTCACACTGCAACTGCCCGTGCTCCATGGAAATGTTAGTTTGCAGTTTCGGAATTCAAGCAACCCCCTCAGTGGGAAATCTGTTGACATGAAAAAAAATGTAAAAGGTTGGTTGAACTCTATTTAAATAAACAGATGGAATAATCTATTTAAATGGAAGTCCTAATGGAATTTGTAGGAAATTTGTTTTGTGGTGAAAATGTAATTCCATTTGATTTATAACAAAAATATGTAATAATCAGCTAAAAAGTGTTCTGAACAGATGACTTGAGGACATGCACACAAAATATTACACAAGGAAGTAAAAGGACAGTATTTCTCTTTTAAGGAGTAGTCCGGAAATTGATAATATTAGTTGGTAAGAAAGATTTGGTGTCAAAACATCTGTGAAGTACTGTTGGAATATTAATATACCACATGGCAAAAGGAAAAAAATTGTGATATATTGAGAGTAAGATGTAGGTCATCCATGCAAGTTCTGATATTTGGGAAAACATCTGGATATAAAGCATTATTTTTTCCACATTGTATTAACTTAAGGGACAGCTGCTTTGACCAGATGGTATATAATGCCACAAAAGCTATAATGATAGGTCTGTAAGATTTTCTGTATTGGAAATGTGAAGAAATGATGGCAACTGATTACAAGTTATGCTGAACTTGTCCTTTTGCTATGAAAGAGTGGCCTGATATTATTAAAGCACTTAACAGTATAACTAAAATGAATATGTCTGTGAAACCTTTACCATTTTGACCAGATAATCTGACATGAGTAAATCACAGAAGCTGAGAATTCTGTCCCACATGGTAACAGGCAGTTAGAACTGTAAATGCCAAGTCCTAAAGAGAAAAACACCACTGTTTTATCTGAAAATGCAGATATGACTAAAGATTCAAAAGAATTAAAGAACATAATTGTATTAAATTGGCAGCTTTGTTAACTCCTGGAATGACAAAAATAATTTTAATTGTAGGTACTGTGCCATAGAATATCAGCAGTGTGTTGAATGGTTAGGAGAATGTCATACATGTGAATTCATAAGAGCATGTTGTTTTTAGCATAGTGCATTTTTAAAATGTTTCAATAAGAAAAAAAAATTAATAAGAAATGTTTAAGATACTGAATATTCAGTATTCATAATTTCACAATTTGTTTTTATTTTGTAGTTTTAAAATGAGTATTTTAGAATGGAAATTGGTAGATATACTCTACAGGCTTTTGCCTCCATTTACTCAAAAGAAATCTTAAATGATATGAAATCCTTGGTACATACAGGAAATGTAAAACCTGATCCTTACAAAGATAGCCCAAGAATATTGTGTTGGTTTTTCTACAAATATTGGCTGAAATCCAAGAGTAAGTCACAGGAGTTGACTCACCAAATCACTGCTTCAATAGGCTTACTCCCCTAGTGACTCACTGCTGGATTTCAGCCAGTATTTATCATATTCACCAGACACATAGTTTTCATTTTATTTTATTTTTCCATCTTTGTAGATATGCAGGAGAAGCTGGGGATGTTGCCCTTGCCATGATAGCATCTAGACACTTCTGGAATGCATGTTTGCCTTTCATTGGTTCTTCAGCAGACAGGCAACAGCTTAAAATCCCCACTGAAGTCCTTCTCAAGAGCATAATCAAAGCCTCTGAAGCTAAAAACAAGCAGGTAATAAATAGCAGTACAACTATTTATAGCCAACAACTTTTTTATTCCATGACCTGTGGTGGAGTTTTGTCTTCAGTTCAAAACAAAACTAGAAACCAAAGATGCAACATTGGCTGGTTAATTCATATAAATTTGTGAAGTTTGCCAAGAAAATTTGTGTTTGCTGGGGTAGTACATTTTTAAAAATAAACAAACAATGCCACATCTTCGTCTTAGCTCTGTAGCCTACAGACCATTACATTTTACTTCCCCTGCCTGTTCCGCTTATTCAGAGTAATTCTTGCCAGCGAAACCAACTGTCCACTTCAAAGAAAATTGTATTCTCAAGGCTGTATTAAATACCATTAAATTGTCCTTTCTCTCCTCCCATTCCCACCTTTCACCTCATTATTCAGGAAGCAGAACAAATGTTGCATTTGCATCAGTGGCCTACAATAGACTTTCAAAGCAGCAGTTCATCCAGTGTACCTTTTTTCCCAGGTAAGGTTTCATGATAGTATGAGGCAGGGGGAGGGTTGCTTATATAAAGTGAACCTATTGGTTATTTACAGTATTATTTTGATCTATTTCAAAGGTGCTGATGAAGATTTGACTTTAAGGACGTTCTTGTATGTATTGTTATTTCAAGTGCATGCTGATAAAAATGATTGGGAGGCAGGCCTCAAAGTATTAGATGATGCTATTCAGATACTCCCTCGAACCAAGCACAGACTGTAAGTTGTTTGGAGTGTTGTGTTGATTTTTATTTCAATGTAGAACGTTGTGAATTTCAAATTCTAGTCAAAGAGTATGACTTAATAGCTATTTACCTGTAATGAGTCGATTTATTGGTAATGGAGTTATAAGAAAGTTACATTTCAAGTGTAACATATTGAGTGGGAACAACTCTATGGTTGTGAAAGTGATTGAGTGAAACAAGAAATGTTTTATTTTCTAAGTATTATTTAATAGTGCTTTTATATAACATTATTAATATAATGTATACTTAATTTTTAACAAATGTTTGAATAATTTATCATTTTTATCTATCACTTTTAATTATAAGCCACCTTGGGTCCTTATATGGACAGGTTGGGGTAAAAATATTTTAAATAATAGTTAATAACTATCTAATATTAAATTTAATATTTTAAATAAGTATTTTTCTAATTACTGTAGCCCCTTATAAGAGAATTTTTAAAGTGTCTTGAGTGGCTTTTTTTTCAAGTTTTGGAGGAAAACTTCTTAACTAGTTTTAAAAAGAGTAATGAAAAAACGGGTAACAAAACCCACTGCTTTTTTTAATGTAATGAGGAATGACAAGTAATTTCTATAAGAAGTAACAAACAAATTATTTTGAAAAAATAACTTTCAAAGCTTGGTATGGTCACTACCTAAATCACTAGTATGTAAAATCTGTTTCCTTTCATTGATGAAAATGTTTCATGCAGGAAAATTGCCAATATACATTCAGCACTGGTTAGGCCTTATCTAGAGTACTATGTCCAGTTCAGGGCACCACACTTTAAGAAGGATGTCAACAAACTGAAACAAGTTCAGAGGAGGACAAGGTTGATTAGGGGGCTGGAAACCAAGCCCTATGAGGAAGGACTGAAAAAACTGGGCAGCTTTAGCCTTGAGAAAAGAAGCAAAGCAAAAAAGCAAAGCATGTTGCTTATATACCGCCCCATAGCGCTTCAAGCACTCTCTGGGCGGTTTACAATTTTAATTATGCAGGCTACACATTGCCCCCCCAGCAAGCTGGGTACTCATTTTACCGACCTCGGAAGGATAGAAGGCTGAGTCAACCTTGAGCCGGCTACCTGGGATTTGAACCCCAGGTCGTGAGCACAGTTTTAGCTGCAGTACAGCGGTTTAACCACTGCGCCACGAGGCTCCATAGAAGACTATGGGAGATATGATAGCACTTTTCAAATACTTGAAAGCTAGGGTTAGAAACTGTTCTTGATTATCCCAGAGTGCAGGGCACTTAATAATGAGCTCAAGCTGCAAGAAGTCAGATTTAGGCTGAATAACAGGAAAAACTTCTCAACTGTTAGAGCAGTATGACAGTGAAATCATTAACTCAGGAAGTACACTCCAACGCTGGAGGATTTTAAGAGAAAATTCGACAACCATCTGTCAGACCTGCTTTGATTTGGATTCTTGCATTGATCAGGGATTGGACTCAGTGGCTTTATAGGCCCCTTCCACTTGAATGTGTGTGTGTTGGGGGAGTTAAAGGGAACAAATGAGAGAATTCCAGCACAATTCTACACATATCTCATCAAAATAGATCTGAGTTCAACAAAGTTATCTGAGTCCATCAGGCACTTATATGTGTGTGGGACTGGGTCTTTGTCATTTACATTACTTGTATACATGAGCTCCAGGACTGATACTCTTATAGTTTTATCTTCTTGGTTGTGGCCTACAAGTTTAGAATATAGCTTCTGGTATTTTGTGACAGGGGATAGGGTACTATTAGGATCACAACCTTGCTACGCATAGGTAAGCCAGTCGCTCAGTAACTCTCAGCATTAATAACAGAACTAAGCATTAATAACAGAACTAAGCATTAATAACAGTTTTTTTGGTATATTCTCTTCCATTTCTCTGCCACTTCTGTATTTAGCATGTCCCAAATTTCTAATTAAAGTTGGTGTTCACTTTTTAGAATTTTCTATGTAAAAATAGAAATTCGGATTATAAAGCACTGTGCTAGAATATTATCTTGGAAGACACATTGGGTAGATCCAATATTGATCCTCCATTGTCTTCCATTGGCAGACAAAACCAAATCTTGTGGAGCCTCCCTAATGGAGAAAGAAGGCTGGATTATTATTTTCATTGATTTTTCTTCCCCTCTGAAGTTCTCATCATTGTCTTGTGTACTGTTCTGGAGACTGATCCAGCTCTTCTGGGCGAACTTTTAAGGGCTTATGGAGTTACAGGGAAAAAGGAAAATTGCAAAAATTGCCCCTCTTCTGCCCATCTGACCCAGTTTGAAGGGTTTTCAATCTGTGCAGTTCTAAAACTAAGTAATACTGTATATTCTATTGCTTTGCAAATGTGCACAATAAAATTAGTGGACAGGATGGTTTACTGTCTGTCATGAGGATAGATGTCCCTATAATACAAAAATGGTGACTTCTATAGCATTTTATTTAATAAAAGAAATGTCAAAGATCCACTTTAATTTAAGTCCTATCCATTTATTAGGAAAGTGTATGGAGCCCAGACATATTGATGAGAACATGATAGCTCCATATTCTTCCACTGTTCTTTTCTGAACAGAAATGTGTGACTGTCTAAAGTATGCAAGAGTGTTGTATCTGGGTAGCCACTCCACGTGAGCCAGAACCTCCCAGAATCAGTGTGCTACTTCACATGGGGAGACTACCTGATGTAACCCTTTGTTCAGACTGTTATGTTTCCACGTTCAATGCAACAATGGAAGGCTGGGCTAGCGTGCTCCCCTCAATTTCTGTGGGATCTCCACACATCATTAATGACTAAGTAGGTTTTTAGATAAAATTACTCATGAACATTGACAATGTAAAATTCTTTCACACAGCCCTATTTTTAAACATATGGTAATGGTGAAGGCAAGACTTGGACGTAACTATATCATGGAAATACAGAAATTCAAAGATGAAAGTGAGGACTGCTTGTCGCATATGTGGCATCGTCTGGCATCTGTGTCGCCAGATCTTGTGGGACAGTTATCCTGTTACCAAAATGCGATTGATATTTTACAGGTCTGTATCTAACTATTTCTTAACAATAGTGTAAATCACTACATTTTATTAGTGTAAAACCTCATATTTTAAAACATACCTCAATAAGCAATAAGAATTCACTTGAGAGCATCCATCATTTCCTTTGCTGTGCCAGCCAGCACAGAATGCTATTAGTTGTATAGGTTGAATTTTTACCTCTGTCCTTCTCCATTTAGATATTCCTTTCTTGTTTCTTCTCCCATTGATATCAGTGGGGAGGGATTAATTGTACATTTTGGACTTGTTGGGTATTATATAGGTTTATGTAGTCTTAAGAATCCATTACTTCCCCAAAGCATACATGGAACAGCTCATTCCTTCCCCCTCTGCCATCATAGCACAGGTGGGGGAACTGTAGGAGAAATTTATACCACTACAACTGGGAAAAACTTCCATCATCACTTGTACTGTAAGCATCTCTGTCCTCAATATTGTATGGACTCTACCCTGTCTTTCTCAAGACCATAGGGCTGCATGGTACATTACCTTCAAGTTTCTTAGATGGCTACTGATTTCTTAGTTTTAGTTAAACCTCTTCAAGACGCTGTTGGAGTATCTGATTCTAAAGGCTAGTTAACTAATTTGAAATTGCATTGTAAAATGCATTTTTCAAGTTTGAAAAGATTGAGTGTGATAATAAACATCTTCCCTTTATTTTAATTCTGTGTCCTTTCAGTAAACTGTTTATATTTTGAATATATCAGAACAGAAAAATGTGTACTCTAATATGCCAATTTAAGTACAGTGGTGCCTCGCTTAACGTTTGCTTCGTTTAACGTTTTTTTCGCTTAACGTTTATTTTTTCAGAGGCAGATTGTGCTTCGTATAACATTTTTTAAGTATACCTACTGTACATCGTTCCTGGCATTTGTTGTACTCAGACGTTTTGCAGTGATTTCTCTCCTTCTCGTTAAAGCATTCCTTTCATACTGTAACTTACATTGTTTTAATTTCAGTATTTTCCGGAATTTTAAGCGATGAGAAAAGTAAATGTTTGAAATTTTATCTAAATAATGGGCTCTATTTGTTGTTAGATGACCTGATCAAGTTTGGCTTTGATTTAATTTGGTACTCAGTGTGGTATAGTTGATAGAGTGATGGACTAGGACTCAGAAGTTCTGGGTTCAAATCCTTGCTCAGCCATGGAAGCTCAGTGGAACAGGTAAAACCACTCCTTAAATATCTTGCTTACTTTGAAAGTCCTATTAGGGTTACTATCAGTCACTTCTGACTTGATGGCACATAATATAAGAGTCTGACTTCACTCATTCCATGCTGGTATATTTAAGCAAGGTTCTCTGCTCTTAAGGACTGAAAAATCTTTATTGAGAGCTACTATCCTAATAATGCATCATTATTTTTGTACAGGAAAAAGAATTTGAATTAAAGAAAGTTGATAATCTGTTAGGGTTTGCTGAATGGCTGTATTGCAACCAGTTTCCTCTAAGTGAAGCTATTAAACACCTGGAATGGGCAATACATATATTGCTATACCTCAGACCTATCCGGAAAAGTCCTGATGAAGAAGGTAAAAGTTTAAATAGTTCCAAAAATGGTCTTTAAGACAATTGTTTTAATGCTTATTTCTAGAAAATTCTTTTAATTTTGTGGAACTAGTATATTTTAGAACTTCTTTAATATCTTTCTTAACAGACCTTTTATATTTTAGTTCTTTTACAAACAATATGTATTTATATAAAATTTTAGAATATGCTGTGTTGTGCTTTTATTGTAACATGGTTGTTGCTTGTTAATATGAAGAAGAATAGTAGACAAAAGCAATATCAGTTGTTTCTCCTCCTCCTTCCCAAAGATAGATGTACAGAACAAATGCCATACAGAATGAGAACAGAACAAAAATATTACTTCATATTACAAAAACTTAATATCATGTTTCATATTACAAAAACTTCATGTTTCAATACTTCACTATTCTGCAGATTGCCATTTTCAGTGACATTGACAGAAATATTTTTTTTAATTTTAACCTTTTATTTATGTATTGATTTATTTTTATTTCTGACCATAGAGTCAAGAGACCAAATTACAGTCAGAGACTTAAGGAGTATCAAACAGTTGGAAGCTTTATGCAGAGCTCATACTATAATGGCAGTCATTTCTGGCCACGGTTCTCCTTCTCATGAGCAGCACTGTTTGATGGCATATGCTTTTGTGATACACATATGGCAGGTAAGAAGATGAATGTGTTTATCACGTGGTTGGACATACTAGATGTACTGTGTCACTGTATCATTCTACTAACTGTTCATTAAATAGCTATCATTCATATCAGTAATTCCATAGATCATATGAAAACAAAGATTATTACACTGCCCTTGGTGTACATGAATATGAATTTTGCTCCAAAAGCTATACAGCATCTGACTGTTCAGACATAATCATGCTCCATGTATAGAGAGCTATGCATAGTACTTCTATTTTGAACTGAAGTATGTGATAGAACTAAAGAAATGATCATATTTATATAATCCCTCAAACTGTCTTAAACTAGTGAGGTGTAAGTAAATCCCTTAAATATTAGAATTTAAATCAAAATAAACTCCTTTGTTGCTAAGCTTCTCTAATAATCTTTATAATTCCAGCTATGTCTGCAGCATCGGAATTGTTTATACTAAAAACACTGTGATAGTTTTAATGCAAAACATTATCAAAACATTATCAGCATCACACAAATATCTCACTTAACTTGGAAGCTCTATTTAAGTTGCTTTAAGTCAGTACCAACTTGATTATAACACAACACACAGTTGCTTTTTTAGTTAATCAAGAAATTTCCCTTTATTGAGTAATGATTTTATGGGTTACATTTAATAATTTAAGATAGAATAGGACATCTTAAATTTGTTGCCTTGCCAGCTTTTGGAGAAAAAAATTAAAATGCTGGAAATGTAATAAAATAAAATAAAATCCAAACCCAGAAATCTTTCTATTAAGAGACACCTAAAGTAGTATTCCATATACGTATTACATATCAAGACGATTGAGTAACCAAAGTGTTCCTGGACTGCAATTTCCAGAAGCTTTCACCACCAGCTGTCCTGGCCAAAATTTCTGGACGTTGCAGTCCAAGAACACCTGGGTTACCCAAGGTCAGGAACCACTGATCTAGCCAATGGTTATAGACATCCTCACATTATTCTAGTTAGCAGTATGACCAGGTTCTGTAAATGTATCTGGGCTTTCTATATGCAGTGCTCTGATGACTGGTTTTAGGGCATGAACCCCCATTTTTATTTGTAATTGTTCTAGAGCAAAAATATATGGTGGAATTGAAACTGTTCTGAAGCACTAACTGTTGGCATTTTGCTGCTAATGGTGGCTAATACATTACCACTATTATTTGTGACAATTTCAAAATAAAAATCAATAGATTATTGTACAATAAATAGCACTCTTTTGTAGTGTTCAGGCTTCTTTCCACTGGTTTGCATAATCAACTCTGGTATTACTGTACAACTTTTCATTCCAAAAATTCCAAAGTGGTTTACAGATACTACATATTAAACCCCATAGAATACAATAAAATAAAGGAATTAATCTCCCTAAACAGCACTAAAACAATAAAATCATTTGTTAAAATTGCTAAGATTACTGGAGTAATTGATTTGGGTTAATGAGGAAAATACATGGTATAGGGTGCAGAATGACACATATAGTTAATGAAAATAACTGATACATGTCATTTGTTTGAAGGATTGCAGATTGGCAATTACAGTGACTTGTATCCTAAAATTAATTAACTTAAGAAAGTTCAAAAAAGGAAGGTGTCCCCTTCCTGCAGGAGAGTGACCTCCATTATCTGAAAAGTTTCTCTGGGTGATGCTCCTGAACAATGTGATATTCAGTGTTTATTGTGAAGGTGGGAAACAGTGGGGAGAAAAGTCTATCTCAAGTCAATCATAGGTGTTATGGTGCATTAAATTTTAAAAAAAGTCCACAGAAAGAGCATGTGCTCTCTCTCCTCCTTCCTGCAGTATTCCTTTATCTTGTCCCATTCCACTTTATTCAAGAAGTCGCTGCACTAGGTACCAGGAACAGAAATCTTTCCTTCTGTAGGCTGCTGTAAGGTAACTGGAGAGCTAAACTGTATTTTTGAAACTGTGCTGTTTGTAAAAGTAAGAGAGATTACTTCTGTCTCCTATAAATAATCTAGCATGTATCGCTTGTAGATGCTAAAATAAATGTCATTATTTTTCCCCAGATGTCAGTGACATCAGCAGGATCTGCTTTGAAAGCACTGACCAGAGTTTCACCATCTCAGATGTCTACTTCCAAAACAAAGGGGAAAAAAGATGTAAAACAAGTAAGATACTCCCTTATGTTAAAATAGTAAAAGCTTAAATTTTCTTCAGATAAATGACCTACACTTGTACATTTCTTCTGTTAATACATTATGGAAACTATTTATGTTATCACAAGCACGAATGTGCATTCCATCTTCCTCAGTGATCTGAGGTTTCAAAACCAGTGGACAAGTAATTTAGTATCACACGTAGATGGGATAATACAGAGTATTACATTTCGCACTGTTCTGCTTTGCAGTAAAAACATGCCATTACAATTGTTTTTCCTTTTTTTATTATTTCCTCAAGCCTGCAGGTAGTCAGAGGTCACCAACAACACCTCCTAAAAAAGATAAATCCTCAAAAGAGGGCAAACAGGTATAATTTTCTCTTAATACAGTGTTTTGATTGGATGTAAATGAAAATGGGATTCTGTTCTGCTTTGCAGTAAAAACATGCCATTACAATTGTTTTTCCTTTTTTTTTTATTTCCTCAAGCCTCCAGGTAGTCAGAGGTCACCAACAACACCTCCTAAAAAAGATAAATCTTCAAAAGAGGGCAAACAGGTATATTTTTCTCTTAATATTGTGTTTTGATTGGATGTAAATGAAAAATGTGATTCCTTAAAATAAGAGTCTCATTTTCATGTATAATTAGTGACTAAAGGAAAGTCTTAATGGAAAGGACCCAGCGATCCTTACTCGCAAGTGTAGAGGAATGAGATGGCTATTTGGTCCTGAAGAGATGATTTCAACTCCCATTGCTCCCAACCAACCAAGACGCTGGGGGGGGGGGGGGAGAGAGAGCTGTATTAAAATATATCTGAAGGCTCACAGGATTCCCAGTCTTACTATGATATTTTTGAACCCACACAAATACATCCCAATTTAATTACTTATTTCCCCAACAAAATTAAAACATCACAATAGCTTTTCTTTTTCTTAATCCCACTGGCAACCAGAGGTCACCAACAACTCCTCCTAAAAAGGATAAATCCTCAAAAGACGTCAGACAGGTACGTTGTCTTTAAATATGATATTCCAGTTTGTTTAGCATAATGGGGAAAAATAAGCTTCCTTCAAATAGAAACCTTATTTTCAGGTGCAGTCAGTTATTAAAGACAAATCTAAACGAAAAGCCCCTGCTGATGCCTTACCTGCAAGTGTGGAGGAATGGGCAAACTATGAATGTCCTGATGAAATCAGAGAGGCCTTCAAACACGACTCAAGTGGCTGTGCTGTGAACAGAGAGACCATTCTAGCACCCGTGAGTAACATTAAAAAAGGACATTCAGGAAGCCAATTGTTCTGTCAAAGGGTCAGACCTGAATGTCAGAGAGATGCACAATCCCTTCCTCAGATACAAGAATTCAGCAGCCAGGCTTTCAAATGAAGCTTGTTTTTACCTTCCATTCACCAGTTTGACCGCTGGGAAGAGTGCCTTGGCAAGAAAATATGATAAATGTATTATCTAATTTGATCCTGAGCTTTCTTGGGTTTGTGTGAATTTGCAGAACTTGCTGGAGTATGAACAGAAAGATTTGCTGTTGCAAAATATTCTGGCAGGAAATAGATGATATCTCCGAGTGATACTTGCCTTTGAGGGGCTCCAGAATTCTTCAGTTTTCCTGGAAAACTGATAGAAATGAAACTGAAGTCAGACTGAACATACTATAGAAATCATTACTCTTGCTATAATTGCCTTAAATCTGTGGTGACTGTGAAGCAGTAAAGTCAATGGGAGTTTTTCCTGCTGCCCCAGTATGCTTTCAGCCAGATTGTGCAGCAATGGTAGGAACTAAGGTTTTTGTAATCCCTGGACCATCATGTGCATTAGCTAGTGTGACATCAGAAAAAGAAAAGAGAAACTTCTCTCTTCTTTGCATACCACTTTTATGTTAACCCTGCACCACCACTGATTTCAGATAAGGAAAGTGGGGGAAAGATAGAAGTGTGTTTGATGTGTAGTGTTGTAGAGGGATTTGAGGGATAGGGAGGGTAAAGAAGATGTGTGAGCAGAAACCTTCTCTGGGTCTCATCAAATCCCAAAGCATGAGTATTAGGTGGGGATATATTGCTTCAGAAAGCCTTCTAAAGGGAGTGGGGAGTAAGGAATTGGGACAGAGGTACTGTGAACCTGTCTTCCATCTACTCTTCTTTTCATTTTTAGACACGAACCTTATATTACCTAGACCTTTTAGTTAAGGAACTACAGGCTCTTTTGTGTACGCACTTGACTCTTCCAGTTCTTCATCTGGCTGAGATCATTGCTCATGATGTTGTAGAAAGCAGAAGTCTATCTGATCTCTACCATCTCCGGTTAGTATTGATTGCTTAGAAACATTTTTTAATTATTGTGATTACCATGAAACTTTTTAATTTTCTTTCATATCCTTCCTAAACTAACTTCAGTTGTGATGGACATTTTGGCATCCCCTGGTTTTCATTACAGACACTTTTCTAGCCACATATTTCTAGAATACACATTGAATGAAATCAGTTTCATTTTCGAATGGGCTTGGGCCATTCTTCAATGAATGAAACTACCCTTTCTTTTCAGTCTTCTTGCATTTTTTGCAATTAAATAGGTGATTAGGATGATTGACAGTAATAACAGATTATGTCATTTGTTTTCACAGACTCTCCAGTACTTGCTTAGATCTAAATTTGTGTCCAGCATCGTCTTATCATGAGAAGGCAGTGGGTGGAGTATTCATTAATGAAATAGAACAAGGGAGGTATGGTATTTTATATTAACCTATATCATTCTGTATGTGTTTTACAAACATCCCTTATAACTGTATGCCACAGTCTAAAGCAATAGATGGGGAGCCACCAGAACTATTATCATACAGCCATTTTGTACACTCTTAGTCAGGGAAAGAAAGTAAGAGGTGATGAATCCAGCCACCCCACCCTAGAATGGCAGAATTTTAACTTTTATTAGATGACTGTGTTACTTTTATGTATCCTAGACTGTTGTGTCAGAATGGGGAACTGAAAAGTATACAACCTAGTTCTCTCCATGGTTCTAATTTGTAGTGTTGCAAGCTGAATTGTGGTGATAAGCTTTATAATTACACAGTGCTCTTTGAAGAGTGATAGTTGTTTATAAGGGCATCACAGTATTTAAATTGCGCTGATATAGCTGGACTGAAAGGATGTTTCATGAACACTAAAGTGATTATCATAAACATTTTTGTCTGTTAGCTCATGACCTTAATATTTGCTATAAAAGAGACTAATCTTTCCCATTGTAGTAGTATACTTTATTACGGTCAAAGACCAGTAAAACCAAATCAATATAAAATAGATACATATAATTATTGTTTCGTAAAGTCGGGCAGGGTAATAAAATTCCATTAAAACATGATAAAACAACCCCTTCTTTCCAATTAATAACATCATATATACTTAATATAGGTAAAACCTCAGGCAGTGTTATATTAAAAACATTATACTATCCATCTAAAATCACCTACCTAAACATCTGTTTATGAATAACCATTGCTGCAGCACAGAATTTGGTCACTTGTCTTGTAATATAAGGGGTATTGTCAGAGAGTAGCCACTGCACATAATCCTCCTCTGATCTCCCAGGAGATTTACAGATAATAGGTGATAAAAGCTCCATACGAAGATCCCGATAACAAGTACAGAAAAGGAGAACATGACCAACTGATTCAACTTTATCACTGTTACAAGGGTAGAGACAATCTGATACAGGCAAACCTCAAAATCTTCCCTCCAAAAGCTTAGAAGGAAATATATTGAGCTTAGTTAGCGTAAAAGCCCTTATGGCTTTAGATGACATAGTGCTGGCTAAATACAAGGAGGTGATAAAAGCAGATTTCTTAAGGAAGTTATAATTCCCTAACTGGCCAACATGGTCCTGTAGTTCAGTGTCCCATACCCTTAACTTCACCGCTTTGATGACATCCGTGAGACCCATTGCTATAAGTATACAGAGGGAAAAGCCAATTTTTGATATCTCTTCAGATATATGCTTCTTCCACTCCGACTGAAAGGAATCTAGTAGGATCAGTAGGGCCAAGCCTTCTAATGAAAAAAATCAGTTTAAGCCAGTATTTCAGCATAAGGACTTTAGCCCGTGCTTTAATGGATATTAACCCAACCTCTAAGCGAAGAGCCACATTGGAAGTACAAGGTGGAACTCCAAGAATGGCTCTCGCAAATTTGGTCTGAACAATCTCCAGAGGTTGTAGATTAGTGTAAGTTAATAGTTGAGAACCATAAAGCATTTGTGAAATAAACCTGGCCTTAAAAACTTGTATTACCGATGGTACATGTTTACCCCCAACAGTATGAAAAAATCTTGTTATTGCCCTGTATTTTTCTGGGCACTTATTGCTTCGTGGTTTACATGAGTAAGCCAGGATCCTGAAGAATGAAAAACTATGCCAAGGTATTTATAGCATGCTAATCTTTCCCATTGCTTCTTTCCTGGTTTAGATTTAGACAAGAGATTGCATTTAAAAAGGAGAATGCCTTAAAAGATAATCAAAAGGAAAATAAGTTACTTGACAGTCCAAAACCAGGTGATGTTGATCAAAATACACAAAAATTATCTGCAAAAGATAAGGTAATTTGCATTTATTTGGAATATATAATACAGTAACTAGGCTACCTTTAATTGCTTGATGGCTTTTAGAAAGAAATGAATGGCATCCTGTATATTAAATTAATTGTGATCTCCAAGCATCCCGTGATTCTATCTCTCCTATTTTATTTTTTGCTGTCTTATGCTTAGTCATTATATTCTAATTAGCAAGATTTGCAATACTTACAAAATGTTTTTTTTTCCTAAAAGGAAGAATAATGGCAAGTCTGAATCTTTTACAGATTTTGGAACTAAATCCTATCACTGAAAAAGAATTAAGTGGACTCTCATTCCCCTACCTCTGGATAGACAAGGCTGAGGTCTTACTCCAACTGAATTTATATCAACCAGCAAGACTACTGCTTTCAGAAGCACACCAAGCAGCTCAGGTAACTTATTCAGAAACACACACACACACACACACACACACACCACACACACACACACACAGACACACACAGACACACACACACACACACACACACACACACACACACACACACACACACACACACATTCTGGCATGACTTAATTTCCCATTCTGTGTATAAAGAGGCAGCCTCTGCTTTAATGGACAGATTCCAGTGCCCCTGGAGTGTCAGATGTCTATTGAACATGTAAAGCAAAAGAGGGGAAAAAATCTGTGCTATACATTCTGGCTTTCGGGTTTTCCTCTTTTGAAAAATTTCTCATCACCTTAGAAATGCAGAGCTGGAAGAGACCCTATGGATCATTGAATCCAGCTCCTGTAAAAGAGGTGCAGTGGGGAATCGAACTTCAAACGTCTGGCTCTGCAGCCAGATATTTTAAACTAATGAACCTTCCAGTAGTTATTCAGATTTTGGTTTCAATATTCATCTTGCAGAGCAGTCCTGTACATGTCAAGTCAGAAGGAAATTCCACTAACTTTGGAAGAGCTTACACCTAAGCATGTGTAAGAGTGCAAATTTGGAGTTACTTTTTTTCCCTTGAGCCAAAATTTAGTTGTGGAAAATCACACCAATATAAACTAAATCAGGCACTGGAAATATCTAATTTAAACTACAGTGGTGCCTCACGATGAATTTAATTCGTTCTGCGGTTAATGTTGCCTTGCGAAAAATTCGTCTTGCAAAACGCGTTTTCCCATAGGAATGCATTGAAATCTAATTAATGTGTTCCTATGGGCAAAAAAAGTCAGAACAAAGTCAATTTTGGTTTACAAAGGGTTTATTAAGTGCTCTTTAAAGCCATACATATTGTGCAGATGATTTCAAAAATTTCAATCAAAAAACTTTTAACTTTTTAAACATCATAGAAAAACATTTAAAAATCAGCAAACATGAGGCAGGAACAAAAAACCGAAAACATTCATCTTGCGAAGCACACCACAGGAACACTTGTTTTGCGAGTCATCAACCCCATTGCCCAAACCATTTGTCTTGCAAGTTTTTTTTTCCTGCGAGGCATTTGTCTTGCGAGGCACCACTGGATTTGTAAGATTCTGCTGGATAGCTCAGTGGTTTAGGTCTCTGGCTGTGGAGCCAGAGATTGGGAGTTTCATTCCCCACTGGGCCTCCTTGACAGAGGCTGGACTCGAGGGTCACGTATCCCACCCCACCCCTGCTTTTTTAGGTTCTAGGCTCCCTTTTGCCCTGGGAAAACCTCTTGGAGCCTTGGGATGGGAAAGAGATTTCAATACTCAAAAATTGCTGCTGTGTCACTGCTGCTGGGATTGGGACCACTGGTGGCAACCAAGCAGTGATTTTTTAACTATTAAAGAATCCCAACTCCACAAGGCTTCCCTGTGGCAAAAAAAGGGTCCCTGGGGAGCCTCAGAACCTGGAAGGGGGAAGACTTTCAACTTATTTAAATTAAATTGTTCCATTAACAGATCCCATTTACACTGTTATAATGTTTACTAAAAGGATTTTGCCCATTCATTCATTCTTTCAAGCAGGCCTTGAATATTGTTTTTCTGGTCCTGAACAGCATTTATTCCATTCTCCTTCCACCAGTCTCTTATAAAGTAAGGGTGTGACAATAATATTCCATATTATGAAGGAATTTACACATCAGTTGTACAGTAGTGATTTAGATAGCCTTTATATTAAAATGTCTGAAATCCTGTTTGCACAGGTATGCCCACATAATTCTGTCAATGTCATAAGCAACCAATTTTTGTAAATCAAAAATTAATTATTTCCTGTTTCTTCCACAAAGCTCCCCGTAGGTCCCATATAATCCCTTTCATTGTTGGGTAGCCATGGAAGCAGTAAGACAGGAAAAGGAAGCCTTTAATTACTAAAAATTGCTGCCATCAGGATGATTTACCAGTGGTAGTCATTTTCAGCAGTGTAAGACTTCTTCCATCCTACAGCTTCTATGGCTTCTAAATGATTAAAGGAATTAAACAGGAGTAATGACTGTCTTGGGACAGTAGTAGGAAATGTTAAGTTTCTGAAAAATTGCTCCTGTTGTTGATGTCATCAGCCTTATGTGGGAATAGTTGTGTGAAGAGGATTTCTACGCTGGCCTGTGAGAACTTACTATAGGTGCCTTCTTTGTGAAGCACAGGAATAGCTGTATTATCAAGTGCTGTTTTTTCTTTTTTCTTTTTAATGGATGATATACTTAAGTATATTTTTAATGACCACATACAGTAATTCCCTGTACAAGTTCCCAAGGTTAGGGAATATTTAGTACATCTCAGTTTGTTAAATTGAAAGGGTAATGAACTGGTCATCACTGATGTGGAATTGAGTATGGGTTGGATCAAGACACATGGTGGAATCCTAGTCCAAAGCTGAGGTAGGGGGCTCAGGAGAGGCAGGGGCCTCTTTTGCAGATAGAAATCCCTAATGCCAGCAGAAATGCCTTTGCTCTGGCTGAACCTTCTTTTGCACTCCATCTGATGGAATTGCCAGCAGAACAACTCTAAGATCTTGTGGCAGAAGAGGCAAGAAAAGGAGCTGAGAAGAGGTGGAGTAAGGGAGAAGCTGACTAAATATAATTAAGACCAACCTTATTTCTGTGACTGTTCTTGTGACGTATGTTCTTCATTGTTTTGTTTGTTTTATTGTAAAAAAAATGGGGCTTAACATTAGGAGGATTTTGATCATGTAGTAATAAGACTCAGGTCTAAATGTTAGTGCAAAGATGGAAAAGTACTCTTTTTAAAATATACATTAAAATATCATATTTTTCCTTAGGAAATGAATGACCCATGTACCATATCACAGTGCCTTTATCTTCTAGCTGTGCTGGCTAACTTGGAAAAAAAACACGGGCAGGCCAAAGCCCTGCTTGAAAATGCACAACTGATAGGAGGAAATGAGAAGTTTTGGTGCAATAGCACTTTGTGTCTTACAGATGCAATTTTAGGGGAAGACAGGGAAGGAAAGTCCAAAAGGGTAAGTAATCTGACGATTTATCTCTAAGGATACGATAGTAAAGATGGATTATGTAGTTTGGTTTTTAGAACCATAATAACTAGGATTTTGATCTAGGGTTAGGCCATCTGTATATATTTTTCCTACCAACGACAGATTTTTGTTGTTATTTATGAACTGATACACAAAGTGTTTCAGTTTTGCCAGAAATTATCCAGCTTTAAAAAGCATTTGGAAAAGTGTCTATATGCCAAACGCCATGAAAATGTTCCAAATTCTGAGGTAAAGAAAGATTTAAGCATTCAGCAACATGGCGTATTGTGCATCCTTTTGCTAGTTTGAGGGTAGAAAGGAAAAGCCTTCTACAAATATATTGCTCACTTTCTCCCAGTTCCTTTATTTGTAAGTGCTCTTATTTTATAGTTACATGTAATTAAGCCTTATCTGCTTCTAAGTAAGAAGTCGTATGAACTTTTGTAAAATGCTGCTTGTATTTTTACTATATAGGTTTACTCTGAATTTTTTTTAACAATACTGTGTATAAGAATGAAAATATTTCAAACAACTCTGTCTTTTTGTGGGTCCAGGCTTGCCATCTTCTGCAAAAACACATAAATATTTTGCGACCATTACTTATGGAAAGACCTAACAAAGAGACTGAGCTCAGTTTTATAATTGCACGTCTTGAAGCCAGGTAATCACAGACTGAAACCATGTTTAGAGTTTCTTTTCCTCAAATAATTTACAGGCCTATCTTATACTTCTCCGAAGTAAGCCCCACTGAATTCAGTGAGACAGATAGATAGATAGATAGATAGATAGATAGATAGATAGATAGATAGATAGATAGATAGATAGATAGATAGATAGATAGATAGATAGATAGATAGATAGATAGATAGATAGATAGATAGATAGATAGATAGATAGATAGATAGATAGATAGATAGATAGATAGATAGATAGATAGATAGATAGATAGATAGATAGATAGATAGATAGATAGATAGATAGATAGATAGATAGATAGATAGATAGATAGATAGATAGATAGATAGATAGATAGATAGATAGATAGATAGATAGATAGATAGATAGATAGATAGATAGATAGATAGATAGATAGATAGATAGATAGATAGATAGATAGATAGATAGATAGATAGATAGATAGATAGATAGATAGATAGATAGATAGATAGATAGATAGATAGATAGATAGATAATTGCTGAACTCAATCTGGTTTACTTTTACATAGATGCACATAGGACTGTGCTGCAATTTTATAAACTATTGCAGAACTTTCATCTGTTTTTCCAAAATGCAATTATCACCTCTCATAGACAAATGCAAATATTAACATTTTCATGCGAACATTATCTTTTATAAATAAATGTACTATTAATATATTTTCTCCACAGGAAAGCCTACATTCAGATAGATTTTGCTAAAGATTTCATCCGTGGTCATCATCATTCTAATTCAGTAGCAATGTTGCTGGAGCCATATGATAAATTAATTCACATAGAGAAGGACTTTCTTTCTTATGGATATATAGATTACAGCACTGAAGCTTTGATGGCCTGTGCAGACATTCAAAGGTAAGCTCGCAGTATTTCTTAAATATATCAATGCAAATAGGCCAGGTTGAAAGGGACTAGTTTCTTTGGCCTAAAGCCAATTACTAATTCCAGCTAGAGTATACTAGCTGAATCATTGGAGACTGTAAATCAAAACATGTATATTTTGGTGATTCAATTGGTTTGCATTTGTATTTAGCCCACTGTTTGTAGTATTTTTCTCCTACTTTTTGGCTAAACAGACTCCCAGATGAGTCCATAACCCCAACCTTTTTATTTATAAACTTTGCTGTAAGTTAAAGTAACTAGCATCTACTCTCATGAAAACAGACTTTTCTCAATTTTTCCTTTGTCTGATTTTGATACTTTCAGAATATCCTTTTGTTGGACTCCCAACATCTCTAAATAGCCAGTTTTTAAGATATGTTATATAGTCATTCTATTGTAAAATTTAAACCTCAAGGTAGCCAGGTAAAACAGTCACAAAACAGTAACTAGTAAAATATAGTAAATGATATTAATGAAAGCTAAAATAGCAACATTAATAACAACATGTAAATATCCCATAGTATCTCCCTGGAGAGAATGTTTAAACAATGTTGTCTTTAGCAAATATCTACCTCAGAACAGAGTGATTGTGATTCTAGAGCCTTTATGCTTCTAGCAAGAAGGCTGGGTTCTGCGTACCCACCAGCTGCATCTGATCGTGATAGCAGTGAGACATGCAAGAGGACCTTGGTTTAAAAAAACAGAACTATGGAGATTTTTATGGTGTAAGCAGACCTGATAAATATCAAGGTCCCAAATGGTTTAGGGCTATAGCAGTCAAAAACAGCATTCTAAATTGGGTTCATAACTAATTGGAATACAGAATCACGAAAGGAAAGCTAGATGAATGTTTGTCAATAAAATTATATTCAGAAGTAATATTAGACAGAGGCTCACATGCCTTGAGTGAGACTACTAACTAACAGCTTCAGTTGGTGTGGCAGCTTTGACCGTTCTGGCCAGGGTGGCCTGGTCACATTTGGTCTAGGCATTGGTAATTTTAAGACTGAACTGTTGTGACACACCGTACAAAGAGCCACCCTAAGCTTGGTTCAGATGCTACATCTAGTACAGAATATGGCAGTTAGGCTGCTCTGTAAGGCCTTCTTCCATATGCATACATCTATGCTGAAAGCTCTAAATTAATTGCCATTCAGATATCAAGCCAGATTTGTAGTATTATTTTTAGCTAATCAGGCTCTGAACACTTCATGACCAGGTTATCTGAGAAACCATGTACAGAATATCCTTAACTTTATCCACTGAGTGGAAGACGCAATAATATACCACAGCCCAGAGAGATTCATTTTGTTGTGATGCGGACAAAGTTTTTTTTCGATTGTTGCAACAATCATGTGGAACGGTCTTTCTATAGAGATTGTGCAGGCTCTCGGTGTTTGATATTATATTTATTCATTTATTTCTATTTTGTGTGTGAGTGTCCTTGCCATTTGCTTGACTGTTGTTTGTTACCCTAGTTTTCCATTAATTGTTTTAATTTTCAAAAATTAAATTAAAAAAATTAAACATTTTTTTAAAAATAGCTATTTTATTACTTTTTACCAACTGATTCTATTGTACCTGTTCATAATTTAAACTCTTTTGACATTTTTAAAATGAAACATGGTATAAACATGTCACTAAATAAATAAACACTTATATTATTTTAGCTTGCTTAATGGCTTACAAAAATGGCCATCTCTTCCAGCAGGAGACAGTTATTCCTCTTCTGTACACGGGAGAGAAGATAAAAGGGTTTCTCGAAGTATCTTTCCCCCCTCCCCCACTGCCACTTTTTGAAAGGATCATCACATTACCCAAAGGATCATCACATTTGCAGCAAATTCTCTGTTCCTTTCTTACAGGATTCTGGCTAAACACACAACAGACACTATAGACAAGCAGAGCCGTTACATGGATGCATACAGATTAGCTCAAGAAGCAGTAACACAAATGGAAAAACTTTTTCGACATACAAATAACATGCTTCCAGTTAATGAAGTAAGTGTGATGTCTGTATTTTTGCACTGTCAAAATACAAGGAGAGTTCACAATCCAGTGGGAAGATTGACAATCTTTCACACTTCTGGTGAGTGTTCTAAAAAACAGAGCCTGGGGAGAATCATCAAGATATCACTTTCAGCAGTTACTATTATTGTAGCTCCTTAGTTCTGGTTGTCGCCCAGTTGTGACAGTCCCGTAAGAATACCAACATATTTCACAAAATAAATGAATGTGTCTCTGAAAACCGGTAGAGATTTCTCCTCCTCATTCCATTTTAGTTGTTCTTTTGGTTCTTTCTCCATTTTTAATGGAGCAGAGCAATGTGCAAGAGAAGTAGGTCACTGGCCGGAAGGATTCCATGTGGGCCTTTCCACCTGTTCCAATATCCATTCTCTAACTTTGAAGCATTTCACTTGGATGCCCAGAGTATGTAGTTTGATTTTAAAGGTGTGGCTTCCATTTACATTATTTTTAAAATTTCAGACTAGAAATATTAGCATGCCATTGATGAGAAGACTTGCTGTCATGAAACTGAGCCTCATAGAGATTATTTTGGATATTTTTATGCTTACCAATATTGAGAGAAAAAAGAAGGAGGCCCGAGCCGAACAAATTGAGCAAATTATTGAGGATTTTGTGAGATTTACACCTGACGCAGCTTCTATTGAACAGGTTTGTGCTTATGTGATATTTAGTTACTCAGAAGAAGCCCTTTGGCTTACTTTTCTCATGGAAAGTGGGAGAGTTGGAAACAAGATACTGTGAAGTGCTTATTATGAAAAGGTTTAATGGGTCAGATCCTGTATGTAGGCATGTGCAGTGAGGCTGCCAGAAATATGCTTTCCTACCCCTCTTCTCTTTTGCAATTTCTTCAGTCTACACTTCCAGTGATATGCAGAAGTTGGGAGACCCTGCTGAAAGTTTTAGGTTGAAAGAGAAGATCCACAATATTTGAGTAGAGATACCCTTTCCCCCAACACCACAGCCTACTTCAATCAATGTATCTATAAGTTAAGCTGTGTGTGATTTGAATACTAATCTAGGTGCTCTGTATTGTGCTGCCCATGGTTTGCAATGAGTCTGCAAAGATGGACATGCATACAATATATTGTGATAATCTAGGTGAGACATTACCAGTCACTGATAACTATCCAAGTGAGGTCACAGCTAGTGCACAAATGTTAGCTGATAGAAGGCACAACCTCAGTCTTTCAGTAGGAGTTCAAGTTCACTGGAATGGCTGAAAGTCATATCTTAGAATAAATAATCACCACAAGGACCTCCATTTTGTCTGGATTGAACTTCAATTTATTAGCCCACAATGAATTCCTTGTGAAACTGAGACTGTTTCAGCATTTCCACAGCTTCACCTGAGTTTGATTAAAAAGGGAAATAAACTGTACTGGTGGAACTCACTTCAAATTCCTAGATGACTTCACCCAGGGATTTCATAATGATAATAAACAGCATAGGAGAACAAAATAGAGCCCAGCAAAATGCCATAACATGACTGCCCTAGACAGTCTGCAGGAAATGGCAATTCCAATGCAAATGGAACCACTAAGTACAGTATCATTAATTCCTATCCTAAATATTAAGTTTAGAAGGATATCTTGGCTGGTGGCATCAGACTCCATTGTGAGTTGGAAGAACTGAGTTGTACTCCCCCTGTCCTTCTGGCATAGGTGAAGGGACCAAAGCAGTTTCAGTATCAAACCAAGGAATGAAATTTGATTGCAGCAGATCCTCAAAATAGATGGTTATAATAATAGTGTGTGTGTTCAAGCTTGCCCAGCCACTCAAGCACATTGCCTTCAAAGAGTATGTGGCAACTTAATCAGTATTTGTATCAACCTTCAGGGTCCAGAGAATGGTTGAATTACCACTTCTTTGACGGGACATTGTGTGTACTGAAACACTGATACTGTATTATTTATCACTCATCATATTGCCTATTTTGTACACTTTCCAAAGCATTGACTTTATATTTTCTGGATTACAACAGGCCTGGATAACCCTTGGGCGCACAATTGGTCATAATGCTCTGGCTCAGCTAGCAAGCCTACAGACTCTTTGTACTGGTTCTCCTGATATCAAAGCCAAGTACCTGTATCTCACAGGAAAGAGTCTGCATTTACTTGCTGATCGTTCAAACCCTTTATCTTCAGATATTCATTGGTCGGAAAGTACAGTGGTAAGCAGGCCTTTATAAAAGTTAATTAAACCTTTCAGTGGCTTTTGTAGACTGTTTTGTAAGTTCATATGATTTCATTCTTTTAAAATAATTTCTTTAGCTGCCTTGGGAGCTTCTTTAAAATCGAGAGGAAATATAGTTATTCAAAATATTCAGGTGGGCTGTATATCAAAATGTTGTGTTGAATGATTACACTCAGGATTTGAGCAATTAGTTTCATCTCTCTACCCTGGTATCTCTTCTACATTAAGCATTCTAGGGCACTGATCTCACTCATTCCCTCTGGGGCTGTTTTGCTTGGGAAGAACTGCTTCTTTATTATTATTTTTCTACCCATTGCTTTGTGTTTCTGCAGTCCTTGGGCTTCCTCTGAATTGGCTCATTTCTCCCTCTTAGGCATGGGTGGTGGCATCTTTGCTGCAGATGTAACAGCACTCTCCCTCAAAATCTGGAACTTTGTAATATATTACAAATCAGTAGCGGTTGTTCTTATTAATGATGTATGCATGAGAGGCATGGACTGATAAACTGAAGATGCCCTGAAGTATACTATGCCACTGTCATTGTTTTCACATGACTAGACTCTTAGCATGTTAACTCTCTTGAATTTGTATGATCATGTGCTTAAAGAAATGGGTTCTTTGTACTACCTCTTTGCCCTTTATAATTATACAATCTACAGTCCTAAAACTAAATCCAAGAATCACAGGGTGTTTGCATGACCCAGAACATTTGGAACAGCCGAGGGCAGGGCAATCATTATGGCTGCATCTTCTAAACTGTTGCCTTGAGAATTAGCACCAGTTGCCCTGCCCTGCATCTTCTTTACTTCTGCATATTCAGTACCTTTGTGTTTGTAGTCTTGTGCCATACTTGGGCAAAGGAGACACATGTACAATATATACAGTCAACCTAGGAAAACGTCTTCGGACGGATCTGCATGCTTTAATAATTCATTGATTGTTGACAGTCCTTTATTTGTTTGTGATGAACAGGAGGTGGCTAAATCTCTCTGTGAAAAGTCTCCTTCACCAGAAGCAGAAGCAAAATGTGATGAAAGTGAAGTACCAACTACTCCTTTGCCACTTAGTAAAAAACAGCTTGATCAGTACAGGAAGAAAGCATATGAATTAAGGGTAGGTTGAGTACAGAAATTTCTCAGATCTAGACCATGTAGATCACTTCTAAGAAGGTGGACAGGGAAAAGTAATGCCAATGGAAAATGAAGAATTTTCCATTTAACTTATTGAATATTTTAAATATTTTAATTAAACACATACTTTTAGTAGACTAAAGAAAATAATGCAGAATTTGAATAAGCTGTGAAAATCAAAGTGAAAAGGGAGAAAATGGATACGTGGTTTTTTCAGATGCTTCTACTATTCTTTTTCTCTTTGGTAAATCAATTTTGAAAAAATTCTTCCTCTGGAAATGTCTCTCTCTCTGTCTGTCTCTGTCTCTCTCTGTCTCTCTCTGTCTCTCTCTCTCTCTCTCTGGGAAAATGTGACTGCTGCAAAAATGGGGGGAAGCAACAGACCCACACTGCCACTTGCCATTTTTGTTGAAATTGTCAGGTCCTTCTGAAATCATCCAGAAAGATGGGGGTTTGAGGGAGAGGGGGATAGTGTGGCTGTGCGGAGCACTTATCAGTGCCTCCTCTGCTATCTCCACTAGCACAGGGAGAAATGAAAAAAAGAAATTCATGGACAAATGACATTTGGAAGTATAAAAACAAATGCCATTTCAAAGCAGAAAAAAGGCACTCTCATGTGAATATTGAACTCCCTTTCTAAATGGAGTGGAAGAAATAAGGTTGGTTTATGTAGGCAAGCCTGTGTGTCATGATACTGTACTATGTGGTCACAGAACATTTAGTATGGGGTAGCAAAAGAAACTGAGGAACAATTACAAAGCATTTCTGGAGACTGAGAGTAGCTGCTAACGAAAGAGTCATCCATGCTGTGTGTTTGTAAAATTTTAGTCCTTTGGCGTTCTAATTAGTTTTTATTGGGAAGTGATAATTCTGCTCTGCACTGGAGAGATTCAGTCGTCTCTAGTGTGGCGATTTCAAAGAAATCTCCAGCCTCAAAAGAAGCTATCTATTTCATCTGGTCTTTCTAGAATAGAAATTTGGTTGCTCAACCTTACAAAGGAGCATAGGAAAGTGAACCATCTGAGGGTGGGTAAATGTGGGGACGATATAAAACTGGACTCAGTCTCATGTTTTTATTCAAAGAGTTTGTGTTACCGATGTTGGGCGTAGGAATATGGCTTCCACATTCATAGGCATATGGCTTCCCCCATACATCTGCGTACAGGGGATCCTGTGGAAAGGTGTGCTCTTTGAACAGTTATGCCGATACACTCTCAGTGTGATCAGTGTTGTTCCTTTGGTTTCCAAGTAGGCCCTTCAGATCTTTGTAGGAGGCCTCTGCTTATTTTTGAGGTACACAGCAGGCTTCTCTCACCTCTACTAGTGTGCAATATTTTTCATTAAAAATTGATTACATGTGAGAAACTGCCACTCTCCATGAAGTCATAGATAACTATAGGTTTGCGGCTTTTGTAGTCTGTATAATGTTTAATGAAAAAAATGCTGTTTTTACTATATAGGGAAGACAGATTTGGACTCAGAAATACTTGTTTCAGTCAACAGAAGTTTTGCTGCAGTGCATTAATGTTGCGATTAATAATAACTTGATCGATACCTTGGCCAATGCTAGTTTGGAAATGGTGGAGTGCATTGGACGATTTGACCCAGTTTCAGCAGCTCAGTTTTTGGCCCTGTATCAGGTAAGGTAACAACTCGTTAGAACAGTTGAACTGATAGCTGGACCGATGTAAAGGTATTAATTAAGAAGCTCTGAAGGGAGACCATTACAATAATTGTGTGAAGTTATTATCTTTACTTAGTGGTTGTCATTGATGTTAAATGTCATTATGGGTTAGAATCCTGTTTTGCTGCATACGGAAACATAACAGCCGAAATCCCACTCCATATTTATATTAACATCACTCCATTAGTGTTATTTTCAGTAACAAATGTTTGTAAGTTAAGAAATTAGCACAGGCATTTGGTCCATTTAGTCTTGACTGGTGTCTGATACCAAATGCCTATGCTAATGTCTTAACTTACAACACTTTGTCACTGAAATTTCAAATGCTGTCATCAACCTCTTAACTTGCAGCAGTTTGCCTCTGAAATTTGTGCCATTGAAGTTATGCTAGTGTAAATATGTACTGTAGTTGGATTTCAGCCACTATGTTTTAGATTGTGGTAAACCCCATTAAGTTGGCATTGACGTAATACTAGCAAATGCCTAACAATGGACTGGTAATTGAGAGCAAGCCACAAACTCATCTGCTTCTCTAGTTTTCACCTGTGCAAATCCCTCTCATGTTATTGTTAATAATGGTCAGCATTATATCTGCAACCGTGCTAACCATGGGTAAGGATAAATGTTATTAGTGACTCCATTCAGTCTAAAAATTGTTCATGTTCATAGCTAGCCTTTCATTTTCATTAGCAGCATTATACTGGCACTAGGTATGGTTACAACTAATCAGTGTACTGATTAGCTGTCGGATTTTGGATTAGGAGATGAGCACTTCAGTTCTCTGTTCTGCCATAAGTCTCTCAAAACAGCTTAGAAATCATCGCTTTCTTTCCAACTTTCCTTTATGGGGTTGTTTTAATAAAATGTGGCATGCAGGGCAAACCCGTACATGGAATATCCGAACAAGCCTGCATATTCCTTCCAACCATAGTGAAAAATTGCTAGTCATACCATTGCTCTAGGCCTTAGTAAGAAGTTGTAGAGATGTCACTTTTGAAGCAGAGAAAAGAAAAAGCAATCAAGGACTGACAGTAGGGGATCGAATTTCCAATATCTGGATCCACAGCCATATACTTAACCGCTGAGCTATACAGCAGTTTCATCACTATACGGTCCCTTACTTAACACTGACAATCTATTACTTAACTATATAAATATTTTAAACAGGTATGTAAAATAGTTAAATGTGATTTAGAGATAATTTTTCCATGAAAGAACCTGAATAATTGAGAAAATGCATACTTCATATTTCACTCTCAGAGTCTTTGTACAGTACTTTATTGTGATTGTAAATAATTGCAGTCTATGTACCACTTGCTATTATACTTCCTTGATAAAGTTTTCAGAGTCTGTTTAAAAACATTCGGCAAACTAGACTAATATTAAAACATTACAGAGCTGTACAGCATCAATGATGATGAAAGAGATCCTTCTAGCAGCTACACTGAATACAAGCAGTTCACAACTGGCAGCAATGCTACATCTGCAGCACCACTTAGAACAAAAAGGAGACAGAACAAGCAGTCTTCTAAAAAATGTGGAGCAGAGATTAACAACTATATCCAAGGTGAGCTAATCAATTAAAAAATGCTGTAGATTCACAGAAGCCTATTCTCACAGGGTTCTGGTCCCTAGTTGAATCAGAACACCTGTAGGGGTCACATGCAATCAGCTATTTATCATGTCTGGTGAAGTGGACTTGTCATATATATCAGTGGTTCTTAACCTTGGGTTACTCAGGAGTTTTGAACTGCAACTCAGCTGTACAGCATCAATGATGATGAAAGAGATCCTTCTAGCAGCTACACTGAATACAAGCAGTTCACAACTGGCAGCAATGCTACATCTGCAGCACCACTTAGAACAAAAAGGAGACAGAACAAGCAGTCTTCTAAAAAATGTGGAGCAGAGATTAACAACTATATCCAAGGTGAGCTAATCAATTTTTAAAAGAATGCTGTAGATTCACAGAAGCCTATTCTCACAGGGCTGTGGTCCCTAGCTGAATCAGGACACCTGTAGGGGTCACATGCAGTCAGCTATTTATCATGTCTGGTGAAGTGGACTTGTCCACAAAAGTTCACATTTTTATATATGATGCCACGTTGCAGTTCAAAAACATCCGAGTAACAAAGGTTAAGAACCACTGGGTTACACAAGTGTTTTTGGACTGCAACTCCCAGAAGCCTTCAGCACCAGCTGTGCTGGCTGGGGTTTCTGGGAGTTGCAGTTCAAAAACACCTGAGTAACCCAAGGTTAAGAACCACTGATATATATGATGCCAGCACTTTCTGTCTTTTTTTAAACTTTTTATTTCTGATTTGTTTTTACCTATAATGCTTGCACAGACTAATACAGCTAACCCTTCTACATTCTCAAGCAGTGTTTTCCTTGTTGCCTGCTTGTTGTTACTATTGAGGAGTGTAAATTATTAATAATACATTTTTAAACTTTGTTTATTTTGGTCTGCCCTCCCTGAAGGATCTTCCCCTCCACAAGCCAACAGTGGCTGCAGATGCACAGAGAAAGACGGTGGCACACATTGCTAAAGGCTCTTTTCCTTTGTAAATCAAAATGCAAGGAGCATGGGATAGATGCAGCTTCTCAGGAAGACTAAAAGCACTCCTGGGAGCGGTAACAGGCTTGTAAAAAGGTCTCACAGGTTGATCAACTTTTTCCCTGTAGAATTTCCACAAATAGTGATCTATGAGCATATGGCTACTCCGTGTTTTTCATGTGCGGTGAAAAATACTGCAGTTTATTGCTATGAGCAGGATCTCCCACCAGAAGAACAGGTCCTGCTTTGTAAGACAATTCTACTGCAATCAGGGTTTCTTCTCCCTCCAGCCACTAGATACCACTGCCAGTTGGGTTTCAGTTGGGTTTATTTAGCTAGTTGCCATATAAATTTAATATCCAGTTTTACTGCTGAAAAAACTACTCCTATATAAACCTGCTTCTCCTGCAAGCCAATTCAGAAGCCAGTGTGCTTCAATAAAAGGGTTACAATCAGACTTTTTGTCTATAGAGGAAGAAAAACCATTAGCTGTAACCAGAATCCTCTTGGAATCATGCAGGACAAACTGCCAAATGCATATGTAATGTGAGCAATATTGCTAATTCTCTGTCACACATTCTGATGTGACCCAGATCACATACTCAGTTGTGTCTGCAGCAGATGACCAGAGACGTATGAAAACTGCATCCACATTTTCCCATACACATGCCATATTTTGCAGTAAAGTTACTGGCCTCTGTAAACTTAAGGTGCATGTACTTTTGCTTCTTCACTTAGTATGCATCTCCATCTTGAAAAGTCAGAATGTCACAGAGACAATGGACAATACATCTAGACAGATTATTGCATTTATTGCTTCTTTTTCATGCCTGCAGTTTTTTTTACCTTTTAAGCTGATGAGGAGTTCTGGAAAGCTAAAAATGTTCATCATGTTTTTGACATTTGAGTGATTACAATAAACTGAGTGTGTATCTCTGAATTTTGTGAAATAATTACTGCTATTCAGAATGCCAAAAATATAACATAAACCTGATAGGAAGGAACAACATTATCCATTTTTATTCAAAATGTTAATGAGTTATGAGTAATGATTTTACTCATAATACACTGCTTCCTATATGTGATTTTCCATTATTTCTATTGTACGAACTCATTATGTATCAGTCACTCAACTATGGTGAGCAAAATATTTACTAATAAAAATATATTGCAAATTGCACTTTGTGATTGAAATTATGATGCTAATTTTTTTAAAAAAATTCACCATTATTACCATCATTATCAATTCTATTGCTATTATTGTTTGTAGGCATGGGGAAACCTCTGCATTTCTGTGCAACATTTTAATATCATGAATGAATTGCCACCAAATTTTCATGTAATCATTCTCCAGCATTCAGAAGACAGGTATGAATGTGACAGTTCTCACGACTTCTCTGTTTTAGAATGCTTTGGCTGCCATGGTTTGCCTTACCTGCAGTTTGTGTTTAAGACCAGTCCCATGTGGGACATGCTTCATTCTTCCAAATCAGAGAGATGGATCACTGTGGCCAGAGCTGTTTCTTCTAGGAATTGATGGAACTCATGTGATGGAACAAATCTGAATTTGGATTAGTGCTAATATACTTGGTTGTTGTAACCTTGATGAATCCCAGTGATTCAGTTATTCAGGTTTGGTTAAATATGGAGAAACAACCTCCAATACACAGCTGATGTTATTCTTGTCCTTTGGCATCCCATTGCTTCTGAGGTAATGATGAAGCTATGAATTACGGACTAGAGATGGCCATGAACTGGGAAAAAACAACAAATCGGGCTGATTCACGGCCCAGCTTCTCTTCCAGGAGCCAGGACCGCTGCCTCTGTGCACACAAATACCACCCGGCTGATAGAGACGTGCATATGCAGAGGCAGTGGCTGGCTCTGTGAAGGGAAGCCGGACCCGCTGTATCTGAACCAAAGGTGAACCACCCGTTTTCTGGTTTGTTCCCATCTCCATTAGTGACTTCCTTAAAAGGCCTGCTCAGTTGTATTAGCCCTGCTTAGTTCTTTCAAACTCAAGGCTGTAGGTTCCTCTATTAAGACACAGCTGATACCGCACCTTAACATTGCTTTAGCACTATTTCCTAGTTCCAGCCCTTTCCAAGATCTTGTCAACTCTAGATCATTTGTCTTTCTCCCAGATAAGCTTCTTGCTGTCTTAAGAAAAGCTAAACATCTCAAAAAGGCATGTAGACGTTTCCAAAGAATGTAAATACTGCAGTCAGTATAGGAAGGTCTTTAGTGCAATTAGGCAAAGACCTTTCTCTTTAAGCAGTCTTCCCCCCCCTTGTCCCCCACGATGAAACTGATATCTTTTTATTGTTATTTTAAATGTGTTTTACGGTGTTCTTATCTATTAATGATAATGTTATATTTGTTTAATTTTTTTAAAAAAAATAGTGATAATTTTTTTCTTTTAACTTTTAATATTGTTTCTTTTAAGACTATAAGCCTCCTTGGATCCTTTTTCAGAAGAAAGGTAGCATTTAAATATTTTAAATTAATTAATTAGTTTCAGTAGCTAATATTTGCACCATTTTTATTTGGTGTATGTAAAGATGTCAGATTAGGAATCACTAAGGAATCATTCATGAAAATAGAGAATTGGCTTTGATGGTTTCCTTTGATAGATCATTGTTGTATGGTGCACTGCTCCAAAAAATAAAATCAGCAAGCCCAAAGGAACAAAAGGAGCAAAAGGAAAAAACTGGGCACCCAAAAGACAAGGGTGGGCAACAAAAGGAAAAGAGTGGACAACATAAAGGAAAACCTCTTCAGCCAACTTGTAAGTGTATTTGTTGTCCTTTTTTATGCTGATGTTTTCCCATACATATTTCAGGCACGGTGTTTAAAGGAGGGGTGTGAAGTATGCACGAGAAAACCTGTCTTTACTTGCCTTGTCACAAACTCTTAGCAGTTAGATTGTTAGTGGCTTCATCACTATGTTTAATTGTATCTTCTTCATGGGAAGCATTTCCTCCCACTTTAGGATCATATGACAGCATCACAAAGCCAGTTCAGAGTGAGAACAATCTTTCTTCATCGTGGCCTCTGTGAATGCACACAATAGGGTTTTGACAGTGCCTGCGCTCGCCCTCTCAGAATCTTGTGCTACATGATGGATATGAAAAATGAAGATGCAAAATGCTTTTTTTTAAAAAAAAAAATAGGTTTGCATTTTATTTAACACCAGTGCAGGCTAAAATTGTGCGGTCCACTGTGGATTCTGATATATTCTTCAGTTTATTGGAGAAAGTAAAACTTTTGAAAGAGGAAAGGATGTTGAGTCTTCTGGATCAAGTTCTATCACCAGATAAAACCCTGCAAGATGAAGGGCTGCGAAAATGGCAAGAATCATCTGCACAGTTAGATCAAGTAAGAAATCTTAACTAGTTATCTAGATAATTAATCAATTAGATATTTCACTTATTTACATTGTGTTTTTATGTCTAGAGAGAACTATTTAATAACTATTCTTTACTTTTTGAGACAGCTTGTAACAGCTGTATGTACAATGTCCAGAATATTAGCATTAGTTCCCTGGAACATTGCAGCCTCATCTTAAGTAAGCTGCAAAAACAGCACCAACTCTCTACTAAGATATGGTAGGTGGTAAACAATTAAGAGCTGGGTTCCCAAATGCATGTGTGGGCTAAAGGTGGAACCCAGGGTTGATAAGGTTGAAGACTGTTGCTCTAGAGAATGATTTTATTAATGTTGCCATGGTAACTTTGCACCAATATTTTCAGTACCTCAGTGTATGCATAAAAATAATAAAGCATAACATACTTGCTGTTTAAAAAGGGGTTGTTCAGTTTTTACATAGGATGTTTCAAAACATTATTTACCATGATTATTCCATTTATATATTTGACTGCTATATTGTCCCTTTTTTGTTACTCATATGCCTTTTTAGTATCACTTTTTTCTTTTAAATTATGGTTTAATTTTATGCCATAGAATATGGAAGATGAAGACGAACAGCGCTTTGCATCAGAATTTCAGGCTGTTTTGAAAGATATGGAAGAATATCTAAAACCTGTATTATCACAGTTTGATTTCTCTGAGCTGAGGTATTTAAAAGAAAAAAGAAAAAATATGTGCACTGAGTTATACTGAAATGAGACTTTGTATTTTTTAATCATTATTTTGACATCTATGCCACCCCAATAGTGTTAACATTCTTTGGGTGATTCACAATATTTACTATATCAACCATTGTTCTCAAAGGATTGATAAAAAGGACTAATTAGGCCTTGGTACATACGTATGTACCAGCTGTTGTCTGTGAAGACATGGTTGTGTGAATATTCAACCATCCAGTTCACAAATCAGGCATTATTCATTCCTTTGGTTCCCAGCCTTAATTCCCCAGATGTTCTTAGACTAAAACTCCAGAAGCCTTCATCATTAGCTGTGCTGACCAGGATTTCTGGAAGTTGCAGTATGATGATATCTGGCAACCTAAAGTTGGGAACCACTGCCCTGGACAATCATAAGGTGTTTCATGCTACCACTGGGAGGAGAAGCATCTTCCCTGTGTTAGATCACAGGTGCCAATTGCATGAGGTCTCAGTGGAGAAATAAGTTCTGTTTTTTCTTTATAAGCTCTTATAAGAAGTCTTTGGCAATATATTTTCATGAACAGACGCCATAAGAGAATTACATGAAGCAGACCTTCAGATATCCAGATCATAGTCAATGTTTAAATAGGATTCAGAAACAAATAGGAAGCCACTGTTGCTAGAGAATTGTAGGGCCTGGATGCTCCAAATACACGTACATCTTAATTTAGAATGTCCTTTTCAAAACACTTTTTTTAAAAAAGGATCCATTGGGAAAAGCTGCCACCCATGACAAAATGATAATAATGTCACAAAACTGATGTATTATATAGAATATTTTTGTTGCCATACCTAGCTGAATGTCTGCAGCAGAATCCCTTGCCATACAACCTCAGCTGTACAGTGTGCTGTCATTTTCAGGCTCAAAAACAGATATCAAATTCAAAGAAACTGATAATAAAGATAATGTGATTGTCACAAATAGACATAACCACTAACAGGAGTCTAAGACCTGTTCTCTACATTTTACTTACTATGTAGCCTGATAAAAGAATTTATTTATTTATTTATCTATCTATCTATCTATCTATCTATCTATCTATCTATCTATCTATCTATCTATCTATATCCCACCCATCTGGTCTGGTCGACCACTCTGGGCGGCTTCCAATAAGGTGTATACAAAAACATAAGAATTTTACAAACAGTCCATAACACATACAATAATAAAACAAATAATAAATGAAAGAAAAATAAAGAAAGAATTAAATATTGACAGGAGGGAAGGCCTGAACATACAACCATGTTTTTAGTTGACTCTTAAAAGTGCCCATCGTAGGGGCCGCACGAATAACCAGAGGAAGGTTATTCCACAGGTGAGGAGCCACCGCCGAGAAGGCCTGGTTTCGTGTCCTTTCCTTCCAGGCCTCCCTCGGCGTTAGGCTCCTCAGCCTCACCTCCTGGCTCGTGCGGGTGATCCGAGTAGATCTAGGTGGGAGCAGGCGTTCTGCCAAGTATCGGGGTCCTAAACCATTTAGGGCCTTATATGTAAGCATTAACACTTATAGATGTGCAGGAGCTGAACTGCAGACACATTGCAAGAGATTTGTTCAAGGCTCGTGAATATTTTCCCACTCAGAGTCCCATTTTTTAACCATTGGGACTATTACAGTAATTGCTTTGTCCCATTCTGTTTATAGCCCTAGCTGTGACAGATCAGTGTTGCAAGAAGTACGTTGCTCATGGGAGAACAGATCTAGATAAGGGAAAGCAAGAAATACTCAGTCATTGTAATTAATCACATTACATCCTCTAGCATATATCCTATTAATGTCATCAAAAACAACTTGTTTTAATACCAAAACATGTGTGTCATTGGCACCATCATGCCCGTAAAGTTTCGTGTTGTGATGTACCATCAAGTTGCTTCCAACTTATGGGAAGCCTATAATGAGTTACCTCCAAACTCTCCTGTTATAAACAAATCTGTCAGCTTATGTTAACTTTGCATTAAACTTTGGATGTGTGGATTTCTTTATACATAATAGAGCTCAATGTGCACTGCTTTTGCTGCTAGCATGAAATGAGTTGCAAGTATCTAATTCAACAGTTTTTTAAGAAATTCTGAATAATATGAGTTTTGTCTCCTCAGACATCAAAGTCCAGCAGTCTCTCCAGCTGACTCAGGAAAAACAAAAGGTGACTTAGGAAAAAGTAAAACAGGTGACTCAGGAAAAACCAGAAAAGGTAGTCCAGGAAAAGCTAAAACAGATGACTCAGGAAAATCCAAAGTCAATGAGGCAGGGAAAGCTAAAACTAAGGAGAAAGGCATAGCAAGTCAAGGTATAGTTTAGGCTTCAAACTGTATTTGTGATAGATAGTGGCAAAATTATCTATTTGTTACATAGTTGGTTGCAAAGTTTCAGATTAAAAATAATTGTGTTTTCAAGTTTGTATAAGTTGATAACTATTAGTAACTGATTATTTTGGTATGAGAAACTGTCTACAAGCATAATGATAACAAACCAAAGCTTGCTACATGAACCACCTTGAGCTCATGAGCTATCTCTTCTTCCATATTGCTCTGGGAAGATGATAGAAGTTTCCATTTCTTGGTTGGCAACAAGCAACTTGTCTTGTGCAGGCATTACAAGATGAACACTGAGCAGTGGACATGTAGCTCCATGCATCTCTGCCACCCCACTATATCCAACCTTTTTGGACAGCTCTGAAGAGAGAGAGAGAGTTAGCTTTATTCAGAGAAACAGCTGGTGGGATAGCTCAGTGAGATGGAGCACCTAGTTGCAAAGATAGGGGCTGGGGAATTCGTATCTTCAATATGCCTTAAAGAATGGCCAGATTGTGTGTGGTCTTGTGCAAATTACACAGTCCCAGAGCTGCCCCAAAGGAAAGGAACACTTCTGAGTAGAGATGAGCACAAACTGCCAAAAGGGTTCATCATTTGGCCAAACAGTTGTTCGATGCTTCCCAACCCCATCTCCTCAGGCAGGTTGCCACTCAGAAGCAGCGGCCCAGCTCTCCTGCCTCACCTTCTTGACACTTCTCTACTTCTGAGATAACGTGTTTACAAATATCACTGATTTTTTTTAATTTCAAGAAGCAAATAGCAGCCAATTATTTAAAATTGGTAACCAAAGATTCTGGAATGACTTCAGTTGCTGAAATTAGTATAGGAAGGAGAATGACCTGATTTTGCTTCTGCGTTATTTTAATTTCTTGCCTGAAAGTTGTACTTTTTGTACTTTTGAAGCCAAAAGACAGGTGCCAAATTGCTAATTATTATTTGTCATCATCATTAAAGCAAACGTAGTTACAGCCCTCCATGCATGGGAAACCATGATTCAGCAATGTTATGAATCACTAATGATGTTCACCCTTGTGGGTTACAGTGTCTCCTCAAATATTCCTGATTGATATGGAGAGGTTGATAGTGGAAGAGTGGGGAGGACCACACATCTCAGTGTCTGCTCCATGCTTCAGTTTTGTAATGTCTTGATAGGACTTTGCTTTTCTATGCTTTCAAATTGCAACTGACTTCTATTGACCCTAATAGGGCTGTGAAGGTGAGATATTCAAGGACAGGGTCTCTGAATTCCACCCAATGCCTTGAGTTTTCATAGATGAAGAGGGATTGTAACCCAGGTCTCCTGAGTCCACTCACTCTATTCACTGCACCACACTGAGTATAATTAATAGGACTACTGTTTGCCATTTTGTCCAAACCCAGATATCTGGTTTGTTCAGGCCATAGCTTACATACTGACCAGAACCCATAACCTGATTTCATCTGATTTTCAGGGATATTACAATTTGAATAAAACTATATTTTTTTTAACCTCAGATGAAGAACAGATTGTGGTGCAGAGAAGTAGCAAACTAAAAGTATTATATGGTTGTTGTGGGTTTTTCGGGCTCTTTGGCCGTGTTCTGAAGGTTGTTCTTCCTAACGTTTTGCCAGTCTCTGTGGCTGGCATCTTCAGAGTACTCAACTCCCAAGCAAACTACACCAGAGCACAGAGTGCTGTCCTCTGAAGATGCCAGCCACAGAGACTGGCGAAACGTCAGGAAGAACAACCTTCAGAACACAGCCAAAGAGCCCGAAAAACCCACAACAACCATTAGATCCCGGCCATGAAAGCCTTTGCAAATACATTAAAAGTATTATACTTGTTTTTGCTTGCAAATGAAAACTATTTGCAATTACCTCTGACTGCAGTTGTTACATTTCTTTGGGAAATGAAGTCTCAGCTCATAGTGATTAATTATTGCATCATTTGTTCTCTCCAGACCATGGAGTTGCATAATCTGCATGATTCACAACATTTGTAGAGCTTTCATTTCCAAAGAGATTCTAGAAAAGGCCCCCAATTAATTATTTGTTTTCCTTAGAAACATTTTTATGAAAAAAAACATAGAACAGATTTTATTCTAACATTGGTTTTCTGATCTGCTTCATTTTTCCTATATTCAGCTCTTGAAGATATTGGACAGTGTGTGATACTGCTGGTGGACAAATCCCTTATGGAGCTACCTTTGGAAGCTCTGAGTACCTTTCAAGAAGAATCAATTAGTTCTGTGTCCAGAGATTTTTCTCTCCAAATGTTCTACAATCGCTTGCATAAAGAAGAATCGGGTATGACTGTTGACATGCATGAGAAACTGTGACAAAATATTCAATAGTACAGATTAGATAATATATATAACATTAGACCAGTGGTCCCCAACCTTGGGCCTCCAGATGTTCTTGGACTTCAACTCCCAGAAATCCTGGCCAGCAGAGGGGGTGGTGAAGGCTTCTGGGAGTTGTAGTCCAAGAACATCTGCAGGCCCAAGGTTGGAGACCACTGCATTAGACCATTAGTTTGGAGATTGATTAGCAGTTGCAACCTATGACTATAACCAGAAACTGTGGTTGGTTGATTCTGGAAATTCTTCCTCACACACAGTGATTCTTCAATCACTGTGTGTGAGGAAGAGAGAGAGAGAGGTGATGCAGCACTAAAGCAGGACTTAACAAGCACAAGGTTTGTGCACATTGGCCAAGTTATATTATCTTAGAACTAAGCTATTTTTTGAGGGACTAGAAAACCACCAGAAAAAAAAACAAATTAATTGCCCATCTCTTGTCCACATATTACAATGTTGTTTGCTGTTCATATGGCACTGCTTTGTTGATGGGGATGGATGCCCCCTAAATTCCTCCAGGCTTGTTATAATGCTAAGCAGAGCCCATGAGAGGGGAAGAAACACACGGCTGGTCTTCCACTGTCATGTAAGTAAACAAAATTGTATCCATGATGGTTACTAAGGGGAACCATGAGTTGTTGTTTTTTTAAATAAATCATACCAAACTAATCTTCTGTGTCTCTTTTTAAATAAAACTACAGATTTTGTTTAGTGTATCTTAATTTCAGCAAGCCTTTTGACAAGGTCCTCCATGGTCTCGTTGACAAGCTGGTAAAATGTAGGCTAGACAGTACTACTGTTAGATGGATTTAGAGCTGGTTGAGGGAAAATACTCAAAGGGTCCTTGCTGATAGTTCCTCATCATCCTGGAGAGAAGTGGCAAGTGGGTACCATGGGATTCTGTTCTGGGCCAGGTGTTGTTTAACATATTTACAAATGACTTGGATGAAAGAGTAGAAGAGAAACTTATTAAACTTTTATATGACACTGATCTGTGAGGATTATCTAATGCTTCAGAAGACAGCAACAAGATTCCAGGTGACCATAACAGAGTGGGGAAGTAGATCAAAACAATTACAAATATGCTTCAGTGGAGATAAATGTACATTTCTGCATTAAAGCAGGAAGAAATGTGTTCATAAATACAGGATGACACACAGATGGCTTGCCAGTAGTACATGTAGAAAGGATCACTAGTTATTCATGAGTCAACTGTGTGACACAAAGGCAAAAAAAGGCTAATGTAATACTCTGTTGCATCAAGACAGATCTAATTTCCAGATCAAGAGTAGAAATAGTACCACTTTGTTCTGTTTTGCTCAGACCTTGCCTGCAATACTGTGTCCAGTTATGGGCATCCCACGTTTTAAAAGGATAAAAGGGAGAACAATTTATCCGCAGAACAAAAGCAAAGCAAAGCGTGCTGCTTATATACTGCCCCATAGTGCTTCAAGCATTCTCTGGGCTGTTTACAAGTTAATTATGCAGGCTACACATTGCCCCCCCCCCAGCGAGCTGGGGGTACTCATTTTACCCACCTCGGAAGGATAAAAGGCTGAGTCAACCTTGAGCCAGCTACCTGGGATTGAACCCCAGTTCATGAGCACAGTTTTGGCTGCCCTACAGCGGTTTAACCACTGCGCCACCAGGCAGAACAGCGGCCAACATAGTGACGGGTCTGGAAACCAAGTCTAAGGGGAACAATTGAGAGAGATAGGTGTATGTAGCCTGCAAAAGAGCAGTGGCAATATGGCAACCATTTTCAAACATTTCAAGTACTATTACATAGAAGCTGGACCAGTCCTGTTTTCTATACCTCAAGGGCAAGGCCTGAACCAGTGGATTAAAATTAAAGGAAATAAGATTTTCATTAAATATTAGGAATGATTTTCTGATAATCTATTCCACTTCCAAACAGATCTTGGTATCTCAGAAGTGGTGGACTCTGTTGGAATTTTTTATACAGAGCTTTGATTACTGTCTATCGAGGATGTTTCAGATGTGGTTTCTCTGTATCGACATTTTAGCTACTTTTTATACCTTTTCAGTTTTTCTTGCAGTTATTAGTTTGATAACCAAAAATGGCTGAAATCCTGATTGTAGCATAAACCCAAGTGTAATGGTACATCTTTTCCTCCCTGCTAAGCAATTGTGTCAATTCTTGGGGTGGCACCTAGTTTACCCAAGGTAGAATAGACAGGAAATAATACTTGTGCTTGTCCTACAAACAAGATTTAAGCCAATATGTGTTAATCTTTTAACTGTACCACAGATTTATAATGACACTATGCTGGCTAGGTTTTTTCATCCTCAAATTAAGGCCATTATTTTGAGAAAATGTTTTGTAATTAATACATTTGTCACAGTATTAATTGTACAGATGTTACATTGCCATCATTCAACTTTGTGATATTAATTAAAACCTATATACATTACGATTTATGAAGCTAACAATAGTTCACTAGCTGTTTACTAGAGACGTCTCAAAATCAACTAGCTAGCTGGCCTCGAGCATGGAACAGGTCACATTTCAGGGGAGAAAAACACCCTACCTTAGTAGTCTTACTTTCAAGCTCCTACAGCAATCTAAATTTCACTTCCAGACCATGGCTGCTTCCAAAACCAGAGCTGCAGAGTGCCTCAAGTGGTTATTACAAATGTTTAAAATCAGTGTCTTAACCAGAACAAAAATAGATTTTTTTTTTTAAAATGTCAACAAGAATTTATTTGTTTGAGGAGAAAACCTTGTGGGTTTAGGAAACAGAATGGAGGCAGAGATTATGAGTTCATTCTGTGAAACTCCGTCTCTAATACTGTAGGAAGTGCTAATTCTCATCTTAATACCTGTCAGTTTGCCTTAGTGCTGCTTTTCATTTTATAGAAGCTGAGGGAAGGAAGGATGGAAAGGGTGTGAAGGAATCCAAACCTAAAGGTGAACAAAAAAGAGGAATGAAAATAGTAAGTATATATTTTTTTATTTCCATTGAGCTTTTGCCTTCATAAAAAATAGCTTCATTATTTATTTTATTTTTATTTGAATAGGCATACTAGTTAAGCTACTACATAATGTATCATGTGCTGCATTTCAGAAGAGGGAGAAAAGGCTACTGTTTCTTTAAAAGTCTTTCAGCAAGATTTTTCAGACAAACTTTATCCTGACGAAGAGATTTGTCAAGTTGGCCTAGCCAACTAGACAATATAAGGAGCTACCTGAGGTACAAGAAATCTACAGGTCCCAAGCTAATTCATTTCAGAAGAGGGAGAAAAGGCTACTGTTTCTTTAAAAGTCTTTCAGCAAGATTTTTCATACAAACTTTATCTTGATGAAGAGATTTGTCAAGTTGGCCTAGCCAGCTAGACAATAGAAGGAGCTACCTGAGGTACAAGTAATCTACAGGTCCCTAGCTAATTTGGAAATTTGTCTAGGGGGAACACAAATTCTCATTCCTTCTTTGTCTGAGCTATGGGCTCAAAATATGTTCCTTCTCCTTGAAAACACACATACATACATTTAATTTATGTACTCTCACGCTATACAATTGAGAGGAGTGACATACCTGTCATTTTCTGCCATTAACAAATGGACAGGGAACCTTAAGATTATAGAAGGTGCCATGCTGGACCAGACCAGAGGGATTCATACTGTGGCTAACTAGGTGGTCTTAGGAAGTCCACAAGCAGGACATGATAGCACTAGCATGCTTCAGTTCACACCCCCAGCAAGTGATACAGATACATGCTGCCTCTGATGTTTTGAGTAATATTTCACAATCATGTTTTGATAGCCTTATCTGCCATTATTTTATTTCAATTTTCTTTTAATGTTATCCACATTTGTGGTCAATATTTATTGTACTTTACTTTGCTTTACTTTTATTGGATTTTTACCCCAGCCCCCCCCCCGACAAGGTCTACTCGGGACGGCTTACATACATAAAAATATAGCAAAACAACATCCTAAAAACATTTAAGACATCAACATTTTAACAATTATATAAATCCTTGCCAAGATGGAGAGATTAAAAGAAAAAGTAAAGGTCAGTTTAATTGACTGGAGGGAAGGCCTGCCTGTTTTTAAATGGCTTTTAAAAACATCCAGTGAGGGTGCCAGATGAATTTCTGTCGGGAGGCTGTTCCAGAGCCGAGGGGCCACTGCCGAGAAGGCCCGGTTTCTTTTTCTTTCTTTCCGGGCCTCTCTCGGCATTAGTAGACGGCGTTTGTAGAAAATTCCTAGGTCTCTGGCTATAGTGTTTTGACTGACTATGGCATTTATGGTACATCCAAAAGGTATTTCAACCCTATCACCATCTGAACAACCAGAAACATTTTCATCCTCTTTTTATAAGGGTGATTAATCATGAACAGTATCTTTCCCAGCTTCTGTCAGCTTCTTTTCAGGGTTTAGTTTAAAAGCTGTTATTCTGCTTACAATGCTAGTATGATTCCCTAGAGGTTAAAGTTCCAGTCTGACTCTTTTGTACAGTCCAAATGTTTTCTTTAGTTAATCAATTGACACTCTCCTTTCTGTGTCACTTACCAGCTAGCCATGCTCATGGAATAGGTAGCATTTCAGAAAAAGTGTCCTTGGAAGATCTGGTTTTCAAGTTCCTACCAAGAAACCCAAATTTGGCTTCCAAGAACTCACAATTACATTTCCCAATGACAGTGGTGCCAACATGTACCATCACTAGAGTCGTCTCTAATAATATCCATCAGGCTATCTAGATAGTGGCTGAAATCATGTTGCACAGCTCATTACTAATAAGAAATCATGATTGTTTAAGGCTTTCTTGTGTGATTTTTTTAGGTGTGTGCAACTTCATCACATTGTGAACTATGTACGTATATTTGAAAGTCACCAATAGAAACCTTTGACCAGCCGTGAATTGCTGTAAATGATCATGTCATTCCTGTTGTGCATGCAGAGCTGCACAACAGGATTTCAGCCAGTGTATGACATCCATAGCCTTACTACAAAGCAGGAAATTCACTACACAAGCTACTAGTTTCTAAACTGTACCAAGCCTCCTCCTTCAAACACAACAAAATACCAAAAGAAGCACAATATTTATTTTCACCTTTAGAGTAAGGGCTAAGTGATGGTGGTCAAGAAATATATGTATTCTTACAGCTGCAGTATTGCATTCTCACTGTGTCTTTTTTTTTGTGGCAGCTGAGATCCTTCTGGAGAGTTACATGAAGTAATACTACATGACACTGTTTGAGAGGAACAGTGCCATGTAGTATTGATGAAAA